CAGGGTGAAGAAGATAGTAAAGACTAAGTTTATCCACATGATACACAGTTTTTTTTTTTACAGATGTAACGATATTTTTTTTTCTGAGAATAAATTTAATGAATTTGAGCTGCGTCGCTGAACCCTGGAAGGATTTGAACAAGCAGTTCAAATTCATCTAATTTAGTATCATACCTTACAATGGTTCTTCGGATAATTTTAGCTTTATCATCCTTGCTGATACAGAGACCCCTGAGATAGCTGGCAATATTATCTGGCCATGGGAGTTTATTGTACTGCTCCCACCATCTCTTCACCACCAGGGATACGTAGAAACCAAGGAGGAAGGTTAATGGCAGTCCTAGTTATATAATCATTGGTTATCTAGTCCTAGTTATATAATCATTGGTTATCTAGTCCTAGTTATATAATCATTGGTTATCTAGTCCTTAATATTTGATCATTGGAAATATAAACCTGAATATTTTATCATTGGCATCAAGTCCTGAGTTTTTTATCCTTAGACAAATCATTGTTTTTTTATGTATAAGTTTATGAAAATCTATAAAAGAATAAAGTTTATAAAACAAAAGTCATGGTGTCATCCTTTATTATTCTCGGGAAAAAAAAACACTTTCATTGCTCGGCAAAAACAAGCACAGTTTTTGGGTGAATGAAACACAAAAATAATTGCAATAAATAAAAAAATGCAGGTTCTATTTAATATTGACATTACAATTTACAATTTACAGGCTAGTTTGCGAGTTTTGGTGATATCCTTAGCTAACTACGACAAAACTGAAAACTTTGGGTGAAAAAGTCGATGATAAAGACCGCAAAATGTATTATTTTTTCTTTATATTTGTAATCAGAAAAAGACTTTAACCTCTTGAATGAGAAGGAAATATAATTTTATATAAAAGATTCTAAAATAGAAAGAAGTAAAAAAATATTATTTCATATTATATTTGACCTGTATATTGTTTACTACACCAGTTAACCAGTCTCTCAAATTCATACTGCTGTAGATCAGATAGTACAAACCTATATATATATATTCATTCATTCATCCTTTATCTATTTATTTATTCTCTCATTAATTCATTTGCTCACTCATCCCTTGGCTAATATACATAGTTCACCCCAGACTAACCAGCGTGAGAGACATTCAGGTTTCATATGCGTTTTGGTCTATAATTAAACAATCTTTAAACTTATGGATTTGTTTGTCTTATACTTTTCATTCAAAAAGTATATGCCGGCAAAAAAGTATATAAGAAAAAAGGCAACAAAAGTATGTTTATGTGTCAAATTGTCATTGAAAGTCACAGCTTTCTGGAATATTGACAGAACCGTTTAATCAACGTGAGTTATATGTTTGACAGTATGAATAGGAAGAGTTTAGTGTTTACCTGTATATAAAGGAAACCCCGAGATATGCTAGAGTATACAGAAGTAATTCTCTCCACAGCAGTTTCCATAGGGAGGATCTCCACCTAGAATACATAGAACATTATATGTAGGATCTAACGGATCTGTGATCTAGGATCTAGGATCTGGGATCTAGGATCTGGGATCTAAGATCTAGGATCTGGGATCTAGGATATGGGATCTAGGATCTGGGATCTAGGATCTGGGATCTAGGATTAGGGATCTGGGATCTAGGATCTGGGATCTAGGTTTTGGGATCTATGATCTGGGATCTATGATCTGGGATCTAGGATCTAGGATCTAGGATCTGGGATCTAGGATCTGGGATCTAGGATCTGGGATCTAGGATCTAGGATCTAGGATCTGGGATCTAGGATCTAGGATCTGGGATCTAGGATCTGGGATCTAGGATCTAGGATCTAGGATCTGGGATCTAGGATCTGGGATCTAGGATCTGGGATCTAGGATCTGGGAACTAGGATCTGGGATCTAGGATCTGGGATCTAGGATCTATTAATGTTTTATAATTTTTGTTTCTATGATATTATGGGGGAAGGGAGATTTAGGGGAGCTTCTGTAACGAAAATTATGCAATTTTTTACCTTTCTTCGCCTTGAATCAAACACGGCTACACTGTATCTGTTCGGATTTTCGTTCATCCAAAACCAATCCAAAGAAACAGTCAATTGATCTCCAGGAGCCAATTTCTTTTTGTATACATGTAGACCACGAATGAATGTGTCCTGCTTAAGGGTTCCCATGTTTGTGTTTATTTCGTTGTCTGCTAGATATACATAAAAGTTTCAGTGTTTCAAAGTTTTATCTGTAAATACGATGTATTAATGTCGTCTTCCAGAAAATACGAGCCCGTTAATAGTCTAATATGATAGGGGACACCCTGTAGGTTCTGGGATCTAAGGTATGAGATTTTAAAGAAATATTGTATACCGACACATAACCCTACTCTCTCCTAGCAGTAGGTCAGACAGCTCAGTTCTCTTTGGGATCATTCTCACAAACTGAAGGGGTCAAACAAAAATTAAATCTGTGAGATGGAGGATTGGGAAATATATAATTTCTTACAGTGTTTTTTATTTTTCCCACTTCTAAAGATACAGTTTGATTTCATGTCGTCCAACAGTGTTTTAAATAATTAAACTAATCGATATTTAATTTGTTAAAATTAGATTAGTATTTTTTTTGATTCCTTGGAGGTTTTCTTGGAAGAGATAATAGGATCTTCCATTGTGTGTATATTAGGCTCTGAAATAACAGATATCTAGACAACTAGGACATTTTTTTGATTTTAAGACCGAGTTTACTTTGAAGTGTCGCACATTGGGCTTTGTTTTACCTCACCTACTCACTTATACATGTCTGTTGCTTTAGACATCTTTATTTGCAAACTGCAATCTAAATTGTTTTTAGCTTTAGTTAAAAAGAAGTAATTCGCAAAATACTGTTTGATTTATTTCACTCCTGTATGCCGAGTCCATTAGCGCTTGATCCAATTAGGGTTCAGTCATGTGTTTGTTGTCTATTCTGAACCAATAGAAATAGTATGGTGGTACCATCTATCTTTCTATCTATCTCATTATCCAATCAGAGATATGAATCCTGCAATCGGCGCCAACAGTAACTGGAAATATTTATGTTATTGCATGTTTTGGTTTGCAGTGAAATAACTATTCGAATAAATCAAATTTGTTTACAATACAACACACTTATTTAAAAAATGAGAGTGTCTGATGTTTAACAACACGTTTAAATGTGAATAATTTAGTTAAAATATCCTGCAATTGATGCGTCCAATACAGAAAATTATTGTGAATGAGAGCAAAGAGAGAAATTTCCTCTCATATTGTAACCTAATCTCCCCTATCGGCCTCTCGCTAATAATCCTTATCGTGAAAAAGAGCAATTTCCGTTCTTTTGTAGAAATAAAGTACACACAACAATACCATTTATTCATTTTACATTGATTTTTGTTACCCTGGATTTAAGATTTCAACGCTGGCAAAATCACAGAAGATTTTTGCGTCAGACTCAGAATGTTTATACCTCAGTTCAAAAAGTGTCTTTTATCAAAGAATTCAACTTGGAAATCAACAAAAATCTGAAAAGGTTGGAACTTTTGGATAAGATGAATTGTATATCCACATCAGAAACTTTTGATAAATCATAGGTAGGTTTATTATGGATACTGGTTGGTTAGACCTCTAACAGGTATTAACTTAATCCATTGGAATATATTACGGATTAGTGATTTATGAAGTTTCTGTCTCTAGACAATCTGAAAATTGAATTGCTTCATTTATCATCAACTGCTTTTAAACCATTTCTCTTTTTATTAATGACCAAACATTTTTTGGATTTTATTAATATTAAAATCAATCTCAGCTTTAATGTTTTTGTTGCAATCTACAGTTTAAACTTTGGAGTCCCCTTTTTTGTTTGATTTGACGAAGCATGATAATCTTGTAAGTTTTATTCCATGCATAATAATCTTTTCATCAAATATCTATATTTTTTAAATATTTCTTATTTTTGATAATTTCCTAGAGAGACTATCTTGATTTGATCTAAGAACTGGCAGTAAAACTAAAATTTAATTTTAAATTTTTTTCTAATCTTAATAGAAAACCATGTTTTTGCACCATTTTCATCATTTTAACTCATAAACACAGATAGAAAAGTTATTTAAGATATATATGGAACCCCTGTAAATGTGTATTATTCGGTTCCTGTTTTCAATTCTGAAGTAAGTGTAAAAACGCATGGTCATGGCACTCTAATATTGTAAAATTACATTTACATAAAAGTAATGAAAACGTACGTTTTAATGGACAATTATATTTAGTCACTTATGTGTCATGGTTGATTGCTTTTGAACCTGTGTGCATGCTACCCTTAATACTAAGTCAGTAATATGTCAAGGTTGATTGCTTTTGAACCTGTGTGCATGCTACCCTTAATACTAAGTCAGTAATGTGTCAAGGTTGATTACTTTTGAACCTGTGTGCATGCTACCCTTAATATTAAGTCAGTAATGTGTCAAGGTTGATTACTTTTGGACCTGTGTGCATGCTACCCTTAATACTTAGTCAGTAATGTGTCAAGTTTGATTACTTTTGAACCTGTGTGCATGCTACCCTTAATACTTAGTCAGTAATTTATGTGAAGGTTGATTACTTTTGGACCTGTGTGCATGCTACCCTTAATACTTATTCAGTAATTTATGTGAAGGTTGATTGCTTTTGGACCTGTGTGCATGCTACCCTCAATACTAAGTCAGCAATTTATGTGATGGTTGATTGCTTTTGGACCTGTGTGCATGCTACCCACAATACTTAGTTAGTAATTTATGTGAAGGTTGATTGCTTTTGAACCTGTGTGCAGGCTACCCTCAATACTTAGTCAGTATAATGTGTGAAGGTTGATTGCTTTTGAACCTGTGTATGCTACCCTCAATACTTAGTCAGTAATTTATGTGAAGATTGATTGCTTTTGGACCTGTGTGCATGCTACCCTCAATATTTAGTTAGTAATTTATGTGAAGGTTGATTGCTTTTAGACCTGTGTGCATGCTACCCTCAATACTTAGTTAGTAATTTATGTAAAGGTTGATTGCTTTTGGACCTGAGTGCATGCTACCCTCAATACTTAGTCAGTAATTTATGTGAAGGTTGATTGCTTTTGGACCTGAGTGCATGCTACTCTAAATACTTAGTCAGTAATTTATGTGAAGGTTGATTGCTTTTGGACCTGTGTGCATGCTACCCTTAATATTAAGTCAGTAATTTATGTGAAGGTTGATTGCTTTTGGACCTGTGTGCATGCTACCCTCAAAACTGCAGATATAGCCGTTAGTGCATAAATAATATCAAGACAGTACAGCTTTACTTTCGAATGTCATTGAATACTAAATGTTTCTGTGTACAGTATGTGAATCAGATCCTAAAATCACAACGGAATAAGATTTTAGAAATGTAATTCAATTTTAGAAATTATTTACGACATTTCAAGAAGGTTGCAGTCTAATATTATGAAAGTATTCAACATTCACGTTATTTGCTTTACGTTTGATTACGTTGAGAAAAAATAACTCTTTGATCCGACTTTAAAGTTTTTCCTTTTGAAGTTTAAAATTTTAAAATAAAATACACAAGTATGAATTTTTGCAAAAATTTAAATTATGTTTTAATGCATATATTTTGCAGTGGTATATGAAACTATATGTTTATACTTAATGAAAAAAAAATCAGTACAAAATTAATATCTATAAACTTAAAAATATTCAATATTACGAAATTCCTTTAATCGAAAAGTGAAATGATTTATGGCTCTAAAAAATTCAGTGGTTGATTTTCCGTTTTTTTTTTCAACTAAAGATGTACTAAATTTTTTTTTTATAAATTTCAAAACTGTTTTTTCAAACATTTGCTTTCCCAACTAAGGGTGATCAATTTTTGCCTTATCTTTAGAATTGGACCCCATACCTCTCAGCCCCCCCCCCCCCTCTACCTTAGATGGCATGATGTCTCAAATTTCAGGCATCGATATTAAGCATTGAAAAAATCCATAAAGGTCACAACTAAAAAAATTTTCAACTCGCTTTTGGTATCGAATGATCGATCCTGGAGCCTGTGAATTCTGTCCCGTTGATTTTGTTTCGATATTTTAAAATTGTTTAATACATGGTAAAAATAAATAAAATCTGCAAAGTTTGGTCTCCAATATCAGTTTTTTGCCTCTAATTTGTGTAATTATCAATGGATTTTCACGTTTTCAAAATTTCTGAATTCAGTGTTAATTAACATGTTTTGATGTATTTTGCAAGAAACGGAATAAAAACGATCGTTTTATAGTTTTGTATAATCCTAATATATTGTTTGTTTTATTCTAATATATGCTCTTAGGATAACAATTTTGTATTTTTTTTTTGATAAAAAATTGAGCAGAATTCAGTTTTAAAATGTTGTTACCATCACAGATTTTTTGGAGCCTTTTAAAAGTCTAAAAACCTAAAAGTTGTATAAAAACGAACTTAGCAAGCTATTTATCAAATTTATTATTAATATCGAGGACTCACAGTGTCCTCTGTTGAATGTTCTAATCTAAAGGATTGGAATTAAACTGCAGCAGCTCTCCACTGGTTTTCTCATCTTATAGATAAATATAACTGAGAGAGAGAGAGAGGCTGAGAGGAGAATTGAATCAACAGGAGAAGGATTGTTTACAGATGAAAAACGGAGTTTTTATGCGGGTTTCATTGATGGAAAGTAGATTACTCAAAACCAAGGGCGATCACAAGGGGTGGCGGTTTACCTCTGCCCCCTACTGACGGATCCAGGGTGGGCGACACCCCCCCCCTGAGATTTTGATGCATTATGGTATTAAATACAAAAACCGAAGAATTTGGTATATCACATCATTGCATAGATAAGAAGAAATGTCGTACTAAAGATAAGGAACAAAAACAAGTAAGTTAAGCAATTAGGATTTTAGTAACAAGGTCAATAAAGAAAGAACTAGGAACATTATAGGTTCAAAAAAAGTAACAATACAATAACACAAATGTTGGTTGAGTTAGGAACAAAAAGATAGAACTAGATTATAAACGTCAAAAAATGATATAACTAGATTATAAACGTCAAAAAATGAACAAACTAACAATAAAATGGGAACAATAACAAGAACATTGCCTTATGAGCCAGCTAGGAACAAGCAACAAAAAAACAAGAGTTTCATACATGCACCAAGAACATAAGAACAATAAATGGAATACATAATCTAAGAAACTATAAAAAGATTGCTAAAGGATTAGGAACAAAAATAAAGGATTTAGGGTGTAGGGACACAGTGTTAGGGATAGGAACATTAAGCAAGTTACAAGTTAGGAACAAGAACAAGGATTTAGGAACAAAAATTAAACACTAGGAACGTAATTCGTAAAACATGAAGGTATAGCCTGCAATTTTGTTAAGTAAGGAACAAAAAAAGGAAACATACATATGCGCAAAAAACGTGATTCATACTATACATGATTTAGGAACAAAGTCAATAATAGGAACATAAAGCAAGTTAAGAACAAAAAGAAATTACTAGGAAAGATATATGTATGTCAAATAGGAACAATATTACAATTTTGACTAATTAGTAAGAAACATTACTATGCATAATTAATACGGATCGTAATTAAATTAAGCTGTTCGTTTCAAGAGCTATAGAAAGATTAACAGAGTTTTATATTTCTAATATACAACTAAATAAATAAGATTTGTTTTGGAGTTACAAGGTCACAAAGTCGTACTCAAAAAAATTACCTTTTCCTCGTATCTAGCTTGGAGTGGAAAGGGCAAGGTCATATAGGGTTTGATAACTATTGAACCTTAACTTTGGAATTTTTTCAACTTCTGAACTTCTGAAAAAATGAGGAGGAAACGGTTCCAGCTTGTGGTAAGGTCCCTTAATTCTTAATGTATTGGAAATGGAGATTTTAACAAAAATATGACATCTATCTATATACTTTGCTTGTCTGTTTGTTTTTTTGTATCCAATAAACGTCAAAACGGCTGAACCGATCGGGCCCAAATTTTGTTTGGAACTTCAGGGAAGGTTTAATGTTTATAGATGATCAATATTTAAAAAATTTGCCTCCAACAAATTCAATTTGCAATAAATTTTAAAAATCCACAAAATTTTGTTTTATAAAATACGCGAACTTTTTTATTTTTCTTTTACAATGAATACAAAGAGAAAATGTTCAGAATTAAAATAGAAGATGGGCGCGAAGCGCCCAAAAAGCTTAGTGTAAAAGCGTAAGAGCAAATTTAGTATTTTCTGTAAAATTTTGAAAAAATATAAATAAGTTTGTTTATTTCCTATGGAATTCTGCGAGAAGGAAGATAATTTTAAGAAGCTGTGCCAACAGAATATACTTTTGCTCAGAGAAACCTGAATAATAATTAGTTTAAAACTTATGTAGATTGTCCTAGGTAGATACATGCATAACAAACATAAATAAAATTAATAACATTAATAATATTAACTTACATAAACTAACTATAAGTGAAATATACTAGCTAAGGAAACGTAAATTAGCGCAACTAACGTAACCTAACTAAACAAACTATAACAAACGCAAACATATACTAACTAAAACAAACTTACATACGCTAATATAAGCTAACATAAATTAACATAAATGAATTAACACAAACTTACGGGAACATAAACATCTTACAAAAAAAACTAATATATATCGTAAACTAACAAAAAACTAATCATAACAAACAAAAACAACACAAAATTACATAAACTAGCACACGCTAACCTAAAACAATTGGCAAAAACCGACAAAAGCTAACATGATTAACATAAAACTAACTTTATCTGACATAAACTTACAGAAAATAACATAAATTACTAAAAACTTAAGAAACTAGCATAACTTGACATAAGTTAACATAAATTAACATAAACTAAAAACAAATTTATACCCACAGACATAAACTGAAACGAAAACAAATGTGATGAATATTTCTGAATTATTTTTAATCCTGAAATATTACCTTGACAGACTAATCAGGAAAATTTTGCTGAGTTTCATAATTTCATTTCAGTTTCGTAAATATCTACTCATACTCTAGTTTACTACTCATCCTCTAGTTTACTACTCATCCTCTAGTTTACTACTCATCCTCTAGTTTACTACACATCCCCTATCTAGTTTACTACTCATCCTCTAGTTTACTACTCATCCTCTAGTTTACTACTCATCCTCTAGTTTACTACACATCCTCTAGTTTACTACATGTTCTCTAGTTTACTAAATATCCTCTAGTTTACTACATATACTCTAGTTTACTACATATCCCCTAGTTTACTACAAATCTCCTAGTTTACTACATATCCTCTAGTTTACCACATAGCCTCTAGTTTACTTCACATCCTTTAGTTTACTTCACATCCTCTAGTTTTCTACATAGCCTCTAGTTTACTTCATATCCTCTAGTTTACTACACATCCTCTAGTTTACTACACATCCTCTAGTTTACTACTCACCCTCTAGTTTACTACTCATCCTCTAGTTTACTACACATCCTCTAGTTTACTACACATCCTCTAGTTTCTACAAATCCTCTAGTTTACTACATGTTCTCTAGTTTACTAAATATCCTCTAGTTTACTACATATACTCTAGTTTACTACATATCCCCTAGTTTACTACAAATCCCCTAGTTTACTACATATCCCCTAGTTTAATACACATCCTCTAGTTTACTACATATCCTCTAGTTTACTACATATCCTCTAGTTTACTACACATGCTCTAGTTTACTACAAATACTCTAGTTTACTACATGTTCCCTAGTTTAATACACATCCTCTAGTTTACTTAACATCCTCTAGTTTACTACATATCTTCCAGTTTACTACAAATCCTCTAGTTTACTACATGTTCTCTAGTTTACTACATATCCTCTAGTTTACTACATAGCCTCTAGTTTACTTCACATCCTCTAGTTTACTACATATCCCCTAGTTTATTCCATATCCCCTAGTTTACTACATATCCCCTAGTTTACTACATATCCCCTAGTTTACTACATATCCTCTAGTTTACTACATATCCTCTAGTTTACTTCACATCCTCTTGTTTACTACATATACTCTAGTTTACTACATATCCTCTAGTTTACTTCACATCCTCTTGTTTACTTCACATCCTCTTGTTTACTTCACATCCTGTAGTTTACTACGTACCCTAGTTTAATACACATCCTCTAGTTTACTGCATATTCTCTAGTTCACTGCTAGTTTACTAAAAATATATATTTTCTTAATTGTATTTTAGACGCACATGTTGGTAAGATTGCCATTATCTTGGAGTTTTAAACTCATGGTTCTAATTTCTTTAACCTCAGCAGAAATCTGTCCGTACCAGCAAACTCCGGATGATACTGTTCAGAAATATCTAGAAAACTCTGAACCAAAACCAAAGGTAAAGATTCTAAACTTAAAATCTAAATTCTAAACTCTAAACCCCAAACTTAAAATCCAAGCTATAAACTCTAAACTTAAACTCTAAAATCTAAACTTTACAATCTAAACTGTAAACTCAAATTCTAATCTCTAAAATCATACTATAAACAAAAAAACTCTAAATTCCACACGCCAAACTCTAAATTCTAAAGTCTAAACTATAAAATCGAAACTCGAAACACTAAACACTATTTTGAACTTTAAACTCTAAAAACTCTAAACTAAAATTAAATAAATGAAAAGGAGGTAGGGTGCAGAGAAGAGATGATACTGGAGAAAGTTCATGTTCCAGAAAACCTCCCTGGAGCTGAAAAAGTTGTTGAACTTCAACCAGCGGTTGTTCAGACAAAAAGGTGATAAAATAAAGATGCAAAAATTCAGTGGTCTCTTATTCATTTTACTCTATTATTTTGAATCAGATATGTTCTATAGAAACCCTTAAAAAGTATTCGAAAATTATTCATAAAATCAAAGATTTATTCAAGATGTACCGGATTGTGTTTAGAGTCTGTAGCTTCATCTTGCTCCCATACTATCCAAACCTACAGGTTAAAGGGGCTGTAACCGTAATTTCAACGTAACTCGAAACACCGTTTACTTAAGAATTTGCAACTGACTACAACCAGGTTTCGATAACTTACTCACAAATGTTTTAATTTCTTTGGGATTCAGCATTATTTGGGGCCTAAAAACCCCCTGGAAACATATGTTTTACTGATTCAAGTGGAGAGGGGGGGGGGGGGGTTCTGAGCCCCCTGCACCCCACCCCGTGTACACCTCTGCTTGTACTTAAATTGTGCATAGATATACAAGAAACTAGATCGCTAATGCAGACTGTAAAGCTAAAAATTTACAACCCCTTCTACAGCATGAACTCGTCATTTGACTACGTTTTACTTCTAATCTTCGTTCTAATCCTTTGAAATTAAACTTTCAACGAACATGTCTGCAAATTGTAAACAAACCTCCAAAAATTTTTACAGAGTACAAATATACTTGCTGCAAACCTTTATATCAAATCTACTGTATGCCAGTAGCTAGTACCATAGCTAAAGTGCCATTTTCAATTTCAACTGTAACCCTCCGGTACGGTGAAGACGACATAAGCGATCTAAATTCTTGTATGTCTATGTTATTGTGTTTGAATTGGTTTTTATTTTCTATATTTGGTTAATTATAGGAATATAAGTTTAATGATTAAGTATGAAGATGGCAACTGTATTCAGGTTAAAACTAGTATCAGGCAAGTTAGCCTATTTCTTAAACTGCCAAAAATATTTTTCTAAAAATATTTTTTTCTTGAATTTTTCTCCTTTGCGCATATATGTACTGTACTGCAGGGATGAAAGTGGATGTAAGTGTGGTTGTACAAATGAATGCTCCGGTTTTTCAACTCTAAACCAAACTACATGTTTATGTGATTGTTTATCCACGGTAACTTTTTGCTCTTTTTAAAAAAATCATAAATAGTTCTCTCAATTTTTGTACTAGCAGATAATAATAAAATTTCAATTGAACTGAGATTTAAATTAAATTTCCAGTTTGTTGAAAAAAACTTCTTCATCAATGATTTAAAAAATTACTTTCGATATATAGTTAACGAAAGGAATTGGGTCTTTGCAACAAAATACGACTTTCTAATCCATATATCTTTCAAACCCGATATCGTAGACCTTATTCTAAGTTTGAAATTTCAAAGGTTTACATCAAGTTTCAAGAATATAAGGATTAGAAAATTTGAGTTTGTACAAAGACTCAATTTCTCTCTAACAGCTCTGTTACTTATCAGGAAGTGTGTCCTTCTGGGAAGGAATTTAGCTCAGGTTTTATGATATTTCGTTTTCTTACAAAAATAAATTTTCAAAAAACTAATTTGAATTCATGAACTAATATAATATGAAATATATTAAGATAGTTGTGACTGTGTGTGCAAGGCGAGGTAAAATTACTTTTTTTATCTTATTGTTTCGATTATTTAACAAATCATCTTTTGTTGAATGTAATCCAAATGTACAGGTCTCTGCTTTTTAAAAAAAGATAATTTTACAAAAGAAAAAAATTCTTTCTGATAAAAGGGTTCAATAAAAGTAATTAATCAAATTATCTCTTATTTCTTTCTTGAAATTCAATTTATAGTCTTATAAATACTTGAACCATAAAGAACCCATTTGGCTTGTACATTAATACAGAGATGAGGGTATCTCCGGATGCTGGTGGAAACAGGAGTGGAGTGATGAGTTCTGTTCCTGCTATATCAATATGTCAAGGTAAACCCTGTTCTCCTGGTACTAGTAGAACCAGGAAAGGATAAGTTCTGTTCCTGCTGTATCAATATGTCAAGGTAAACCCATGTTCTCCAGGTACTAGTAGAACCAGGAGGGATGAGTTCTGTTCCTGCTATATCAATATATCAAGGTAAACCATGTTCTCCAGGTTCTAGTCGAACCAGAAGGGTTGAGTTCTGCTCCTTTCATGTAAATATTTCCAGGCAACCCCTGTTCTCCAAGGACAAGTAGAGCCTGGAGGTATGAGTTCTGCTCATGCTATTTCAATATGTCAAGGTAAACCAGTTTCTCCAGGTTCTAGTAGAACCAGAAGGGTTGAGTTCTGCTCCTGCTAAATCAATATGTCAAGGGATACCATATTCTCCAGGTACTAGTATAACCAGGAAGAATGAGTTCTGTTTTTGCTATATCAATAGTCAAGGTAAACCCCCGTGTTCTCCTGCTACTAGTAGAACCAGGAGGGATGAGTTCTTGGCTCTGACGTATTTATATGTCAAGATAAACCCTGTTCTCCAGGTACTAGTAGAACCTGAAGGGTTGAGTTCTGTTCCTTTCATGTAAATATGTCAAGGTAAACCCTGTTCTCCAAGTACTAGTAGATCCTGGAGGTATGAGTTCTGCTCCAGCTATTTCAATATGTCAAGGTAAACCCTGTTCTCCAGGTACTAGTAGAACCTGAAGGGTTGAGTTATGTTCCTTTCATGTAAATATGTCAAGGTAAACCCTGTTCTCCAAGTACTAGTAGAACCTGAAGGGTTGACTTCTGCTCCTGCTATATCAATATGTCAAGGTCAATATGTTCTCCAGGTACTAGTAGAACCAGGAAGAATGAGTTCTGTTTTTGCTATATCAATATGTCCAGGTAACCCCTGTTCTCCAGGTACTAGTAGAACCAGGAGTAATGAGTTCTGCTCTTGCTATATCAATATGTCAAGGTAAACCCTGTTCTCCAGGTACTAGTAGAACCAGGAGGGTTGAGTTCTGGTAAACCATGTTCTCCAGGTCATGATAGAATCTTAGATCTTTTGCCGTTCATTTAGCATAGTAAATTCTCATCTTTTTTCTATCATGTTATTTTTAGTTCTAATTACCAGAATGTTGGAGTACGAATCCTAATATACTCTATTCTAATTTTTTAGTTCTGTTTACCAGAATATTGGAGTAGGAATCCTAATATTCTCTCTTCTAATCTTTTAGTTCTGATTACCAGAATGTTGGAGTAGGAATCCTAATATTCTCTCTTCTAATTTTTTAGTTCTGATTACCAAAATGTTGGAGTAGGAATCCTAATATTCTCTCTTTTAATATTTTAGTTCTGATTACCAGAATATTGGAGTAGGAATCCTAATATTCTCTCTTCTAATATTTTAGTTCTGATTATGTTGGAGTAGGAATCCTAATATTCTCTCTTTTAATATTTTAGTTCTGATTACCAGAATATTGGAGTAGGAATCCTAATATTCTCTCTTCTAATATTTTAGTTCTGATTACCAGAATGTTGGAGTAGGAATCCTAATATTCTCTCTTCTAATATTTTAGTTCTGATTACCAGAATATTGGAGTAGGAATCCTAATATTCTCTCTGGTAATCTCTATCCTTCTGAATATCAAGAGCACACTGTATACACGCAAACTTCTTCTCTATATAGGAAATCAAATTGAAACTGGAAAATTCTGTATCTTTAAAATTTGCCAAGTTCATAAACTTCTTAAAGCTCATGAATGAAATATAGAGAACTCTAAAACTTAGTCATCAAATGTTTAGACAGCCCCGTATTCAAAATGTCGCAACGCTCTGGCCTTTCGTTTCACCTCGCCAACTTAATTAAACGTTTTTGTAGCATTAAACAAATACATTTTAAAACTGCAAGGCGCTTGTTTCTAGCTTAAGCTTTAAAGAAGTATTTAGCAAAATTCTGCTTGATTTTTGTGTGAGAGCATGCACATTTTGGCTTGCTGCGAGCTGTTCCATTTTTTAAATTATTGTGATTTTCTTTTTAGTCTTTCTCAGTATTCATTCTCTAAACTTTGTTCACGCAAAAGTCATCTAATTTCTTTTTAAAAAGTCTAAATAATTCCTTCAGACTCTTAACATTTTTTCTGAACAATGAACAACTATTAAACAAGTTTGATTTTAACAGATGAAAACCGTGTTTATGGACTAAGTAAAAGATTATTAAGGTAAGTTAAAAAAAAATTGCTTGTATTAATGCCGGAAAATTTTGTCGTTTCTGTTGCTTAAAGCGTATTTAACTTTGATCACATAAAAGCTGAAGTTAAGCTATTTTTTTAGCGCAAAGTTTTAAGAAGAATACAATTTTACAGACTTAACTGGAAAATGTTTTATTCTTTTTCAAGCAAATTACAATTTCTTCTGGTCCTTGCTTTTGATCTCGCAGAAAATAGAATTTTAATGATATCAAATCGACATTATAATGATCTCAATAAGCTATCTGTATATTGTATGAAAAATAACGATAACGTTCTAAACCATAGGAACTGTGCAAAGATCAAACCAAGACAGAAAACTGAGAATGGTTGGGAATATGGAAACACTTACTAAATTGTAACAATCATTATCAAAATTTAATTTAATATATATCCTTTCATAATAAAATTTATAAATTAATATGTTGGGATGCCCAGGCTTCAAATCTTAAAGATTTGTTGTTATGAAGAAGAAGGTTTGTGAAGTGAAGGTACATTTCAGGCACTATAATAGATTCATGAGGACTGCTAACGTTTCCCAGCTCACTCAATCTTTCACAGATCGTCTTCGTTCTCAAAACATCAAACTTCTGCGCGGCATCTTCTGCAATGTACTCATTTTTATTAAACATGATATCTCTGGGACTAGAAATGATTGCGTTAAGCTTTTTTATTTTGGAAAAATCGTTGGTTTAGTGAAAAACGACTATTTTTTCAAGTTCGTTCGAACGATTTTAAATCGTTCATTTTGTGTTTTTTTTCGTTGAATATTTTTTATATTTCTCTGAACGATCAAAGACGTTAATCCATCTTTCTTTTTTCTGAACGACTCGATCGTTCTCAAAAATTTTGTTCGTTCACAAAAACGATGGCCAGCTCTGTCTGGTACTAGATTTAATAAATAGCTAGAAGCGTTAAACCGCTTCTCTTGTGCACCAGAACTTAAGCTGTCGGGGGAAGTGGTTCAACTCTGTCTTGCTATTCATTAAATCTGGTCCCTGGAGAAAAAGGGTTTTATTAACACAATAAAATATAAAAATAAAAGTTTTTAAAATGATCTCCCTAGTTCAACTCTGTTAACAACCCAGTCCAATCTATTCTGAAGTTGCTCCGGGGTAAAAACTTCCAGTTCATCCAGCAGGGGCCATCCTTCTTTACAAGCTTTACAACTACAGCTGAAATAAATCTCAAAATTAAACTTGATACAAGCAAAAAACAATCAGAAATGTCTTAATTACTGCTTAAAATCTATAGAGAAAAACAAGTACTTTATAGTTCAGAAATCACTATATGGCATAAAAAAAGTTTAAGTAAGTTAATGAGGTATAATTTAAGGCCAAGGCATTGCGACACTTCAAACTCGACCCATTCTCTACAATTCTGCTTTTAATAATTGTGAAAAATTTAACCTTTTAAATTTAGATTAGAATTTATCTATAGTATTTTATTTGAACGATTTCAGCAATAGTTTATTTTTGGTTCTGAATCTTGTGCCGGATTATTTTTATAAAATTTTATAAAAACAAAGTTATATAACACAACAACCTTAAAAACTGCTCATATTGATTGACATATTTAATGTTTTTAATTTTTATATTTTACCTAAATCCAAAATTTCTTCTTCTTGAATATTTGTCAGTTAAAAAGAAATATTCTCCATAGTAGTCCGCCACCTCCTCTCCAACCCTGATCAGATATATTGATTCAATCACAATTTTAAACACTTTGACAATTGATAAAACGTCTAGTGATCTCTAAAACTTTTTCTTTGTGGTTAGACCATAGATCAAGATAAATTGCGCATAAGACGACATTTTTCATCTTGAAAGATATAAATGTACGTCATGTGGGTGTGTCTGTACCAAAAGATTGTGTGTCAGTTTACTGTACCAAAGGTGTGAACTGTAGGTTTATACAGTACGTATGAATCTCGGTATTTGTACAGTCTAGGAGAGTACATTTGTTTATTGTTAATTATTTACTTAAAAATAAGTTTAATATGCATGTAATATATTATTTACATATTTAAGTCGCCACTATAAGCCAAAATTTCATGCAAAGAATATAATTTGATGAAAGTTTACAATAAACTAATCGTTATTTAAGTTTAATTATAATCGACGACATTGTTCTGCAATTTCCTTGACTGTAGTCATGTTGTGTGTCTGTACCAGATGAGTGTTTGTAAGTTTACTGTACTGGTCTGCAAAGCAGTGTGACTGGCTTTCTCTTGCCGGACCAGCGCCATTTCCTTTCACTATATTCCTGTTCCCTGGTTTTAAAGATATTCCTATTATATAGATTAACTAGGTCGGTTGTGAACATTGGCTGTTCTTATGTCATTGAGTACTTGTGGTGTACATGAGTTCTGTAGAGAGAAATTTAAGTTAGTTTAGTCCTTCTCATGTCGTTCTTCAGTTCTCGTCAATATGATATATTGCTCAGTGAAATATTGTTGTTCAAATAGTTCCATTCCCGGAGTCAGTTTACACTCTATTATGAAATCCATTAAAACACCAAACCACCCCGCTTATCATTGAAGTACACTTTGACCCCTAAAAGTATGAGTTCGCGGACTGTACAATTCTTGGTGATTTAGCGTACATAAGCTATCTATGTTTATTTATTTATCTATGGGTTAGACTGTCAATTTCAACTTTCATTTATATCAATGATTATTTGTAAACTTGTAATTCGAAAAAAGCTTAACGAACAATCAAAACTTAGATAAAAAGTCGTCTTCATTTCATTAATATGATTGCCTATCATTGTATTTGCTTGTCCTATCTTAAAACTGTAAAACTGCAATGTATGCATAGAGTTCAAAGTGTACAAATCATGTAAATGTTCACAAATTATATGCAGTAGAGTACATTAATACAATATGTTCCCTAGACTATCCATTTCAATTTCGAATTTTTTAAACTGTTAAATAAACTTTATAATGAATTAGGTGAATAAAAACATGATTTGATTTATAGTTATAACGGAAAATCATCGTTTGTAAAGTGGAAGGCATAGAGTCAATGTGAAATGATCATTGGTCAATTATGAAACCAGTCTATTTCATAATTTGGTTTTCTTTTAACAATAATTTTAGATTTTCTATAAAATGATATTCCAGGGCTCAACAGGTTATATAGCATAAATATGTGAAGTACACCTGCAGTATGGAAACAGTACAACAAAATGGTCGTTTTACACTTTTTTCTAGTAAATTCCTCTCTATATATATTCTATTCTCTATGAATGTATGGCACAGCTAAACAACTAGATTTTCGAGGAGATAAGTAATTTGCAGCAGAGACTTAAAATAATAGCGAAGTCAAAAATCCAATACTTCTTTTGTTTAGATTTTTATCAAATGATAAGGATACTGTTTAAACAATTTTAGATACTGTTTTACATAAAACTGGCTTGGGAACCCAGCGTTGCCCAGGGTATTCATAGTTACTTCCGCCGTTTACCCGCACGATTTTTACCGGGAACCAAAATTTTCTCTATAAAAGTCGATCCACTCAATTTAGACTCCTAAAACCAAGATAATAATATTCCCGTGACTCTCCCGAATTCCCAAATCACAATTTGAGGCAAATCCGTCCAGTTATGATCGGACAAACAAACAAACAGACGAACAGAGATTATATCAAATATTCATATTCTACAAAATAGTCTTACTTCATCATTGTTTTGGTCTTAAATATTTACATAACTTTTTTAGAAAATATAAGTGAGGTAAGAGAAAAAGATTTTCTGTGCCAATCTTTTTTCGGGATGTATAATTTAACCAAGATGACTCTCCTAACCTTATTTTTCTTTTTGCTTGCATAACTTCAGTTCTTCCATCATGATATTTCATAGTATTCACGTCACAACTAGAAAATATCATAAGTTTGAATACTTAATTCAAGTTTTTTTGGAAATCAAAATTAATTTTTAGTATAATTCTATTATACACTAAAGCCGTTAATACAAGAAGTATTTTATTTTATAGAAAATTCAAAAAATTAGGATTTTGAATCTTTTGCTTTTAGAGAAAAGCAATAAAATAAATAATATGTAGATGTAAACTGGTCGATTTTTTAGTTCTTCTGGAATAAGGAATCTTTAAATATTTAGATTAAAATAAAAGCTGGCTAAAAATAAAAATAAAAAGATAATGAAATTAGTTTTTATCAAAAAATAGGAATATATACTCTAGATGGGTTTTAGAACATTTAATTATTAATTAGATGGTGTCTTCTCGTAGAGTTTTAACTACTTATTAAAAATATTTGTTATTCTACCTACGCATGGAAAAGTTGTTCACTACGCTAAAAAATACATTTTTAGTACTAGTTCAATAATTACAATTTAATTACAATTTAATCACAATAATTACATACCCTACAGCTTGTGAATCAATCTTGAAGTCAGGAAAGACTTCAGGGTCAAATAAAAGATATATAAAAATGTAGTCTTCTATAAAAGACACGTTTCACTAAATAAAATTCTTGCTTATTATAGGATTTTCGAGAATGTAAACTTTTCAGCTTTTCATTATGTTAAAAGCGTATGTATGTTCCATAGTTCTTTTACACGGACCATTGAATTTCTGTGAACATTAAAAAAAGCTGATAACCATAGCATAAACCAATTGCTAACCATTGAAAAAACTAGTTAATAACCCTAGTATACCTGTTGTTAAAGAATGAGCTGCAAAGATAAATTCCAACTCCAACAATCCTATTCAGATCTTCCCTCTCCTGCAAACTAGAGAAACTTATCTCTTCTATATCACCAGCATCCAGCTCACTGATCTATAACAAGAAAAAGTTGCTTATAATCAATGAAACAGCTTAACTAATATCAAAATAAATCATTTTGTTCAATCCAAGACGTTTAAAATGAAGACAAAAGGTTTTGCAGAAAACTTACCGAAAAAAAGTTATTTGTTGTTTATGAATTCATCGTTGTTTTTTTTCATTTTGTCTGTTGATGTACATTTTTATCTTATGCAATTTTTGATTTTATGAGATCTTATAATTGTACAGAATTGAAATTTAAAAAGGGCGCCGTGACAAACTCCTGAAAGACAAACTCCTGAAAGACAAACTCCGGAAAGACAAACTCCTGAAAAGACAAACTCCTGACGAGAGAAACTCCTGACGAGACAAACTCCTGACGAGACAAACTCCTGACGAGACAAACTCCTGAAAATAAAAAATTCTGAAATACAAACTCCATAATATCAAATTTAAAAAAATGTTTCACAATTTATATTTAATCTAGCCGCAGCGCTTGGCCCAGAAAGTGTCAACACTTAACCTAACCCATGGCCGCAGCGCTCGGCCCCCTAGCCTGTCCTAGCCGCAGCGCTCGGCCCAGAAAGTGTCTCAACCTAACCAAACCCTAAATAATAAAAAATAAATAATAATAAATTTGCTGGTTATTCTGATTTTTTCTAGAATATTTGCGGATTTTTCTTCTAAGGTTTATGAATTTATCGAATTTCATTCAGAGAAAAATTTCATAATTTCAGGAGTTTGTCTTTCAGGAGTTTGTCTCGTCAGGAGTTTGTCTCGTCAGGAGTTTGTCTTTCAGGAGTTTGTCTTTCCGGAGTTTGTCTTTCCGGAGTTTGTCTTTCCGGAGTTTGTCTTTCAGGAGTTTGTCTTTCAGGAGTTTGTCACGGCACCTTTAAAAAGTAATAATTATTTACAACTACTTCACAACCAATGAAGTTAAGGAAATATTACTTTACCAAGAGTTCCCCCAAGACCAATTTGGTCGAGGGAACCCGTGGTGATGTAAAATTTTTAACTATTCATAAAATATTAGTTGAACACAACTTTGACGTCATTTCATATAAAAATGCAAGAATATTTTTACGAAAACTTGACAGAACAAAATATTATTTTACTTGTCCAAATGGTAAATTAACAATAACATCCTGCTGTGGGGAAATCTCACCTCGTGACAATTATTATCTGAAATCTTGAGAAAAAGTTCGATAAATCTTCCGATCAAGATTTCATCCTCTCCTAGTTGATCTGAGTTGTTAAAGAACTTGAGCTGACGGAGAAGAAAGAGAATGTAGTAGGTCCAGGCACTCTTCTCCATCATATACATTGAGTCTATTTTATTTCCAGCCTTAAAAACAAAACACTTTTAAACACGTGAAGAGAAAATCCAGGAAAAATAAAAGGTTTAGAATGAATATCAGCATAATTTGATAATGTTAATAAAATGTTTATTTGCAAATGCAATTGAAACTATATATATATGATAAGGCAATATACACTGCTGCAAACTATTTTGGTCATATTCTGTTCAAATTTCGAAGTTTTACTTTTATGAAACTATTGTGTCCTTTATCATTCTTCCTCACTTCATCGTGAATTTCATAATGAACGTACTATATAGTAATCATCGTGCTATAAAGTTAAATTAACTTGATTGGTTCCCGGATTTTCTCCAAAAATTCAGGATTTCCAAAATAAAATTGAAATCAACTTTATATTTTGACTTCTGCTTTGTTTCAATGCTTATTTGATCTAGAAATAGGCATTGAAATAAGACAAGTGCACAAACGTTTCATAAAATTACCAATAACACTATTATTTTGGCACGACATGCTATAAAGTTTTTGGACTTAAATTTTCTCTTTATCTCGAAGGTTCTCGCCCTTTTAAATTATATTTTGTCCCTCTCGCTAAAGCTCGAAATTAATTCTAAGATAAAGAGAAGATTTCTGTCCAAAAACTTCATAACACTGCGCACCAAAATAACAGTGTTATAAATTAATACTTTAAGTTTATGCTTCTATTTGTGTGACAGTACAAGCAAAAAATATTTCTGCCGACGGTGTTGAAAAAATTAGTTTCGTCATCAAAGCTTTGAAAACTGCCGAACCAAAAGTTTTTGCAGATTGCGCAAAATAGCTCGTAAACATAAAGTGTCTTGAACAAAAAATTCTAAAATTGGTTTAAGGTGCTTAAAAATGCCCCATTTGTGTCACACTGTATAGAGTACTTTTTAAAAGTTAGAAACTAAAAAATAAAATTGTTTCTAAAATTTGACTTGAATAATTTAGAGGAATCTGACCTGTAGAGTACATAGATCTTCTAAATGCTTAGTTATTGATAGTTCGGATAAATTGGGTTCTGCTGAGTTGGAGTTGTTTGGTTGGGAATTTGAGTTGTACTTGTTTTTTAATGAGTTGGAGTTGTTTTGTGTGGAATCGGAGTTGTTACGTGGTAATTTGGAGTTGTTATGTGGAGAGTTGGAGTTGTTTTGTCTTGTTTTGGAGTTGTTTCCTGGTGAGTTGGAGTTCTTGCCTGTTGAGTTGGAGTTGTTCTGACTTGATTTAGAGTTGTTTTGTCTTGATTTGGAGTTGTTTTTAGGTAAGTTGGAGTTGTTTTCTGTTGAGTTGGAATTGTTATGTGTTGAATCGGAGTTCTTTTGACACAAAGTGGAATTTTCTTGTGATGGCGAAGATTTTTCTTGTGATGAGTTACTTTTGCACAAATTTGAGTTTTTTTGTGAAGAGTTATTAATAAACTGTGTTGAGTTATTACGGTGTAAGGTGGGAAAGGCTTTTACAGGGGTTGGTTGGATTTCCAGTAGTTCCTCTTTATCTTTGAAGAAGGACAGACCATATTTGGTGAATATCCTAATGCAACCCCAAAATAAGTTCAGTGACAAAAACATCGTAATTTCAATAATTAATGTTAAAGAAACTGTAGTTGTAATTTGAAAGGGACCTTCCATTTCAAAAGTGGAATATCCGATTCATATCGGTAGCTTGAAGCAGAAATGCGCAAGTCACTATAGAGAGAAATCACAATTAAAATAATCAAGTTTTCAAGAAAAGATTATTAAAATCACATGTATTCTTCAGACTAAGCTTTCTAAGGCACCGTTAAGAATCAAACATGCTATTCTATAAATGGAGAATGAGAGAAACTACAGTCCCTTTAATTTCATTTGTTTGACGATTTTATGATGAAAATTAACTTTTGGTGACACAAATATATATAAAATTTTCCATGAATTTTCTATGAAGATTGATAAATTTAATATAGTTAGTTTTGAGTTCCTAAGAACAGGAGCTATAGTTCCACAGGGGGGTAGAATATCAAGCATGGAACACTCTGAACTATGGAACTCCAAACCTGAAATATCAAATCATCAAATAAGTAGTATTAAAGGGATTGAACACGTTATTTCAAGAGACCCTCCCTCAATTTGCATGTCATATCCGATTCACACAAGTACCCATAACCCTTTGTCTGTACAAGGATGAACAAGATTATCTCTCGATAATTTATTTGATTTCGATTGGGGTTTCTTATAGAGCTGAGACGAAGAGGAAAATTGATAGAATTTGACATGTTTTCAGATAAATAACTTCTTCATTGTTACTAAACTAGATATTAAAAGGGTACCATTGTGAATCACACATGCTACTTACTATAAATCTCGTCTACAATCTCTTCGGGGACTAAATCACAAAAGATTGTTTTGAAAATGTTACTTACCCTGTTCCTTGCATAAAGCAGAGCAGAACAAAACCTGGTTACATTTGGAACACCCAACTCCATACACAACATATCTTGAAAATACCTTGCATTAGAGACATTTAGTACTTCTACTCCAAATATTCATTTTACACAATACACAGGGATCCAAAGGGTTCAAGTTCATACTCCAGGAACCGATGAGAACTTTACCAATTACTTTTATAAACAAAAGTTAAAAACAAGTGATTTATATTTCGAAAAATACTTGTCTATGAGTAAAACAAGTATATTAAGTGGGTAAGGTCAAATCAAAGTCTATCCAGTCTTGAAAACAGATGCAACTTTTCATACAGTGATAACCAGAAAACTCTGAAATAGGAAGACGTCCATGTATAGCCATACTTGTATGTGTATTTGATGTTGTTACTAAGCAAATAGTTTTACTAGAAACTTATTAAATCGCAAATTAAGTGAAATGGGTTGTTTACACTGCACAATTGCCGTATCCCATTCATATTGGACTATTTAAATTCATAGATTGAGTCTAAAAGTCGTCTTCCTATTCCAGAGTTTTTTGCTTATCACTGTAGCTGTCTGAATACTTGTGAACAATTTACCACAAATCAAGAATGATAACTTTTATTTGTAAAAACCTACAATGATAAAAGGTTACATACATAACACTACAGTCAACACTTAAAACTGGGAGTTTTGTATTAGATATGGATTAAGTCTGGGAATTAATTCAGCTGCTGAACTTGATCTCTCGTGGATAAACTTTAAAGATGACGCGGGTTCAGTTTCTGAGATCCACAACTAAGAAGAATACGCCGTAGATTAAATACAAAATAAATCTCAGCTCAGGGCATAATTTTAGAGTTTTAAATACAGATCTTTACTAGGGCACTGAAAATAAGAGAAAAATCTTGCTTGATATTGGTAATTACTGTATCTATATACACAGAGCTGGGAACCTTTGTGTTGGATACTCATAATCCCGATCCTTTGTGTTGGATTCTCATAATCCCGATCATTTGTGTTGGATTCTCATAATCCCGATCCTTTGTGTTGGATACTCATAATCCCGATCCTTTGTGTTGGATTCTCATAATCCCGATCCTTTGTGTTGGATTCTCATAATCCCGATCCTTTGTGTTGGATACTCATAATCCCGATCCGCAGAATCTGCTTAATCTCATAATTTTTAAAAACCGCAATTTCTCTTTTCTATCATTGGTTCAGCGCAAAACTACCTGGCTTCTGATTGGCTGTTCACGTGATATTGATTAAAGATTTACTTAATCTGTAGATTAACAAAAGATCGAGATCAATGCAAGATCATGCATGGTCTCAATGTCCACAATAAAAAGGGTTCCAGCACTGCATATCTTTCAAAACCTAGAGATTAATAATTAATCAAAACTTACCTGAGACAAGTAGCACAGTTGGAATATCTATGTGAGGAATGAAGGATTGATATAAATGGAGATTCTCGTAGAATAGTTTCTCCTACTTCAATATCTTCCTTGGCAACCACATATCTTCCTGTACAATGTACTATGTACATAAAGAACCGGTTATCATGTACAAAAAACTAAAATAATTGCTAGGAAACTGACTACTCGCCTCAGACAACCAGATGTCGTAGACTTTTAATATTTTAAACAATGGATAAATAGAATAAACATATTAAAGTTATGGCATTAAAAAATCAGTGATTAGTTAACTCGTTTGAAATGTGTGTACATTTTTACAAGTCTTAAAAGAAAGTAATCTTTGACTGACAGCTTTGAAAAAAAATGGCACACAAGTTTGCACGAAAAAAAAGATTCATTAAATTGTGCGGTGTTTGTAAAGAAACACAAACGAGTATTCAATGATTCAGAACGAGAACAATGTGGAAAAAGACTAAAAATAAGACAAACAAAATGCTAAATTTCATTGAAGAATATTAATTTTTTCTTTGTAAAGGAAATGAGTTTTTGCCACAAAATCTTATTTTCAAATTTTTATATCTTCTCAACCAAACGTCGTAAACTTTAGATATTTCAAACTATTCATTCTGTTTAACCAAATAGTCTTAGTTTGAAATATCGAAGGATTACGGTATTAGGTTGAAAAGATACAGAGGTTTAAAAATTTGAGTTTGTGGAAAAGACTCAATTCCTTTACAAATAAACAAACTTCAAAACTAGAAAAACGAAGGTTAAATTTTATTTTTCTTTAAAAACAAGACTTGCAAAAATTATATTCTAAAATGAAGAGGGTAGAATTCCAGGGCAGATTCTAGATTGTTCTAAAAAATGTGAAAAATGCAATGCCGAGGGATATAAACTAATTCAACCCAAAAATATTGTAGATTCGTGTGAAATTTAAATTTATTTATAGAAAAATCTAAACAATACAATACAATACAATACAATTCAATACAATACAATACAATACAATACAATACAATACAAAACAATGCAATACAATACAATACAATACAATACAAAACAATACAATACAATACAATACAATACAATACAATACAATACAATACAATACAATACAATACAATAAGTGTCAAACCACCAGTAAAATCTCACCTTTCTCCTTAGAAAACTGAACTTCTATTTTGCTGGAGATATTCTCTGAAACCTCTGGTTTAGGTTTAAACAGTTTTTCGAGGTTCGCACAATTCAAAATAGACCTAGAAAGAAAAAGAGTTAATCATTTTTTTAAATTTTTTTATTTTGATACGAGTTTTTCTTTTAAGAATTCAGGCTTTTTATTCCCATGATTTCACGTAACAAAAAGAACATACAATATATTGTTTTAAAGTAACTATTTATATTTTTACTAAAATAACACAATGAATTTGTTGTTTTCAGTTTTTTACCTAATATCCTCATGAACTAATTCCCAATCTGCCTCAGTTAACTGGGTAATGGCTTCGTTCAAACTTAGAATACCCTGAAAATGCATTTTTTTCGCACTTGGAAAAATACGTATAAAATATTGGAGAAAATTAAGCAATTACCTGGGCTGCACATTTATTTAAATTAAATGTGCAAAAGGGTATATAAATACAAGGTGCATTAAAAAAGCGACAATTATTGCATAGTTTTTTGCTCATCAATATTTAAAGAAAAACTGACCTGAATTCCTCCATTTTCCTTCCCTTGTTTCCAAAGATCTTTCCCTTTATCTCCATCCTTGCTCCAACTACTCCTAGATTAGATAAATCAAATCTTAGAATCTTTTACTTTATCTCCATCCTTGCTCCAACTAAAATCAAATCTTAGAATCTTTTCTTTTATCTCCACCCTTGCTCCAACTACTCCTAGATTAGATAAATCAAATCTTAGAATCTTTTACTTTATCTCCATCCTTGCTCCAACTAATCCTAGATTAGATAAATCAATTCTTAGAATCTTTTCTTTTATCTCCATCCTTGCTCCAACTAATCCTAGATTATATAAATCAAATCTTAGAATCTTTTCTTTTATCTCCATCCTTGCTCCATCTACTCCTAGATTAGATAAATCAATTCTTAGAATCTTTTCTTTTATCTCCATCCTTGCTCCAACTAATCCTAGATTAGATAAATCAAATCTTAGAATCTTTTCTTTTATCTCCATCCTTGCTCCAACTACTTCTAGATTAGATAATATAAGTTAAAATCTAAGGTTGTTTATAAATTATGAAATAAAATGAATTTAAGAAAAAAAATATGTAATAAAAATAATTAAAATTGTAAAGTAAACGTAAATGTAAAATATGTACTTTGATTGTTATAATTCAAAAAGTTTAAACTTTAAAAGTAAAAAAAAAACTAATTCAAAATAAACATTAAGACAAACTAATGCCTTAATATATTATACTATATACTAATATACTAACCTCTCTTTTATCTTGAAATGGGAATGCTTATGAATGTACTTCAGTCTTTCCTCTTTAAACATTCATTGTTAAATTACTGTAAACGTTAATTTCAATAGCCAATTCGTTTAAAAATGTTCGATTACCAACGGTACCCTTGAAACCTTAATCTGATAAACAATTTGAAAGATATCGTCGTTATTCTGATTCGAAAAGTGTTTATTTGTGATAAATTCTCTATTGCTTCTCATAATCAATAAGTGCGCACGTCACTTCTGTACAGAACTCTCAATTTAAAATAATAATTTTTTAAAATTTAAACATTTATATCTAATTCATACTTGATCAGACAAAACTTTTAAAAGCGCCGATGTAAATCTTACATTGCCATCTATGTATAGTGGGTCACATGAAACTAGGCTTGCAGTTTCTTTAAGTTTTAATTTAAAACGTTTTTTACAAAAATGATTTTACAAGTAAAGGTAACATACATAAAAACCTAGTCCACAGTCGTCAACAAATAGATTGATAGAAATATGCAGAAGAAAATAAATTCACTAATAAAAATGCTGGAAATTAGACATAAATAAAAAAAAATGATGAATTTGTTCCTAAATTCAATCCGTGTATCTCACTGAGGCACTGGGTCCCCCCTGTATACCTGAATACAAGAAAATTCAGAAAACACAACTCTTTTATAAAGAAGAAAGATGAATAGTTGAAGAGTAACATGAGGGATAGATGAATAATTGAAGAGTAACATGAAGGATGGGTGAATAGTTGAAGAGTAAGATGAAGGATAGGTGAATAGTTGAGAAGTAACATGAAGGATAGGTGAATAGTTGAAGAGTAACATGAAGAATGGGTGAATAGTTGAGGAGTAACATAAAGGAAAGGTGAATAGTTAAAGAGTAACATGAAAGATGGGTGAATAGTTGAAGAGTAACATGAAGGTTAGGTGAATAGTTTAAGAGTAACATGAAGGATAGGTGAATAGTTGAAGAGTAACATGACGGATAGGTGAATAGTTGAAGAGTAACATGAAGAATGAGTGAATAGTTGAAGAATAATATGAAGGATGGGTGAATAGTTGAAGAATAACATGAAGGATGGGTGAATAGTTGAAGAGTAAGATGAAGGATATGTAAATAGTTGAAGAGTAAGATGAAGGCTGGGTGAATAGTTGAAGAGTCAGATGAAGGATAGGTGAATAGTTGAAGAGTAACATGAGGGATAGATGAATAATTGAAGAGTAACATTAAGGATGGGTGAATAGTTGAAGAGTAAGATGAAGGAAAGGTGAATAGTTGAGAAGTAACATGAAGGATAGGTGAATAGTTGATAAGTAACATGAAGGATGGGTGAATAGTTGAAGAGTAACATGAAGGATGGGTGAATAGTTGAAGAGTAACATGAAGGATAGGTGAATAGTTGAAGAGTAACATGAGGGGTAGGTGAATAGTTGAAGAGTAATATGAGGGATAGGTAAATAGTTGAAGAGTAACATGAAGGATAGGTGAATAGTTGTAGAGTAATATGAGGGATAGGTGAATAGTTGAAGATAAACATGAGGGATAGGTAAATAGTTGAAGAGCAACATGAAGGATAGGTGAATAGTTGAAGAGTAACATGAGGGATAGGTGAATAGTTGAAGAGTAACATGAAGGATAGGTGAATAGTTGAAGAGTAATATGAGGGATAGGTGAATAGTTGAAGAATAACATGAAGGATGGGTGAATAGTTGAAGAGTAACATGAAGGATGAGTGAATAGTTGAGAAGTAACATGAAGGATGGGTGAATAGTTGAAGAGTAACATGAAGGATGGGTGAATAGTTGAAGAGTAATATGAGGGATAGGTGAATAGTTGAAGAGTAACATGAAGGATAGGTGAATAGTTGATGAGTAACATGAGGGATAGGTGAATAGTTGATGAGTAACATGAAGGGCAGGTGAATATTTGATGAGTAAAACGAAGAGTAGGTGAAAAGTTGAAGAGTAACACGAAGGATATATATGTCGATAGTTTGAGAGTAACATGAGGGATAAATGAATAGTTTAAGAGTAACATGAGGGATAAATGAATAGTTTAAGAGTAACATGAGATAGGTGAATAGTTGAAGAGTAACATGAAGGATAGGTGAATAGTTGAGAAGTAACATGAAGGATGGGTGAAAAGTTGAAGAGTAACATGAGGGATAGGTAAATAGTTGAAGAGTAACATGAGGGATAGGTGAATAGTTGAAGATTAACATGAGGGATAGGTAAATAGTTGAAGAGTAACATGAAGGGTAGGTGAATAGTTGAAGAGTAACATGAAGGATGGGTGAATAGTTGAAGAGAAACATGAAGGATGGGTGACTATTGAAGAGAAACATGAAGGATGGGTGAATAGTTGAAGAGTAACATCAAGGATGGGTGAATAGTTGAAGAGTAACATCAAGGATTGGTGAATTGTTGAAGAGTAACCTGTATGAAGGAAATGTGAATAGTTAAAGAGTAACCTGTATGAAGGAAATGTGAATGGTTGAAGAGTAAAGGAGAAGAATGTTTCCTGATCTCCCATTCTCCCTCTCAGCTCCTGATCAAACCCTAAACTGCTTTCCTCCCCCACACAAACTTTTCTCCGGAACTCACATTACACAGCTTTCCATCAAGATCAGAGATAAACATATTTCCTTTGTGGATTCACCTTTCCTTAAAATCAAGATTTTGTACTTCATAACAGCTCTATTCAAGTTCAAATCTTGTTCTCTTCTTCATATTACTCCTGTTTAGCGGGTTTAAAGAGCAGTGATAAATATACGATAGCAAGGTTTATGTTGATCACTGTGTAATGTGTATACTATGCATCAACAAGTTCAACAATTCGAACTATTTCTTTTTCACGCTTTATTCCTATTTTCTTCATGAAAACAACTTTCCTACTTTCATTCGTTCATTCAGACAGCAGAGTGTACATTTTACTGTACTTTTATATTCTAGTTATTATCCTCTTATCCTCTAGTTCTCCTCCTCTTATTCTCTAGTTCTCCCCCTCTACGCCTTTAGTTGTTATCCTCTTTTCCTCTAGTTCTCCCCCTCTTATCCTCTAGTTCTCCTCCTATCCTCTAGTTCTCCTCTTCTTATCCTCTAGTTCTCCTCTTATTCTCTATTTCTTCCGCTTCTCCTCTATTTGTTATCCTCTAATTCTCTAATTCTCATCCTCTTATCTTCTAGTTCTCCTCCTCTTATTTCCTAGTTCTCCTAGTTTCAACAATACTCGCTAACTAAGTAAATTAGAAGCTTGAAACATTGAAGTTGAAAGTAGGGGTAGGCCGGATTCTGAAATTTCATACCTGATTTAAACACAAATATTTGGGCTTTGTCAGTCATCATTATATCTTAATATTGCAAAGGAAGTAAACAACTCAGGGGGCTGCTGACCGGGAGGGGGGGGGTTACAAAAAAATATTTTAAAGTGAATGTTCAGAGATTTTGGGCTGAGAGAATTATTTAAAACTTTTCAAGATAGTAAAACTACAATATCTCCTTATTGTAGGTTAAAGGTTAAAGGTTTAAATGTTACCGTTCTAAATCATATATATGAAACTCTCCAGATGGAAAGTCACTTAGTTTAAATTAAATTAAAGTTATTTTTATATTCTAATAATTCACGGGTTGGAAAGAGGGTCTATTTACAAATTAAGAGTATTGTTTGTTTAGGACTGATAAGATTCTACCTAGTAACAACCAAAGATTTCTCAAATATAGGACAAACAAGAAATCATAAAATTAATAAATAATAATAATTAAAAGATGAACTATTTAACACAAATAATGCCAACCGTGATTACTGTTTAACAGATCTTCTCAATGTTTTGCAGATTCTAAAGTCTTTGAAACTTACTCCACTATACCGGCTCTTATCTCTACTATGGTAAGAGTACAATATTTATTTATTTGATAACCCTAGTTATCCGTTACTCTTAGTTACACAGTTACTAGATCATAACACGTGCTTGCTGTTCCATTTTGAGTTCCATGAAGTATTTAGAGTTCTATCAAGTATTTAGAGTTCCATCAAGTATTTAGAGTTCTATCAAGTATTTAGAGTTCCATCAAGTCAGAGTTCTATCAAGTATTTAGAGTTCTATCAAGTATTTAGAGTTCTATCAAGTATTTAGAGTTCTATCAAGTATTTAGAGTTCCATCAAGTATTCAGAGTTCTATCAAGTATTTAGAGTTCTATCAAGTATTTAGAGTTCCATCAAGTATTCAAAGTTCTATCAAGTATTTAGAGTTCCATCATGTATTTAGAGTTCCATCAAGTATTTAGAGTTCCATCAAGTATTTAGAGTTCCATCATGTATTTAGAGTTCCATCAAGTCTTTAGAGTTTAATTAAGTATTTAGAGTTTAATTAAGTCTTTAAATTAAGTATTTAGAGTTCCATCAAGCATTTAGAGTTTTATCAAGTACTAGCCTTAGAGGGCGCTTCGCGCCCATCTTCTTAATTAATTGTGAACATGTTCTCTTTGTGTACATCGTAAAAAGTATTTAGAGTTTAGTTAAGTATTTAGAGTTTAATCAAGTCTTTAGAGTTTAATTAAGTATTTAGAGTTTAATTAAGTCTTTAGAGTTCCATAAAGTATTTAGAGTTTAATTTAGTATTTAGAGTTTTATTAAGTATTTAGAGTTTAATTAAGTATTTAGAGTTTAATTAAGTATTTAGAGTTTAATTAAGTATTTAGAGTTTAATTAAGTATTTAGAGATTAATTAAGAATTTAGAGTTTAATTAAGTATTTAGAGATTAATTAAGAATTTAGAGTTTAATTAAGTATTTAGAGTTTAATCAAGTTTTTATAGTTTAATTAAGTATTTAGAGTTTAATTAAGTATTTTATAGAGATTAATTAAGTATTTTATAGAGATTAATTAAGTATTTAGTGTTTTATTAAGTATTTAGAGATTAATTAAGTATTTAGAGTTTAATCAAGTTTTTATAGTTTAATTAAGTACTTAGAGTTTAATTAAGTATTTTATGGAGATTAATTAAGTATTTTATAGAGATTAATTAAGTATTTAGTGTTTTATTAAGTATTTAGAGATTAATTAAGTAATTAGAGTTGTACAAGTATTATAATTAAGTGAGATCCATGAAATAGTGGAATAGGAGGACGACTGTTAAATATTTAACTGAAGTTTTGATATTAAATAGTCCCATGCAAGCTGCACAAAATTGTTTTGCAGTTTAAACTCAGTTTACTCAATATGTTGATGATTAAGCTACTGATATTAGAAGTATTTGTTTTTAACAACATTAAACACACGTAAGGTTGCCTAAATCACCATTCTATTCCACAGTTATTTGATACTTATTACCTGTAGTGCACGTGTAGAAAAGAGTAGAAATGAAACGTGTTCGAGAATTAAAATCCTGAAGTGAATTTTTTAATAACCTCATTGTTACCGACTAAGGAATATTTCATAAAGCATGAAAATCCTTAGTCTTTCAAAACCTCTTCCCTAGTTGAGAGAATTTATCTTAATCCGAAGTGCTTAAATGATGCGAGTAGTATAATCAATTAATTATTTTTGATAGTCTTTAAAGTACAATTCTGTTTGCGTATTTTTTGACGCAGTTTGAGTTTCAGGCGACATTCCCATTTGAAGTCCGAATGTAAGAAAAGTTATATATGTATATTTCAACAGATTTCTATTTTGTAAAAAAATAATTTAGACATAATGAATGAAGAGAAAAAACCTTTAGGGGGTACAGCCATCAAACCTGTGGGATGGGATAGGTTAGGAATTCTTGAACTATTTTCATTGTATTTAACTATTTTTTCCTTTATTTAACTATCTTTCCCTTTATTTAACTATTTTTCACTGTATTTAACTATTTTCCACTGTATTTAACTATTTTCATTGTATTTAACTATTTTTCACTGTATTTAACTATTTTTCATTGTATTTAACTATTTTTCATTGTATTTAACTATTTTTCACTGTATTTAACTATTTTTCACTGTATTTAACTATTTTTCATTGTATTTAACTATTTTTCATTGTATTTAACTATTTTTCACTGTATTTAACTATTTTTCACTGTATTTAACTATTTTTCACTGTATTTAACTATTTTTCACTGTATTTAACTATTTTTCACTGTATTTAACTATTTTTCACTGTATTTAACTATTTTTCACTGTATTTAACTATTTTTCACTGTATTTAACTATTTTTCACTGTATTTAACTATTTTTCACTGTATTTAACTATTTTTCACTGTATTTAACTATTTTTCACTGTATTTAACTATTTTTCACTGTATTTAACTATTTTTCACTGTATTTAACTATTTTTCACTGTATTTAACTATTTTTCACTGTATTTAACTATTTTTCACTGTATTTAACTATTTTTCACTGTATTTAACTATTTTTCACTGTATTTAACTATTTTTCCCTGTATTTAACTATTTTTCATTGTATTTAACTATTTTTCACTGTATTTAACTATTTTTCACTGTATTTAACTATTTTTCACTGTATTTAACTATTTTTCCCTGTATTTAACTATTTTTCACTGTATTTAACTATTTTCCCCTGTATTTAACTATTTTTCACTGTATTTAACTATTTTTCATTGTGTTTGACTATTATTCACTGTATATAACTATTTTTCCCTTTATTTAACTATTTTTCATTGTAATTAACTATTTTTCAGTGTATTTAACTATTTTTCACTGTATTTAACTATTTTCCACTGTATTTAACTATTTTTCACTGTATTTAACTATTTTTCATTGTATTTAACTATTTTTCATTGTATTTAACTATTTTTCACCGTATTTAACTATTTTCACTATATTTAACTATTTTTCATTGTATTTAACTATTTTTTATTGTATTTAACTATTTTTCAGTGTATTTAACTATTTTTCATTGTATTTAACTATTTTTATTGTATTTAACTATTTTCCACTGTATTTAACTATTTTTTATTGTATTTAACTATTTTCCACTGTATTTAACTATTTTTCATTGTATTTAACTATTTTTACTGTATTTAACTATTTTTCATTGTATTTAACTATTTTTCAGTGTATTTTACTATTTTTTATTGTATTTAACTATTTTCCACTGTATTTAACTATTTTTCATTGTATTTAACTATTTTTTATTGTATTTAACTATTTTTCAGTGTATTTAACTATTTTTTATTGTATTTAACTATTTTCCACTGTATTTATCTATTTTTCATTGTATTTATCTTTTTTTCATTGTATTTAACTATTTATCTAGGAGTGGTCTGGAAAAATTCCAATATTTTCTGTATGATCCGGACACAGGAGCATTCCTCTCACGAACTCCTTCCTCCTGGGTCAAGATTATTCTATTCTACTCTAGTAATATATTTACTTTTAAAGGGACTGTTCCAAAATGTCGACTATGATTGATTTTAAAAATGCGCTAATCAAAATAGAAAAAAAAATAGAAAAGGAGGAGAAAAGTCTTTATTAAAAAATCTAAAGTTAAAACAAATTCTTGATAGTTCTAAAATGTCAAAGTTGTTTGATTTCTTGAAAAGTCATTCCCTCACCCAACACTTAAAAAATCTTTTTTTCGCCTCAACTCCAAAACTTATTTTAGAGTTTCATACGCTGAATTTGGGTAAATAGATAATAATAATTTGGGGTATAAAGTATCAAAAAGAATGAAAAAACTTACCTTTCGATGTTCATTTTTATTCCCCTCCCCCTGTAGGGCTTAAAAAAGGTAGTGGCGTAAAATCAAATGCCTAGACACCCCTCACAAAAACAATACTTTATAATTATGTTTAACCTAATTATAATCATATTCTAGTTTACTACTCTTTGTTGACTATATTCTGGGTGTCCTGTCTCCAAATTTTCTTCATGACTCTACCGAATGATACTCCTAAGTAAGTAAATAAAAATCTACTCTAAATTAAAAAGCATGAATAGGAACTTAAAACTCACTTTAAACTTAAATCTCCAAAACACTTTGAAGAATTGATCTCGTAGAATTCTTAGTTTATAATATCAAAGGTCTACGACATCAGGTTACAAAGGTATTCGGAAATTAATAAAAATTATAACAACTTTGTAACAATATCTTTTTTAAGATGGACTCTGGATGAATCAATAATAGGTTCTAATCCGGGTCTTGGTTTGAGACCAAGAATGCAAGACTCTAGAATAGACAGTAGTATGTACGCTCTAGCCGCAGGTATATTTATATATACTGAACGTTTAACCCTTTTTTGTCGAAATCTGTGAAAATTTATGAAATTTATAAATATATACAGAAAAAAAGTCAGATATTGTTGGGAAATATTTTAATATTTTAATAAAAATCTAAATGTTAGGTTCCAAGGATACAGTTCCAACAAATCCAGAAGGAGAAGGAAGCAAGAATATTGACTACGCTGTGAGAATGAAGCATTTTTTGGGTAAACTTTAAATATACAAAAGTATAGGTTATTTAGAACTTTTGCAGAATTTACACAATTTTTTAACTAAAAAATGATCATTTAGTTGGTTTACTGGTTAACACAGAACTTTGGATGCATCGAAAAAATCTATAAAATGTCGTCTTGACAAATTTTCAATGTTTTTTAAACCTTAATCTCAGTGATTGTAAAAACTAAAAATAAATAAATATTCGGGAACAGTTTAAGGAGCTCCATATGATTATTCAATTAAAAAACTAAATATCTGCAGCAGTCAATAAAAAGTAGGTTTAGAAAAATAATTAGAGGAACTAATAAATTCATTATCGTTCCATATTAAAGGATAAAATAACTTTTTTACCATGGACATTGAATATCTAAAACTTTTCTTTGTTGGTAATCCTATACTTTATTGAATAAAGTTGTTCTGAGGGTGTGGGTGCCCGGCCGCCATGAGCCTCTTAAAACTTCCTCCGAGCCCATAATTTGCAGAATCTCCTCCGAACCGGGGATCTGGACAATCGGCAAACGGAAGGTTCAGGTGCAGGACGATTAACAGGGCTTGGAGATTATGATGAAGGGCACAGAAGATGGATAAGGGAGCTTAGAAGTAAATCTGTTGCCGGTTACCCCCTCCCTTCATTTATATATTATTATAAGTAACGAACTTGTGTTATAGGTGTGTATCAGAACCAAACTGGACTTGATAACTGTTCCTCGGATGCAAACCAAGTTAGGGTTGAGGGAGAGAGAAACTGTATATTCGATATATCCGTCCTAGCAGAGTGTGGAGAGTATCCCTACGGTTATCTTGTAAACCAACCTGAAACTAATGTTGCTGAACCATGCATCCTTCTCAAATTTAACAAGGAACCAGATACATCACAATTTTGTTTTGATACCAAAAATCATTTTAGGATGAAAACATGAATTTCCGACTAAGTGTATTATTTTTTTGGTCTATTTCCGCACCGGGCCGCGATCACTAAAAAAATTCCTGAGTCCGAATTTAAAGAATTTGAGCCGCTTAAATTCATTAAATTCGGACACTGGCTTTTTAAATTGAATTTAACAGCAAGAAAAATAAATTTGTAAGTATTTGAATACATCTGAGCTAAAAATCTTAATTGCATTCACGAAAGAAATAAGTTTCGAGCAAATTTCAATGTTTAACCCAAGGTACTAATGCAAGGAAAGTTAATTGCGGTCGCGTATACTCTGCAGCGTACATATTGAAACCAGCATTTAATTTTGATAATTTTGATAATTCACATAATAGTTTCCTATGACCAGAATATTTCATAGATTATTTTTGTGAAAATTGATTCCATGTCAGGCTGTGATATCCGTCTTGTGTTTACTTTTCAGCCCAAATACAGTACACTGCAGTACAAAAAATGCGTGCACCTCTGAAATAACTTTCCTTGCACTAATACCTTGGTTTAACCTGTATCTGGAGTACAGATCTGGAACTGGAGTCCTAAACCTGTAGATGAGAGTAAACTTGACAACCCAGAGTATGACACTATGTCGGAGAACCTGAAGACCCGGATCCTGAAGTCTATGGATAAGAACTATGTCTGGGTGGATTGCGCAGGACGGAATCCAGCGGACAGGTACAGGGTTACCCACTTAGGATGAGACTTCAGAGAAGACTCCGAAAATATCTTTGGTGTTGGGAAATTTTGTAGGAAGACATTTCAAAGAAAGACATTTCATAAATCGGCCATTTTCAGAGAAAGGCATTTCAAAGACGACATTTCATAGGAAGGACATTTCATAGAAAGGCATTTCAAAGAAAGACATTTCATAGAAAGTACATTTAATAGAAAGTACATTTTATAGAAAGGACATTTCATAGAAAGGACATTTCATAGAAAGGATATTTCATAGAAAGTACATTTCATAGAAAGTACATTTCATAGAAAGGACATTTCATAGAAAGGACATTTCATATTTCATAGACAGAGCCGATTTTTTATGGACAGATAATTTCATAGCTAGAGAAGAATATTCACAGATAGGTAATTTTATAGAAAGAAAAGCATTTTTTCAGAGACAATTAAAAGTTTAATATTAATAGTCTACGGTGGTAGGCGATTATATCAATATAATAAGGACGACTTTAGATTTTAATTTTGATTTATATCAAGCTTTTTAACAGCATGAATACACAAAAACATTGAAAAGGCTTTAATTACTTGTAAACTTGTAATTCGATAAAAGCTAGGTGACAATTAAAACTTAAATAAAAAATTCGTCTTCCTTATATATTGATATAATCGTCTACCACCGTATGAAAAATATTTATTGTATTGATATAATCGCCTACCACCGTATGAAAAATATTTTTGCCGTCTGTCCATAATTCAATTTAACCCAGTTTGGCATATTTTTGGATCAAATATTCTAATCTGTGATTAGAAATAAGAAATAATATTAAAATCTTTTTGGCGTTAGGCCATTTCATAGATAGAGAAGATTTTTTTACATCTTCATATTTTCCCTTGTCTATGAAAAATCTTCTCTGTCTTATCTATGAAATATCCTGTCTATGAAATGTCCGATCTATGAAATGTCCTGTCTATGAAATGTCCGATCTATGAAATGTCCGATCTATGAAATGTCTTGTCTATGAAATGTCCTATTTATGAAATGTCCGATCTATGAAATGTCCCAAAGCTATCTTTTAGAATAAAATCATTCTTTTCAGCTGCTTTAAACCGATCCGTTATTGGTAAAAATAAATATGGGTGGCTTATGTAAATAAATATCAGTATTCTTAAATCTAATTCCTAATTTCTAAAACTCCATTAACATAAAAAGTTTTAGTCTCACAAATAATAACATAATCCAACATTTTATTTAAAAGTTTCCATCTTTAATTTAGAATTTAGGATTTTTTACAACATAAACTTTTTAATTTAAAATTTTGATAATATTTCAGGGAATCTGTGAGAATAGAATATTTCCCACCAAACCAGGGAATTCATTTAAAATATTTCCCCTACAGAGGGAATACATACCATACTCCTCTTGTTGCAATTAAGGTTAGTTCTTACCATTAACAATCCTGAAAATGCATTTGTCAGAGTTATTAGAAATTTCTGCTAAAATCTCCGTATTAAACTATAGTTCTAAATCTGAATTTGCCTTAAGAATGCATTTGGAAGGTTTCAATCATTTCGCGTGAAACTGTGCAATTAAAAAAGAAAACACCATAAACATGTAGAAGATTTGCATAATTTCTATTTCTTGAAACGAACCTTATCTTTCAATAAAACGTTTATTTAAAAAGGATAGTTGTTTTCAAGCCCATCTACTTTGAAATCTGAAAGTTGCCTCACAACATCCTATTTTTAGTTGAGACAGGTCGGTGAACCTGTTTACTACGGTCAACTGATCCATCTGGAGTGCCGGGCCTGGTTTGACGGGGTTATCCATGATACTAAGGATAAACTTGGTCTCGTACAGTTCGAACTACAGCTCCAACCGATGAATTAATATCAGTGCAAAATTATGTTAAAGAAAAGTTTCATGTGTCCCTCCATGCAAAGATGGCAATGCTCGATTCACACCGGTTCCATAAAAACTTTGTCTGATCGAGGAAGTTTCAAATTTTGATAACTGATTATTTTCAAATTTGGTTATTTACTGTGAGAAAACAAAGGAATAATCAGAATTAAAATTTTCTAAACTAATATCTTCCACATATGTAATTGATCAGATTTCAAAGATACCATTCTAAATCGGACATTGCCATCTAGCTTGGTGCACATGAAATTATTAAAAGTCCCTTAAGAAATTTTATTTCTTCTCCGATTTTGATCTCAATCTGTAATTTTCCTAAATAAACAATGCTTAGACTTGTATTTAGCGGACGCCAATGTTTATTGTGTAACCCATATAATAAAATAATTTATTTATTTATTTTTACCCACATTGGTTCCTCATTTCCATATTATATCCCCCCCCCCCCCCCAGGAAAGGAATATGACAGAAACTTACTTAGAATTAATTGTACTTCAGTTTTTAGGAGGAATGTAAACACATGCCAGAAACTACAATAAACAGTGAACACTATTTATGGAAGTTTCCATAATATTTTAGGGATTCTTTAACCTAAATTAATAAAAGTTTAAGTTTAATAGTTTAACATAGCTTCCAGGTATATTAACTTGACTTTTTCATAAAAAGAGACATAATATCTAATAAATAATGAAAACAAATTTTATTGAAGTTTTTCAAGATTACATAGTTTGGTAAAAAATTAAACACGTAACAGTAATGTATCTTTACCAGGATATTTGCCTAGAACTAACTCACAAGGTATAAACAAATTGTGAAATGGTTTGGTTCAGCTCCAAGAATCAGGTTCTGAATAAATCTGTTCCAAGGATCAGGTCCAGCTCCAAGAATCAGGTTCTGAATAAATCTGTTCCAAGGATCAGGTTCAGTTCCAAGGATCATGTTTAGCTCCATGGATCAGGTTCAGCTCCAAGAATCAGGTTTAGCTCCATGGAGCAAGTTCAGCTCCAAGGATCAATTTCTGCTCCAAGGATCAGGTTTTGTTTAATAACTCAGGTTCAGGTTCAGCTTCAAGGACCTTTTTTTATTCCAAGGTTCAAGATTAGGATTTTGTCTCCTGAGCCTCAAACTTTGGAAACTGTTGGGTCACTTTCTCCCAGGAAATCCGTCCAGTAGACAGATGTCTTAAAGTCTCCCCAACCTAAACAGAATTATTATCATCCTATTAGCAATAAATTTATCAGCCAAATTTTTAAAAGCCTAATTAAAATTCCTGCTTGAAGCTTATTTGGGTTTTTAATAAATATATATACAAAGAGTAAGGGAAGGTGTAAAATGTTGCATTAATTCATCTGTTTTTTTTTCAATCAATTATCATTTCTTTTCTTTCATTTCTGTGTCAATACTAATTTCATTTAAAGGGACAGACCGGCTATGTAAAGTAGTTCAACTGAGTATGCAGTATTGTGGACAAATTCTTTCATTTGAGACATATAAAACGTATCCAAGATGTATAATTACTAAGTTTGAGTGCAAAGTCGATGTTCAAAATCATGAATTTGGGTGGGTACGTTTTCAGATTCGGTTTTTAAAAAAAAATATTTGATAACGACGACGAAAAATAAAGTAAAAATTATACAGTAATCTAATTAGATGTTTAGGAACATATTCAAAAGAAATTTGTCAATAAATCGAAGTTAGAATTAATCATTTCGTTTTCATCATTATATTAAATTTCTTATTTTCTATGAATTTGTTTGCAGATTTCTACAAAATCTTCAAATGTCGTCTTTTCAATAAAATTTCCAGAAAATCTGCAGAAAATATTTGTGAATAATCAGAGAATATAGAAACTAATAATTAAATAAGATTACTTATTTTCGATGATCAGATTAATTTTTATTTTCTCAACCTTTTCCTGAATAACTAATTAGTCTACTGTAGAATTTAGTTTACATTTTTTGTCATCGTTATCTATATATAAATTTGGCTTGTCTGTTTGTCTGTCTGTTTGTATCCAATAAACGTCAAAACGGCTGAACCGATCGGGCCCAAATTTTTTGTGGGACATCTAGGGACTCCAGGGAAGGTTTATGAATCATCAAAATTTCAAATATTTGTCTCCATCAAAATTCGATCGTCATTATATTTTTTTAAATTTTGAAAATCCGCGAATTATTTTTGTTTTGTTTTACGATGTACACAAAGAGAACATGTTCACAATTAATTTAGGAGATGGGCGCGAAGCGCCCTCTAAGGCTAGAAAGAAGGACGCGAAGCGCCTTGAATTTCTAGTTTAATTATGTTTATCATTCCAAACTAACCTTGTCAACTTCAATTCTAACTTGCATGGTTGTATCTCTTTCTCTCAGAGTCACCGTGTGCGGGGCCTAATTATTATATTTTTAACTGACATTCAAACAAAAAGGGGGAATTTATTAAAGTTTGCGTGGAATGTCCGTCCTGCCATAATAAGAAAAAATCTTTATTTACTTTTGAGAATTTTAGATTCTTTAAATGATACTGTTTATTCAAAAATAAAAGACTCAAGAAAATAATACAGAAGTTAAATAACAATCAAAATAAATAAACGGGGAGTGAATAATAATGTGAACAAATCATCTGAAAATGTTTGTTTTCTACAATCGGAAAATTATGAAACGGATCTAAAAACCTACCTTGAGACTGTCGAAGTCAACTGTGATACCGAACGGGATTGCGACCTCGTCCGTCCTGGCGTACCGTTTACCGATAGATCCTGAGCTGTCGTCAATCCTAAAATTTTTAGAAGTAAATAAAATGTTCAAAGTTTCAATCTAGAGATAGCTAATACAATATTTATAATATTTAAACCTTACTTTATTTACTACTTCAAAAATGAAGAATATGCTAATATCGTTACTAAATTCCCATATTTTTGTCTATCAAATAAAAATAGATTATTTACTGTCCCTTCTTAGAAAAACCATGTTTTGTGACTGAGGTTTTTGCAGAGCTGAGCTGAATTCATGGACTGTTGAAATACCTGTGGGAAACATCTGACTCAGTGAGTTTGCTACTGATATCAGCAACAAGAGGAGAGAACTCAGGATTGTTTGAGAGTGGGAGCACAGAGCACTAGAATATGATATCCACGTTCAAATCAAATCAAATAGCTAAGGATTGTTAGTAAATCCATGAAAATTATGATTAATCTCTTGAAAACAGGAAAATTTTTTTTGCGGAAATAAATAATGGTCGACAAATCAAAACTTTAAATTTGAAAAAGAATATTTTTGGTCTCAAAGAAGAAAATGTTAGAAATTAGAAAACGGAAAACTATGGGAGAAGGAAGTGATATGAATAACTGTAAAAAAGATGATATGATATTTGTCATGAAAAATATTGGATAAAATAAGGAAAATTAGAAACTTCTCGGTGTTTTTGTAATAACAAGTTTACTTACCTTCAGTGGAGCAATGACAGGAGGAAGGGAAAAGTAAGTTCTCTGCTCATCTCCTAAAAATACGAAAAGTGTAATTTTTAATTTAAACGTTACTTCTAATAAGTGATAAGGGATAAAATTAAGGAATCCAATATGCAAATATGTCTTAAAGCAGGGGTGTGTGTAATGTGTATGATACAAAATAGGCCTTTTTTTAAGATGAAAATGAAAACTATCACATCAATTTTTAGTAAACCTCTGCTTGATACATCTCTCAAAAATTATATTATTTTCACTAAGAGCTAAAGTTATGGGGAAACCCAAGAAAATTCTTCTTGAAGACGCGGATAGAATTGTTCTTAGGTAGGAACTCTTGTATAGTTGTTATTGATATCAATGCTTGATCTCAATCTTCATTATTCATATAATCTGTGTTCGACAAGCCGTGAAAGTATCGAACAAACAGCCAATCAGAAGCCAAGGGATTTTGCATACAACCAGTTCTTATATCCAAAATCAAGAGAATGTGCCCACTATGGATATTGAGATCAAACTATCAGGATTATGAATAGTAAACGCTAAAGTTCCCAGCTCAAATAATATATAACCCTACTTAAAAGTTTAAATTTATTATTATCTCCCCCCCCCCAAAAAAAAAGGAATAAGTTGACTTACCGTCCCTAACCTTGAAGTTGTGCTCGAAGATCGAATACATGATTCGACCAATACCGAAAGACGGTTCTACAAAAGTATAATTATAATCGAATACAATCATGAGCAAACTGGGTTAATATATAGAATGAATTAAGGAAATCGTTTCGATATACTCTTGAGCTCAATAGATATTTGAAAAAAAATTGAGAATATTTTTAGAAGATAAGTGTAAATTAATGGAATTCTCCCTTGTAGCTAAACGAGACATAACACTTGAAACTAAGTTGATAAAAAACATTAATTTGTTCTTTTTTCCCCGGATACTTGTATAAAAGATTACCAATGACGGACGGGGTTATCTCCTCTACATGAACAGTTTTCTCATAACGTTTAACAGATATCATTTCAGAGTTCAGTTTAACCTAAACAGATATCATTTCACAGTTCAGTTTAACCTAAACAGATATAATTTCACAGTTCAGTTTAACCTTAACAGATACCATTTCACAGTTCAGTTTAACCTAAACAGATACCATTTCAGAGTTCAGTTTAACCTAAGCAGATATCATTTCACAGTTCAGTTTAACCTAAACAGATACCATTTCAGGTTCAGTTTAACCTAAACAGATATCATTACAGTTCAGTTTAACCTAAACAGAAACCATTTCAGAGTTCAGTTTGACCTAAACAGAAACAATATCAGAGTGCAGTTTAACCTAAACAGGAACAATATCAGAGTGCAGTTTAACCTAAACAGAAACCATGAGTTCAGTTTAACCTAAACAGAAACCATTTCGGAGTTCGGTTTGACCTAAAAAGAAACCATTTCAGAGTTCAGTTTAACCTAAACAGAAACCATTTCAGAGTTCAGTTTAACCTAAACAGAAACAATATCTGAGTTCAGTTTAACCTAAACAGAAACCATTTCAGAGTTCAGTTTAACCTAAACAGAAACCATTTCAGAGTTTAGTTTAACCTAAACAGAAACCATTTCACAGTTCAGTTTAACCTAAACAGAAACAATATCAGAGTGCAGTTTAACCTAAACAGAAACCATGAGTTCAGTTTAACCTAAACAGAAACCATTTCGGAGTTCAGTTTAACCTAAACAGAAACAATATCAGAGTGCAGTTTAACCTAAACAGAAACCATGAGTTCAGTTTAACCTAAACAGAAACCATTTCAAAGTTCAGTTTAACCTAAACAGAAACCATTTCAGAGTTCAGTTTACCCTAAACAGAAACCATTTCACAGTTCAGTTTAACCTAAACAGAAACAATATCAGAGTTTAGTTTAACCTAAACAGATAATATTTCAGAGTTCAGTTTAACCTAAACAGATACCATTTCAGAGTTCAGTTTAACCTAAACAGATATCATTTCAGAGTTCAGTTTACCCTAAACAGAAACCATTTCAGAGTTTAGTTTAACCTAAACAGAAATCATTTCAGAGTTCAGTTTAACCTAAACAGAAACCATTTCAGAGTTCAGTTTAACCTAAACAGAAACCATTTCAGAGTTCAGTTTACCCTAAACAGAAACCATTTCAGAGTTTAGTTTAACCTACATTTCAGAGTTCAGTTTAACCTAAACAGAAACCATTTCAGAGTTCAGTTTAACCTAAACAGAAACCATTTCACAGTTCAGTTTAACCTAAACAGAAACCATTTCAGAGTTAAGTTTACCCTAAACAGAAACCATTTCAGAGTTTAGTTTAACCTAAACAGATACCATTTCAGGTAATATTAATAATGATCGTATATCAGAACAGATACCAAGATAAACAAACTAACAAATATAGCTTCTTTATATAAAGATATGATGATAAAGAACCCGTGTCAAGTAAGACATTTTGTAATATCTCTTTCAATATTAATAGCAGCCGGTTCTATTTTTGAACGTAGACTCATATAATTTGACGAGGCCGGAGATAAAAAATCGGAGCCGACGGAGGTCACTTTTCAGAGGTTCCAAGACTCCGGAAAGAGATATCGACAATCTGACTTCATATCCTTCTCCTAACAAATTATATGAGTCTACGTTCAAAAATAGAACCAGCTGCTATTAATATTGAAAGAGATATTACAAAATGTCTTACTTGACACGGGTTCTTTAGCATGCATATCCTTATCCTTAAGGAGTTAAAATAAAAAAGCTAAGCTATACTAATGAAAATATCAGTCAAAAAAAATTATCCAACTAAATCAATCAAAGGTATGTGATCTAGAAAAAATGTACAAAAAATCCAGGAAAAACATTATCTATTTTCATAGCACAAATTACGCTTCAAACAAAAAACTAAACTATGCAATTGACATGGTGACACTTTCTTAAACTAAGAAAAAATTGTCTTGATATTTATAGGAGAAACCAGTAGTTAGAATTAAATTTCGAATAAATACTCCCGAGATTAGTAAACTAGACATGAGCTGAAAACATCTATGCCTCAGACCCTCAACTTGCTTTATTTTTATCGATGAAATACTTCTGTAGACAAATGTCAAAAAAAAAATCCGATTTTGTCCTGACAATATTTTTTGAAAATTGTCCTAGAACGTTAAAATAATGTGTTAAAACTTTCTGTAACTTAACATAACCTAATGTGTGAGAAGAAACAAGCAGAAAGCAAACTAAAAAAAGATAATTTGAAAACAAAACTAAGTTTTGCAGTCCTGGAAGCAAAAAAAGGGAGAAAGCATTCACAATCTTCTACCTTCCGTAGATTTGAACTGGAAGAGCTTGAATTAGAACCAGGATCCTCAAATCCTTTCAAACTCTTAAACTCAGAGGAGAGAGATTTCATGTGGCTAAACCAGCGACTAATATTTTCATACTTTTTCACAGAGTTTTGAGAAACTTTCTCAAATATTTCCACATCAGCCTGGGTAGGTTCGACACCGACAATATAACTCTTGTCGAGCAAATAATTGTCAAGATGGATTAATCCTTCAATTGTCGACGGATCAGGGAACTTCATTGTCGACAAAAAGGATGATTTTGTGGCGGATACCTGTACAAAAATTATATTCCTAATGGACTTTTTTTCCCCGTAAGGGATTAATTAAAATTGAGGAAGCACTTTTCCCTCAATTTAAGCTTTCACAGAGGATATTTAGATCAGGCGTTACAAAACGCACTATATTACACAAAAGTGTAAACCTCAGAACACAAACAGAAAAAAACTTACTTCTGATCCCTCAAGAGTAAGAGTAGCTTCTCCGGTCTAAAAATATATAGAGTAAAGATAAATTTTTTAAAATAAATAAAAAAACAAAACATACTGTTCACTAGGACCGAGGAGAATAAGATATGAACTTTGCAATTAGTTTTTATCAGGAAGGTTTTGCACAAGTCAAGTCAAGAGAGCACTGTTGTAACTATACCTTGAGTTCTGCTTCCATCTTCTCAATATCCTCCAGGGATAGATTAGATAACAACTCTGTAATCGTCTTAGCTTCCTGAATATTTATTTAAATATAGACAATTCATTTAATTTAATCCAATTAATCCAAATTCTACGAAATTAATCCGATTAATCAAATCCATCAAAATTAATACATTTAATTCAATTCAACAAAATTTATCCGATAACTTCAATCATATCTGTCAAATAATTCTGTTCTTAAATAGAATATTATCCGATAACTTCAATCATATCTGTCAAATAATTCTGTTCTTAAATAGAATATTATCCGATCACTTCAATCATATCTGTCAAATAATTCCGTTCTTAAATAGAATATAATTCGATCTTCAAACAAACCAACTAACATTGGTATGACTGACTCACCTTCTTAAAGGCTTTACCGATAGGTCCCTTGTTTGGAACTATCTCTGTTACAGATTGTTTAATAGGAGCAGGTAGTTTCTTCTCAGCACACAGTTTTACTCCGGTAGCTTTAGTGTGCTGGGTCAGGTCATAGGCGGACCTTGATAAATATTTTAAATAATTCTAAATTGTTGTAATTTCTAAGTGGCCCTCCATCTATAGATATCGTCCTTTTTCTGCCTTTACGTGTTTTATTTTCTACCTTAACACGTGTTTTATTTTCTACCTTAGTGTTTTATTTTCTACCTTAACACGTGTTTTATTTTCTGTCTCAACACGAGTTTTATTCTGACAAATTATGCCGTCGTTCCTGTAGCAAGAAACTCGCAAATCACTTGCAAAGAAAATCCAATATTATAAGCTACACATTTTTATCTCATCAGACAAGGCTTTTAAGGTACATTTTTCTAATCTGACATGCCATCTTTATAATGTAGAGTAACAAGGACAGTCCCTTTAAGTGTAGCACCAAGGTTATAAAACGAATTCGAAAAATAGAAAATGAGCAGGACATTAAGGAATAAATGCGTAAATAACCAAAACTGAAAACAATAGGAATATATTTTTAAATGAATAAGATGAATGAAAAATATTATCTAACAAAACAATTTAATGAGATACTGTAGATCAAGAATTAACGAGTGTTAAGAACAGTCGAGTGAATGATAACAAAGGGCAAGAATAGTTACCTATCGGCACATCCTACACACTCTACCCATCCGTAGGACGTCAAAAGCTCTAAACATATATAATTATTAGTCTTAAAACTATCCTGGATCGTAACCTGGATCTTAATAACATAAATATTTTAGAAATGAAATACCTGCGTCCCAGCAATCACAGGCGTAGTGAGCCATCTCATTTCCCATATGCTGTAGAACATCAATATTTTGTCTAGTTCTACAGTTTAGAATCAAATATTATATCTCCGATTTATATCATAATGTACCCAGGCCAGGTTTAACTTCTTGAACCAATTTGGGCCGGGCTACCCGACTCAACAATCTTAACTTAAAATTTTATAAAATTAATATAGAATGCATCTTGAGTTAAAATGATTACGTATCCGGCCTTGAATAAACGTCTTTGATAATATTTTGATTTTTGGCATCCCTGTCTGACTCTTAAATAAAATATTGGTATCCCTGTCTGAATCTTAAATAAAATATTGGTATCCCTGTCTGAATCTTTAAGTAAGATATTGGTATCCCTGTCTGAATCTTAATAAAATATTGGTAACCCTGTCTGAATCTTTAAATAGAATATTGGTATCCCTGTCTGAATCTTATCGGTATCCCTGTCTAAATCTTAAATAAGATATTGGAATCTCTGTCTGAATCTTTAAGCAAGATATTGGAATCCCTGTCTTAATTTTTAAATAAAATATTGGAATCCCTGTCTGAATCTTCACATAAAATATTGGTATCCCTGTCTAAATATTTAAATAAAATATTGGTATCCCTGTCTGAATCTGAGCCTGGTTCCATCAGCTCCGACCTTGATCAAGAACTTCTGAATCCGAACCATAAAGTAGGCAAGGGTCTCATTGTTTACAACACCTGAACAACAAGAACGTACGTTTAGATTTAACTATAATAATATCATATTGAACAAACTGAAAGAAAAATGGTAAACTACAGTTTTAACTAGCTGATTCGGTTTTAAGACCGAAATAAAAAAAAGATTAGACCAAAATAGAAAAGCCAAAAAATGTAAAAAAATTACGAGAATTACCTAAGCAAATAGTTAATATTTTTTAGAAAAATAACAGGGTTGCTTGTATATTTTTAAGAGTAATCGGGGAAAATGAATTTTTGAGATCTGAGGAAAAAGAATGAAAAATTGGACATCAAAGGGCAAATTTCCCCCCCCCCCCTTTTCAATACTGTTAACCCAAAAATTTATTCATTTTCCCCTATGTAAAGAATAAAACCCTAACAAATCGCAATGGAGGGGGGGATGATTTTTCAGGAAAACACCAAGGTGAAGGTTACCTTGTTTCACAGCATCTCCTATCTTGATCAATTTAGCAGGTTGACCGGACATCTGGTCACAGGCTGAGTAAAGAGTCATCTCAGTATCCGCACAGCTGGCAAACTTAGGATGAAGTTTGTCCACAGGATCACAGAAATGTTCTAGAAAAAGTTTAGTTCATGGGCTTTATGTATTTAACAATTGAATGTGCGAGCCAACCAGCAAAACAAATGAACTTATCAAGCAATGAATGAAACAATAAATCAAGAAATGAATCAATTTATCGAACAATTAGTCAAGCAATGAGTCAAGCAATGAATCAAGTAGTGAATCAAGCAGTGAATTAAGTAGTGAATCAAGCAGTGAATCAAGCAGTGAATCAAGCAGTAAATAAAGCAATAAATCAAGTAACGAATCAAGCATAGAATCAATCAAATTAATCAATCAAATGAATCAAGCAATGAATATAGCAATGAATCAAGCAATTGAATAAATCAATGAATCAAGCAATGAATCATGCAATGAATAAAGCAATGTATCAAACAGTGAATCAAGCAATGAATAAAGCAATGAATCAAGCAATAAATAAAGCAATGAATCAAGCAATGAATCAAGCATAGAATCAAACAATTAATAAATCAATCAAATGAATCAAGCGATGAATCAAGCAATGAATCAACCATAGAATCAAAAAATCAATGAATCAATCAAATGAATTAAGCAATGAATCAAGCAATGAATCAAATAGTGAATCAAACAGTGAATCAAGCGGTGAATCAAGCAGTGAATCAAGCAATGAATCAAGCAATGAATCAAGCAATGAATCAAGCAATGAATCAAGCAATGAATCAATGAATAAAAATTGTGTTAAAAAAAATCAGTAAATCTTAAAGAAATAATCATGATCTGGATCCCGATCCATTTTTTCCAGTGCGGATCCAGGATTCGGATCCACATCAAAATTAAATGGATCCTAAGCACTGGAGTAAAGCATTGAATAAAGCAATGAAGTAATAACTAAAGAAATAAAACAATCAATGAATAAATTAATGAATTATGCAATAAATAAAGCAATGAATAAAGCAATGAATCAATCAAATGAATGAATGAATTAATTAACGAATCATTGAATGATCAAGTTTCGATAAAACTTGAGTTATTAGAAGACCAGATCGAAACTTTGAATAAGTGAATAAATCAAACAATCAATCTCCCCAAACCAAATCTTATTTATTATCGAACTAACCTATCTCCGCCATGGTGAACTCTCTGACCCTAATGAGCCCAGAGCGAGGAGAAATCTCGTTTCTAAAAGCATTTCCAATCTGAGCAGCAGCAAACGGTAATCTGCCCTAAAAATAAAAAATTAATAGAATGTAAAAAATAATTTTCAACATCAAATTTTTGTAATTTAAAGGGAGTGACCGGCAATGTTTGGTGGTTGAACTCAGAATGCAGTTTTGTAGAGAATTTTTAAGTATTCATTTGAGACCTATCACGACGTTTTTACAGTGCTTATTTTTTTAGCAAGAGTAAAAATTCAATTTTAAAATCCACCTTCATTGTCAATTCTTGTGAGATGATTGAGAATCGGTTTTTTAAAAATTATTCAAAAACAACGACGAAAAATGTAACAAAAATTCTTAAGTAAACTTAATGGATGTTTAGGAACATATTTCTCAATAGAAATTTGTCAATAAATCAATGTTGGAATCAATTATTTGCTTTCATCATTATATTAAATTTCTTATTCCTTACAAGTTCACAGATTTCTTCAAATTCTTCAAATGTTATCTTTTCAATTAAAATTGCAGAAAATCTACAGAAAATGTTTGTGAACAACGAGACATTCTTGAAACTATTAACTGAATAAGATCAGTTATTTTCGATGATAAGAGTTAATTTTAATTTTCTCAATCTGTTTCTAAACAACTTATTTGTTACATTTTTCTCGCCATTGAATAATTTTTAAAAAACCGATTCTCAAAATCATCCCTCCAAAATGAACAATCTATGAGGATTTTAAAGATTGAATTTGCGCTCTTGCTGAACAGATATGCACCTTAAAAACGTCCGATAGGTCTAAAAAGAGCCCTAAAAATGTCTCTACAATACTGCATTCAATGCATTGTCAGCTCAACTACAATGTCGAGCCAGACACTCCCTTTAATCTGATTAAGAAAAACAAATAACAAACTGGAATCCTGTAGGAAAATAACCGTTAAATTAGTTAATCCTGTCCTACACTGATCTAATTCCGTCTTCTCCTGCATGTAGCTAACCTGGTTGAACTCCAGTAACCTCTTGAAGTTGACGAATATACCCTGAGCTGTTTCAGGTCTCAGGAAACCCTTGATATGTCCTGATGGTCCAATACTGGTCTGGAACATCAGATTGAACTCGATTGGTTCTAAAATAAAAAGACTTTTTCTAACATTTTCAATTACTCAGATCCTAATTAATTTTAAGATACAGTCAATATTTGGTTTAATGATACTCTTGACTATTTTGTTTAGAATTATATCAGTTCTAACAGTTACAAAATACATTTAATGTAAAATAAGAATGAACAAAGACGACAATCAGTCCACGGGGTTTCAGTGTTCACTGCATTAAATGGAATTCTGAAAGCTTAATTACCTGATAATTCATTTCCTGTGATGGGTGAGACAACGTTGAACTTCTTCATGATCTCAGCCATCTCCTGCTTGTTGTATCCGTCAAGCTTCACCACAATATCCGCGCACTCAGCCTAAATTTAATTATATATATATCATAATAGAGGGTGTTAAATCCAAAAACATTAAATTCTTTTTTAAATCCCAACATTTTTTTATGGCCCGCAAAATATAAAACTTTTATCCCGAGTAATTTACAGAGCGCCAAAAACACAGATATAAAATGAAATTTTACCATTTTTAAGAAAATACACAAATATTCCATTTTGAATCCTTACCTTGGTCTCGGCTGTCGTCTTCTTCTCCGAACAAACCTTCTCCAAGTGTGCTTTAATCAGATGATCCAGTCTAAATAATTAAAAAGTTAAGAACAGGATTCAATCTCCTCTCATCTTCTCCGACTATTTTTTAAAAAGTTTTAGTAGTTTGACAAAATATTGTGTTTGTGAATTGGTTTAATGTTTAAATTACAGATCCAGATTTCAAAATGTTCATTTCATTATGTAAACAAAAAAAAATAAAAGTTATTTGAGATTTCGGCGTTTATATTATATTTTTTTACGTTATATAAAACAAAATATCATTGTCAATTCAAAAGCCCACTCTAAAGGAGGCGTTGCATCAATGACATTTTTCAATATCTCAGTAAATAATGGTGCTAGCCGGTTCTACTTTTGCATGTATACTCATCTGATGCTCTAGGAACAGGATAAGACATCAAATCTTCAATGTCTCCGTTCGGAGACCGGAGATATGGGATAAGGTACCTCCGTCGGCTCAGATTTTTCATCTCCGGCCCTAATGAACCTACAGAGCCCAAATTCAACACACATACACCTAAGGACCTATATAATTTAATAAAAAAATTCTTTAAAAAAAATTTCGATTTTTTCTTGCAAAGACAGGGTGTCAAAAAAAGGCATTTTTAAATTTTTTTTAAAATGTCTTTTTTGGGGGTCTTCCGATAAAAAATAACGAAAGAAAAAGGTTACAGAAAATGTTTTTTAAACTATTATGAATCTTTTTTAGAAAAGGCGGTTTTCAAAAAAATGTTCACATCACCCCCTACAGGGTGTCCCAAAAATATTTCCCACCCATTTTTGAATTTTTTAAAGTTTTACTATCAATTATAGTGTTAGCCGGTTCTAATTTTGCATGTAAACTCATCTGATGCTCTAGGAACAGGATATGAGATCAAATCTTCAATGTCTCCGTTCGGAGACCGGAGATATAGGATAAAGTACCTCCGTCGGCTCCGATTTTTTATCTCCGGCCCTATTGAACTTACAGAGCCCAAATTCAACACACATACACCTAAGGACCTATATAATTTAATAAAAAAAATTCTTTTAAAAAAATTTCGATTTTTTCTTGCTAAAAACAGCATTTTTTCATTTTATTAAATGTTTTTTTTTGGGGTCTTCCGATAAAAATAACGAAAGAAAAAGGGTACAGAAAATGTTTCCTTAACTATTATGAATCTTTTTCAGAAAAGGTGCTTTTAAAAAAATGCCCATCACCATCAGGGTGTCTTAAAAATATTTTCCAATCATTTTTTAAATTCTATGAGTTTTACCGTCAATAATGGTGTTAGCCGGTTTTACTTTTGCATGTATTCTAATCTGATATTCTAGGAACAGGATAAAAGGTCAAACCAGTAATATCTCCGTTCAGAGGATAAGGAACCTCCGATGGCTCCGATTTTTCGACTCCGGCTACAATTGACTTACAGAGCCCAAGGGCCTAAATGATTTAACAAAATATAGATTAGTTATATTCTGTCCTTGTACCTAACTGTCTCGGTAAATATGTTTTTCAATAAACCAATCAATCATTTTATCAAACAATCAATCATTCATCTATTCCGTCATCCTATCTTTCTATCAGGCATTCATAGTAATAATAATAATAATAATGTATTCAAGTAGTAGTATGATGGTCTAGGAACAGGAAATGAAGTGATGTCTTTCTTCAAAAACCGGACAGATAGAATAAGGTATAAATGAATCTTCATCTACGATAACTTTTGAGGAGCTAAATGAGCTTTGTGCAGGATCATTTACAGCGGATATTGCTGAATGTCTTAAAAAAGACATAAGGTAGGTTTTAGACGACTATTGGGCGTACCTTATTATGTTTCTCTTCATTTTTTTTCTTTCTATTTTGTAGATGGAAGCAGGTTCAGAATCCTTATACAGATCTGGAAACGAACAACAACAATTGTAGTGTTAATCCTAACTTTGTGAGAGGTATTACTGTACTTGTATTCAGTATATTTTAGTGACCCAAAAATCTACATTCAAGTGTCCCAGCATATAATTCTCAGCATAAAAATAAGCAATTCTCTCATTGTTGATCATTGATCAGACTAAGGTTTTTCAGTGTAATCTTGTGTTTCGAACATGCCACTCTAGAATGTAGTGTCGTCATAAATTACACGTTACACTTTTTTTAAGTGCGAAATAATAAGAAGAAATTATTGATACATTAAAAACTAAAAGTTAGACTAACCTTTATATTTAACTTTAGGATATGTTCTCAGACAACAAGGTTATCCCCAAGGGGGAATTTTGTTGGGCGACATCTGGGGAAGGCTGAACCCGTACCAGAATATTAGAGCCGAATCTTGGGTCTCGTGCAATCTCCTTATAATTCCAGGTTTTTTCTATTATTTGAATAATGTATTTATCGAAGTAAATATTTCACTTACAGATGATGGGGGGGGGTATTTAAAATAAAAGATCATTTATAAGCTTATTTATTATTTTACTTATATTCACATTTTCTCCAAAAGTTAGAAAATTAGAAGTAGTTATTTTTTAATAAAAATATGTATATCTTTATTTAAATAAACAGTAATGACGTTATTAAATAAGAATCTTGAATTTTAGAAAAACCAAGTATAATGAGGGGTGGTGGAGTAAACAGAACAGTTGTAATCGCTTATCTTGGGACTGGAGATGGTCCAGTTTTAAATCCCCTTTCGCTATAAGTTGAACAGCCTACGAAGAATCATCATGTTTTGTTGTGGACCGCGTTCAGGTCCAACGGCATACAAGTCTGGGGCCCGGACAGTGGCCCCAGACTCACATGTGGCGACATGTAAAACAAAAATAGCAATAATTTATAATTATGTGTATTGAATGATTTTTTATAGAAATTGCTTTGGCTGGAATGTTAGCACACAATCCAGCATCTGTGCGGTCAAGACACCGCTGGGTTAACCTTCTAGAACCCGGACACCAACTCCTACCTATCCAGCATCAGCTGGATATCTTTGATGGACTAATTTTTTACTACTTAAATATAATATAGAAACCCGAAAAATTGTGACACGCTATTGTAGCATAATCAATTTTATTTTTTGAATTTGCAGTCTGTACACTACAGTGCACATTAATATATTACCAGAGCAATCGGAGGCGTCGACTTTGGAAAACAAAATTCTTTGACACCATGTGAAAGCCTGAAAAATTGAAAATTACTTTTCTGCTTTTTGGAAAGAAGGATGAATTAACAAAATGCTAGATAGATTGATACTTGATTGATGGAATAAATGAATGATTGATAGAATTATTGATTGTTTCATAAAATGACTGCTTTATTAATTAATTAATGGATATAGTTAGGTATAAGGACAGAATACAAATTATTTATTTTTTATTCAATCATTTAGATCCTAATGTGTTCGTGTTTTGAATTTGGGTTCTGTAAGTCCATTGGATCCAGAGTTGATAAATCAGAGAAATCAGAGGTACTTTATGCCCGGAGATATTACAGATTTGACTATTTATCCTGTTCCTAGAATATCGGATTAGTATATATGCAAAATTAGAACCGGCTATCGCTATTATTGATAGTAAAACTCTAAAAAAATTCAAAAATGAGTTGGAAATATTTTTGGGACACCCTGTAGGGGGTGATGTAAACATTTTTTTGAAACCCGCCTTTTCTAAAAAAGATTCATAATAGTTTTAAAAACATTTTCTGTAACCTTTTTCTTTCGTTATTTTTTATCGGAAGACCCCCAAAAAAGACATTTTTAAAAAAATTTAAAAATGCCGTTTTTTGACACCCTGTCTTTGCAAGAAAAAAACGAAATTTTTTTAACAATTTTTTTTTATTAAATTATATAGGTCCTTAGGTGTATGTGTGTTGAATTTGGGCTCTGTAAGTTCATTAGGGCCGGAGATAAAAAATCGGAGCCGACGGAGGTACCTTATCCCATATCTCCGGTCTCCGAACGGAGACATTGAAGATTTAACCTCATATCCTGTTCCTAGAGCATCAGATGAGTATACATGCAAAAGTAGAACCGGCTAACACCATTATTTACTGAGATATTGAAAAATGTCATTGATGCAACGCCTCCAATGAAAATATAATTTTGTTGTGGGGGAAGAGCGTAGTTTTTTAAAGCAATTGTTGTGAAAAATACCAACCTAAAACATTCACCATTCTTGAGATCTTTAACCATAAGATCAGCAAACCGTTCCACGTGACCGGAAGCTACTAGAACGGGTTCAGGGGTCAACACTGTGCAGTCAACCTGGCAGATAAAGAAATAATTTTAAATTTAAAAAATCCATAAAAATCACAAAAGAATAAAAATCCAATCCCATCTCATCCCACTACTCCAATCCCAATCCCAATCCCAATCCCAATCCTATCCAATTACTACTTCATTATGTAAGAAAATAGTAAGACTTCAATCCCAATCCTTTTCAATCCTTTTCGCCTTCACCATCCATGAAATATGAAAGAGATAACAATGTCTCGGTAATAATTTCCGAAAAAGTGGAATTTTACCTCGAGCATATGGTCCTCAAGGACAAAGTGATGTCTCCAAGCTGCCAGCAGATTTGCCTTCATGGCACACCCCATAGGCCTTAAATAAACATTCATTCATTTCACGGATTTTTGACAACCAAAACATTATTAAAATATAACTTTTATGTCCTTAACAATCCAATATGAAAACCTTTTAACCTATTCCTAACTAGCGATTTAAAATCTAGCTTTATTTGAAAATTTAGAAAATTGACGATTTTCTTAAAAAGAGACTTGTGAGTTTTTGCAGCACAATCAGTAGGAAAAAAGTCGAGATTTAATTCTTTCCCTAAATGTAAAAACTAGGAGTTCTAAGTCAACGTTGCTCAAAAAAAGGTCTGAAAGGTGTTTAATTGAAGCTTTTTTAGCACATTCAGTGACAATGTATTCTAAAAATGAAAAAAATATATAAAAAAGTACCCGAAATCATACTGTCCAGTTATTCCACCATAGATTGCAAAGGATTGATCATAGAAAAATCTTCTCTTTAAAGTATCCTCCATCTTACTCCTGTCAAACTAAAAATAATTTAAATTATAATCTAAATCCTTTAAATTTAGAAGAAAAAAACTGAATTTTTAGAAAACAAAAAGGGTTATGGTAAAAGAAAACCTGCTGATAAAATGATGTAAAAAGTCGACTTAATCTCGTAACAGAACCAGTCAGGGATAAGGAAGTATTTAATAATCTTTTATTTGTTAACCATTGATATTAGTTTTCAGATAAAATTTTTTTCTTCTTGCTATTAGGATTGTATTTTCACCTTGGATCCGGATCCACAAAGTCAAACTGTTGCGGATCCGGATCAAAAGCACTGATTGAAACTGACCTTTCCGATTTCAGGTCTTAATGCCAGCTCCTTATCCTCCAGAACCTTCTTCCTGGTCTTCAGCTCTGCTACAGCCTTCTTCACCTAGATGTACACGTTTAACATACGTGGAACAGACGTAAGGAGAGACAAATCCGGAAAATTCAAATCTTTCAATCCATAGTTCTGATGATTTACCGATTTTTTAATTATTCCCCCATTATAGTTGTACTCCATTTCTAACTTTCAAGTTTAGGTTTCACAGGAAAAATATTTTATGGTTAAATTTCTCGTCTTTGAAGTATTAAAAACAAAGCTTAAAATTTTATTTCTCCTTTTATAAATGACGTCTGGTGTAAATTTGGACTTTGTCTAGTTTGTAATAAAATTATATTGATAAGTTTGACGAAATATATTTAATATCACGGGTTTGTAAGGAAGGTCGCTTTTGCTTTTTTAATTTGCATAACTCTGACATTTTAATATTATTCTAAGAACAAATAAGACATACTATTATTAAGAACACTAACAGACAAGCAGTGCTTAGGATCCGGATCCGTTGGATCCACAAGATTTTGGCTTTCTGGATCCGGATCCGCAAAAATGTGCGGATCCACGGATCCGGATCTAGGGGTAAAATATCAACCAAATACTGCAAAAAAAAAACTTGTTTACCCCTAAAACCAAAATCTGAACTTTTGAAAAAAGGGAGATATAAAGATTTCCTCATTTCTGAATGGTTCATCAAGTTTTAGGATAACAATATGCGAAAAAAAATTTTAAATTATTTTTTGTTAAAAAAGTTCAGTGAATCCTGGGGATCCGGATCCATTTTTTTCCAGTGCGGATCCAGTATCCAGATCAGGATCTGGATCCGCATAAACGTTAAATGAACCCTAAGCACTGCAGACAAGGGTAAGTGGCAAAATATGACATAATATAGTGACAGTAGGTTGCATGTTAAATATTAAAATAAAATTAACAAAGAACAACTTTTCTAAAGGTTTTGAGCTTGCAGTTGCAACTAGATGAAACCTTTAAGTGATCCTACATGCAAAGATGAAATACCCAATTCACGATTAAAACCTATATAGATATTGAAGTTTTCCTAGGTTAAAAAATTTTCAATTATGATCATTTCTTTATGTCTTCCTGCAGTAAAAATGCGCTAACAAAGAAAACTTTGTACGGAGGGGCACAGTCCCTTTCAGGTTTCATGTTTACATATGTACCTCTAGCTCGGGAGCTTTATTCTCTTTTAACTGTCTAACAATATCTCCTTGCTCCTAAATATAATTATAATATATATTTTACATGGCAGCTTAGTCAAGATTTTTAGCATTGGCCGTTTTCATAAATAATACATGATACCGCAGGAAGGAATAATATCTACAATAGACCATAATATAATTTGCAGGTTTATATATTTAAAAAAAAATTACAATAACGAGTAAGAAGTGATTAATCATGAATATAATGCAGATATACATTTTTCCCAATTTTCTTCCTTTCTAGCTGCCCTGTTATTTTTTCCTGAGAATTATATTTCCCCCATCTAGTAGCTGACAAACCAAATTTGATTTCTCTATCAATAAATAATTTTCGACCATTTACTGGGGGAAAAATAATCAGTCATTAATAGGATAGATTGCAACCCTAATTTAGCTTTGATTATAAAAATTACTTATTACACCAGATCAGCAGGAATAAAAAAGGACTTTTTTACTTACTGCGCATAAATTAAATGGGAAAATAAATATATCCGACAGATTTGACTAGATTTTTTTTCCTCACAAAATTACCTTGACTGCTTCCCTTAGAGGAGCTAAAAGCTTTTCAGATTCTGGACTGAGCGCCATGTTTGAATTGGTTAAAGTTACCACGTGACGCTTCTTCTTACTGAACCAGTTTTCAGCAACTTTAAACCTATAAGACAATTTTTATTTATTCACAGGCGCACAACTAGACATCAAGGGGGTGGGGGGGCAAAGGGCAATTATTTTTATTTCCCCCCCAAAAAAAACATATTTGGGGGGGGGGGGGAGAAAAAAGTGTATTATACCTAACCATGAAAACTACCAAACACTTCAGGATATTTTTGGGGAAAATTTTATATTTGGGAGGCATTCATTCAGTTTTGGGCAAATTTGTGTGGGAAAAATCTTTATTTATATTTTAGGGGCAAATTTATTTTGGGGGGAAATTTTATTTAGTTTAGGGAGATCTGAAATCTTCTTTCTGGGGCATATTTGATTTTTAGGAGCTTTTTTCATTTTAGTGAATTTTGCGTATGGGAAATCTTAAATCTTTATTTTGGGGTGTCAATTTTTTACATAAGGGCATTTCTAAAATAAATAAAAAGGGCATCTATTTTAAACTACGGGGGTTATATTTTTTGTTGTGGGCCACACTTAATTTTTTTGAGGCATTTTTTTTTATAGATCGGGCTGTAAATAAGTTAGTTGTCTTTATCAAATTTTTGAAGTGCAAATTTAAAATATTTGATGGCATTCTAAAACACAAGAGTTACAAATGTTGAATAAAGGAGCAAATTTAAGTCTTATTGTAAATGTTATAGCTGCATTTAAATTTGCTTAAAGAGTGTAGATTAAAAAAAATTACTGTGAAGCATATTTTTTTAAAAATTTCCAGAAAATTAGCTATTTTCATTTATTATAATTTATTTTATAAATATTGAAATTTCAAATTGACGCTTTACCTGTCGGGCGAAGTATAAATACGCCGAGCAAAGTCTGAAATAATCATAATTCTAGATTTAAAGGTAAAATAAAAAGGTAATTTCCTAGAGAATGATTATTGCCCCCCCCCCTTCCTTCTTCTATCAATTTTATACATGGATCTCATATGTACCACATGGATATAATTGGTCATGTGGCCGCAGCGCCCGGCCCCCTAGCCTGTCCTAGCTGCAGCACTAGGCCCCCTAGTCTATCCTAGCCACAGCAATTGACCCCCAGAAATTGTCTTAACATAACCTAACCCTAAAATAATAATAAAAAAAAGTAATCATGTACAAAATTGATAGGAGGGGGGGGGGGGCAAAAATCGTTCTCTAGGACAGACCAGATAATAATTTACTTAAAAAGATAATCTTCCTATAAAATAAGTAGCGCGATCATAGGTCTTTCATTATGAAATTATTCCTGTGTAAAGCGGGCGAGAATTTTTGAAGATGGATATCAGGAGATTAAACTAGGAAAATATCAGCAATTTCCTGTGTTGAAAATTATATCTTTTCTATGACCTTTAAATGATGATTTCCCTTTCACTGCACTGTTAAAATTAAAAAGTATTTCGTCAGCCGTTGACACACGGAAACGGTCTGTAAATAAATGCCGCAAGATATTCATAATTCAATCGTCTTCAGTTGTAAACCGACCTACAGAAAACTGTTCTATTTAATTTCCGTCTCTGACACAAGCAAAAAGCAAATTTAGATAATATTGCAAGAAATTTTTTGCATTTTGACATTTGAAGTGAATCTTAGGTGGATATTTTTATGATAAAATGCATTGTTGGGGATGGATTGCTATGTTCAAACAAAACAATTCTCTACAAAAAGGTTAGGTGACGTAGGTCGCTGTACATTCTTCTCTGACAAGAAGACATTATTGAATGTCGTCTTAGTGAAAAGTGTCATTGGTCAGCTGATTTTAATTTCTCGCCCTGCCACAGGATAATTGGTACTAGCCTTTGCCGGCCCTGACCAAACATAAAAACTGTAAAACATTTATTGAAAATAGTGAAATCATAGTGAAATCTCGGGTCTGTCCTAGAGAACGATTTTTGGAAGAGCGCTGCGGCTAGGACAGGCTAGGGGGGCCGGGCACTGCGGTTAGGACAGACAAGAGGGGCGAGCGCCGCGGCTTGGACAGGCTTAGGGGGCGGGCGCTGCGGCCACATGGTCAATTATATCCATGTCTTACGATAAGATCATTGTACCAAATTGATAGGAAAATAATTAATAATAATTTTGTTGAATTCATGTTCTCTAGGAAAATACCGAAATCTTCACGTTATGTTATCTTAGATGGCCAATTCTGAATTGAATTTTTATTTAATAATTAGTATGATGTATTGTTCAAAGTGTTTAATCATCAAGTAAGCGGTCCTTTCCCCTGGATCTCTTTATATGGCCCAAAATACTTGTACTACTTTAGAGTTAGGGTAGGTTAAGAAAATTTCGGAGCCGCGCGCTGTAGCTAGGACAGTCTTGGGGCCAAGTGTTGCGACAGGCCAGGGGGCTGAGCACTGAGGCATGGACAGATTTAGGGGGGCCAGGCTCTGCGGTCACACATCAAACTATGACTATGTGCTATGCATCAGATGTATGTACTGAAGTGAAAAGATGGGAGGGGGACCGAAAAGTATTTCCCAATCAAAATTTGAGGCAAGGGGTTCATGTCTTACGGACGGACATACAAACTCACAAACAGATTACTACTTTATACATATAATTTGAGGCTAACGAAAAAACGGACAAACATAGTTTATTACAACTTAATATATTTAGAAGACGCATGTATAAAATGAATTATAGGGGTCTTACTCTAAAGGGCCCACAACTTCTGAAAATCCTTGACCGATTTGCCTCAATTTGAATTGGGGAATACAGTAGAACCACGGGAATTTTCTTAGCTTGGTTTAAAATTCTATTAAGTCATTTTGTTAGAGAAAGTCAAGTTTCCAGACAAAACTGTGTTCCTAAGCTTGTGACAAAATAACAATTATATTTTTTTTTTCAAGTAATACTCCCCTGGAGTGGGGAGCATAGTGATTTTTTCCCTAAGAAAATTTACATGTTTTGATAAGGGTAAAGGCACAATTCAATCCTAGGGTTCTTTTGCTAACTAACTGTTAAATAGATCAGATATCTGCAAACCGATAAAAAAGTTCCTTCTTTTGTATAAAGAATATTTAACGTATTTACTCTGAAATTAAGGAAAAGCTGAGGCCAGAGTAAAAAGAAAATGTAGTCCGCATTCAATTGCGTCACATCAATAACTTTTGGCATTCGAGGCATAAAACTACCAGGTTAAAATACATTTAATTTGTGCTTTAAAAAATAAGAGTTGTGCAACAATGCACTCAGTTCACTTCTTTAAATTTGTGCTAAATATCTGATATACATTTTGCTTTGATATATATATATCAGGACGGGGTTTGATATGTTAACTTTAACAAGTATTGTAAAAATAAATAACATTTCAGTTTGGTATGTTTACCTGCAGTTGATTGTTTTAAATAGTTCTCCTACAATGTTCTGCAACAATTCTTCCTAATATGTCATTGTAAAATGTTAAATGTGTTCTGTCTGTATTGTGTACCTGATATATTTACCCCGGATTGTCTGTAACGTGAGCCGGGTATATTTATCCTGTCTTGTCTGTATAGTGTACTGGATAAATTTACCCTGACTTGTCTGTATAGTGAACTGGGTATTTTCACCCAAGCTTGCCTGTAAAGTGTACCTGGTATATTTACCCCGTCTTGTCTGTATAGTGTACTGGGTAAATATACCCCAGCTTGTCTGTATAGTGTACCTGGTATATTTACCCCGGCTTGTCTGTGTAGTGTACCAGGTATATCCTGTCTTGTCTGTATTGTGTACTGGTCATATTTATCCCGCCTTGTCTGTATAGTGTACCAGGTATATTTACCCTGGCTTGTCTTTATAATATACCTATTATATTAACCCCGGCTTGTCTTTATAATATACCTGGTATATTTACCCCGGCTTGTCTTTATAATATACCTGGTATATTTACCCCAGTTTCTCTTTATAATATACCTGGTATATTTACCCCGGCTTGTCTTTATAATATACCTGGTATATTTACCCTAGCTTGTCTGTATAGTGTACCTGGTATATTTACCCCGGCTTGTCTGTGTAGTGTACCAGGTATATTTACCCCGTCTTGTCTGTATAGTGTACTGGGTGAATAAACCCCAGCTTGTCTGTATAGTGTACCAGGTATATTTACCCTGGCTTGTCTGTATAGTGTACTGGGTAAATATACCCCAGCTTGTCTGTATAGTGAACCAGGTATATTTACCCCGGCTTGTCTCTATAGCGAAGCTGCTTGTTTGTATAGTGTACCGAATATATTTACCCAGCTTGTCTGTATAGTGTACCGGGTATATTTACCCTGGCTTGTCTATATAGTGTACCAGTTATATATTTACCCTGGGTTTTCTTTATAGTGTACCGTATATATTTACCCTGGCTTGTTTATATAGTGTACGGAATATTTATCCCGGCTTGTCTGTATAGTGTACCAGGTATATTTACCCCAGCTTGTCTGTATAGTGTACCGGATATATTTACCCCGGCTTGTCTGTATAGTGTACCAGTTATATATTTACCTCAGCTTGTCTGTATAGTGTACCGGGTATATTATCCCGGCTTGTCTGTATAGTGTACCAGGTATATTTATCCCGGCTTGTCTGTATAGTGTACCAGATATATTTACCCCGGCTTGTCTGTATAGTGTACCAGTTATATATTTACCTCAGCTTGTCTGTATAGTGTACCGGGTATATTATCCCAGCTTGTCTGTATAGTATACCAGGTATATTTATCCCGGCTTGTCTGTATAGTGTACCAGATATATTTACCCCGGCTTGTCTGTAGTGTACCGGATATATTTACCTTGGCTTGTCTGTATAGTGTGCCGGGTATATTTATCCCGGCTTGTCTGTACAGTGTACCAGATATATTTACCCCGGCTTGTGTGGATAGTGTACCGAATATATTTATCTCGGCTTTCCTGTATAGTGTACTGGATATATTTATTCCGACTTGTCTGTATAGTGAACCGGATATATTTACCCCGTCTTTTGTGTATAGTGTACAGGGTGGCCAAAATGTACGGATTGTACGGATTGTTTTTTTTTTAACCCTAAAATTGTACGGATTGTACGGATTGTACGGATTTGTTTTCAAATTGTACGGATTGTACGGATTTTTATCCTGGAAAATACACCGTTTTTTTAAAATTTTCACTCATTTCAGCAAATTTTTCATGAAAATTAAAAAAAAAATCTGGTCAAAATGAAGTTATTTTCTGCATTCTAAATAATATTAGATTGATTAATGTTTCAATTGACAATCAAAATTCATTCATAATTTTCGAGATATGTCCAAGAAGTGTTTATTTGAGAATATGTTCCATAAGTACTTATTTGATTGCTTATTCAAGAAGATGTTCCAGTATCCTGTACCCAGTATCCTGTACCCAGTATCCTGTACCCAGTATCCTGTACCCAGTATCCTGTACCCAGTATCATGTACCCAGTATCATGTACCCAGTATCATGTACCCAGAATTATGTACCCAGTATCATGTACCCAGTATCCAGTATCCAGTATCCAGTATCCTGTATCCTGGATCATGTATCATGTATCATGTATCCAGTATCCAGTATCATGCACCTAGTATCATGTACCCAGTATTTAGTTTGTATATATGTATGAAGCCAATTTTTTACAGATTGATTCTTGCTGAAGAAGTTTAAACCCTCTTACATGAACTGAACACAAAGGACAATGATTGAAAAATTGAATTTTAATGTGTTTTTTTCAAAAATGGGATTTTTTTCGAAAATTGTACTGATTGTACAGATTTTTAAAAAAAATGTACGGATTTTTAAAAAAATGTACGGATTGGTTTAAAAAAATGTACGAATTGTACGGATTTTTAAAAAAAAAATTGTACGGATTGTACGGATTTTTTTTCGAAAATTGTACGGATTGTACGGATTTCTTCTGAAAATGTACCCGGTATATCCCGGCTTGTCTGTTTAGTGAACTGGGTATATTTACCCCGGCTTGTGTGTATAGTGTACCATATTTATCCCGGCTTGTCTGTACCGGTTAGTCTGGAGGTTAGAGGCTGCTGCACTCAGGGGCCTCCATCTCCAGTACTGTCCAGGCAGTCCCTAGTCATACAACAGCTGAGTTCACCGTGGCAGGGGAAAATTAATAATATACAATTTACAATTATCTGAAACCAGTTATTTTCCATTTTTAGATTAAGTGCTTAACAAACCTAATTTGTCGTAAATGTTCAGTGATTACAGGCTTGAAAAAGAAACTGCCTACTTATAGAAACAATTATTTCAAATTAACTTAAATATTTCAATTTTATCTTATTTTAGAAAATACTTTTTTGGTATTTTTTCCTCATTTATCCCTATATACATTTTTACAGGGAATAGACCTAAGCTACGGTCACAAGTGAAACATTTTTTGTTTGTTTATCCTTTCCGACCGTTTCCTGGAATTTACGTAGAATGTGTATATTTGACTAAATATATATTATATTACTATATTTTATGCGACTAAGTTTCGTTTACTGTTTTATTGTTTTTAAACAAATGAAAAGGATTAATGGCTGATGCATTGTAAAGCTTAATAACGGGATCATATTTTATTTCAGTTTAAACATCATTATGAAGAAACGGCATTTTCCGGGTCCTTAACACCCCCTTTCAATGAGAACCTGGATTTTATAAAAACTTTTGGCAATTTTCTCTTTTTACATTAATGAATTCAAATAAAATTATTCTCAAAATTTTACGACCTGTGATCGTGATTTAGTTGAGTTGAGGGTTAACATCAGTATTTTTGTGGTTTGTTGTTTAATGGTTATTGGTTAAAATGCATTTGGTAGACGAGAGGAAATGCATGGATGGTCTTGATAAAAGTTTGTATAAGAATTTAAAAAAGAGTTGAAATATTTATTTTAATTTTAGAATTTTTACCCAAATGATGCAGGTGTTTTTTCAGTTATATCGTGTATTCTTTATAGTTTTATGAAGAGAGAATATGCCTTGATCCTAGTCTTATAAGAATCAAGAACTATGTACTCTCATTGTACATGTTACTGTACACTTAATACACTAGAAAATACAAGAAAGAAATCTTTGTAGTTTCCTTACTTGAAAAGTACTTTTTTTTGTTATCAGAAATTTTGTCATCAATGACCTGGATATCCAAAACATTTTAGGCGAAAGACAAATTTTGATGTTATTTTCAGATTTTTAAGTGAACTACAAAATATGTCTTGTGTTGAAGGACAAATGATGATCTCTCCCACATTAGCTCAGGATGGATCTAACTAGCTGGTTGATCGATCCCTGGGTCTCCAGGAGTAAGGTTTTCAGTTTTCAATCTCCAGGACCAACCTCATTTTCCAATCTGTAGTGGAGTGCAGTAAAACGGGGCAGATGAGTAGTAAGAAGCTCAAGGTAGGAAGTGGATTTAGAACAACCATTCATAACATCTCGGCTGAAATTTTAAATGAGGGGGACTAAGGATAGGGATAGAGGGAAAGGGAGAGATGGAAAGGAACAGATGGACAGGGTCAGATGGACAGGGACAGATGGACAGAAGGAAAGGGAAAGAGAGAAAAGTATAGAGGGAAGGGAGAGATGGACAGGGACAGAATGAAAAGGGTTAGAGAGACAGAGGAAGAGGGAAAGTTAGAAAGGGACGGGTTCAGGAATAGAGGGAAAAGGACGTATAATGGTGACTCCCGAGACGCCGACGGCTAAGAGAGACGGAAAAACAACGGAGGGGAGGGATGGAGAAAAGGAGACCGGGACGAAGAAGACGGTAGTAGAAGGTGTAGGGAAGGACGGAACAAATTGACCCAGGCTTTTAAAGCTGAAAGGGACTGCTGAGTGTCGACATATATTATTTTGTCTCAGTACAGAGAACCGAAATTAAAATGATAATTTTTTTAACACAAAAACCAGAATGTCTACTTCATCGTTGCTGAGACAAAAAAGATTTGAATCGGGCATGTAAATCTTTAGATGGAGTGTCACATAATTTCTAGTGACACTCCATGCAAAGATGGCAATGCCCGATTTACAACAGTTCCTATTAAAGCTTTGCTTGATCAAGTATGAATTAGATCCATGTCTTTGCTTCTTTGAATTTTTCATTTTCATTTTCTGTTTTTCTGCGAAGTGACTTGTGCATTTCTGGCTTATAAACATTTTTCTAGTCAGATAAACTACAGTATCTTCCACATTTTTATTCAGATAAAGGTGAAAGGGTACCATTGTAAATCGAGCATTGCCATTTTTGCGTAGAGGGTCACTTTAAATTACGCTTTGAGTCCCTTTAATGAACTGTGGTGCAGGGTCCAGAGGAGGGTGCCGAAACTGAAGAGAGGAATGGACCTAAACGTGGGCGAAGAAGAACAGCCTCCACGAGGAGCTATAGAGGCAGCCTCAATAGATCGGAGGAGGGGAAATCTTTTCTCAGGTAACATCATTTAAAACCTTTCTGAAAACAAACAAGATACCTTAATTTTGAAATCGAGAACATAACCTAGCAAAGTATATTCACTTCATAAAGGCAAAATTCATTGGTACCTGAAAAAAGTCTTAGTATATTTTTCCATAAAACCCGGTTTTTATGTAGTTTCGTGGATTTTAAACCATTTCCGGTTATTTTTAAAATAAAATATTAAATTATCTAAAAATGATTATGTTTACTTAACTTAAAATTTAATACAACGTGTTTTCATTTGTACAGTTTGTAAAACGCACATTTTTCATTTTATGAATGGTAATTTAGGCCATTGGGATATTACATTTTTTTGGGGGTTTTAAGAATCTAAAATATAAAATGTTAATTTTTTCCCCATTATTTCCCCATTATTAGGCTCTTGGGATATTATATGTTTTTGGGGTTATAAGTATCTAAAATCTAAAATGTTCATTTTTTCCCCAATATTAGGCTCTTGGGATATTATATATTTTTGGGGTTATAAGTATCTAAAATCTAAAATGTTCATTTTTTCCCCATTATTTCCGTAAAAAATTGTTGTTAAAATGTGTGACGAAAATAATTCTACTTTTCAACTAAATAAACTAAATTACTACCCCCCCCCCAACACACATAGTTTTAATGCTTCTGTGAATTTAAAAGTGATGAATACTTTTAAATATTTTATCAACTTTTGTTTACAATTTAGCTGGAAGTCATAAATTTATTAACCTTCAACATGATTTGATCGATTAAGTTAAATAAATATAAAATTACACAAAATAATCATTTAATTCCTTTATTAATTCATTACGTTGGTTTATTGAGGATTACTATTCAAATCCTTAAATTGTAAAATTTTAACAAAAATTATTAGAATTGTTTAAATCATTCAATTTATCAACGTTGTTTTTCCCACCTGCATCCGCAATAAATTCTTAAATCACGCTTTTCCAAAACCTATGAACACAACTTTTAAGAAGAATACTAAGTCAAATTTACATAGGATTACCCACTCGATGATTAAACTTAAATAAAGGGTTTCTGCCTTCAATATAAAGAAACAGATAAATTCCGCACAATCGTCTATGAAGTCTCATTTATTGTGGGTAACCCTGTAACATAAAGAAAAATATATAAAATCTACCCACTGAAGAGTCGTGGCTAAAGTCTTATCTGTCTTGGATCACACTGTAATAGTAGTATGGTTGTATTTGGCAAGAAAACCAAGCTCCTAATCATTAGATGTTGTAGTGTTAGAAGATAAGATTCATGTGTAACGATAAGTTAAAGAATAAGGTTATACGGTCGAAGACAACGAAATATCTAGAGATTTTTTGTGGAAAATGTTGAACTGCTTGAAAGTAGTTTGAAAATGTAGCTAAAAGATAGATGTTTTAAAGAATAAGGGGATTACATTCTTCATGAGAAAAAATATTAATTTAGAGGGTAAACGATGAAATAATTAATCTTTAAAAAATAGAAAAATCTATCTGGATTAAATCTAAAACTTTTTTATTTCAGCAATATCAGGAAATTGACTAAATCTCATTACTTTTATGTTATGTGTCTATATTTTCTCCCGGATACTAGTTTCCAATTTAAGTTGCCATTTTTAGTCAGAATTAAGTTAAGGTGAAATCAAAACAATTTTGGAATATGGATTTATTGTCAACACAAAATAAAATGGAAGACAAAAGAACATGGACGGCAAATCATGGGTTGAAAAAAGAAAAGAGGAAGGGGAAGGGACAGTTTAAGGAAAGGAAGGAAAAGAAGGGAAGGGAAAGGAAGGAAAAGAAGTGAATGAAAAGAAGTGAATGAAAAGAAGTGAATGAAAAGAAGGGAAGGAAAAGAAGGGAAGGAAAAGAAGGGAAGGAAAAGAAGGGAAAGGAAGGTAAAGATGGGAAGGAAAAGAAGGGAAGAATTAGAAGGGAGGCAAAAGAAGGGAAGGAAAAGAAGGGAAGGAAAAGAAGAGAAGGAAAAGAAGGGAAGGAAAAGAAGGGAAGGAAAAGAAGGGAAAGAAAAGAAGGGAAGGAAAATAAGGGAAGCAAAAGATGAAGAAAAGGGAAAGAAAAGAGAAGGAAAAGGGAAGGGGGAAAGTATGAGGTAAATAAATGGAAAGGAAAAGTGCCTTTGTATTCCTTGAAAAGTATTCTTTTAACATAGAGAAGAAACAATGTTGTCTCTTTTTACGCAGTTCAGACTTTTATTTACACAAAACATGTCGCAGATAGATTCGGGCCAACTCCTCTCTACCCTAGTATTCAAACAATAATAAGCTTTAAATACACTTCAGTGGCGTCAACAGTTATATTTCATCGTACTCTGCATTTGTTGCATCATTTCTAGGACACGGGTTCATTTCCTACTTCAAGACAGGGGGGTATATCTTAAGTATATACTTTGATTGTCTGTCTGGGTGTTTGTTTGTTTGTTTGTTTGTATCCAATAAACGTCAAAACGGATGAACCGATCGGGCCCAAATTTTGCGTGGGACCTCGCATTACCCAAGGGTAGGTTCACAGAAAGATGCATCAGGAAGAAAGGGGAAAGATGCATCAGAAAGAAAGAGGAAAGATACATCAGATAGAAAGGGGAAAGATACATCAGATAGAAAGGGGAAAGATGGGGAAAGATACATTAGAACGATAGGGAAGGATACATCAGAACGATAGGGGAAAGATACATCAGAACGATAGGGGAAAGAAACATCAGAAAGATAGTAGAAAGAAACGTCAGGAAGATAAGGGAAAGATACATCAGAAAAATTGGGGAAAGAAACATCAGAAAAATAGGGGAAAGAAACATCAGAAAGTTAAGGGAAAAAACATAAGAATGATAGGGGAAAGAAACTCAGAAAAATTGGGAAAAGAAACATCAGAAACATAGGGAACGATAAATTAGAAAGATAGGAGAAAGAAATATTAGAAAGATAGGGGAAAGGTACATGAGAAAGATAGGGGAAAGATAAATCAGAAAAAAGGGAAAGAAACAGCAGAAAGATAGGGAAAATATACAACAGTCGGATGGGAATATATATTTCTGAAAGATGGTGAAAGATAGGGGAAAAATAAATCAGGAAGAAAGGTTGGAAAGATACCTCAGGTAGAAAGGGGAACTATGTAGGAGAAAGAAGGCGAGCCACATAGTGCTGGGGGGGGGGGGGGTAGAGATACTTACTCTAAAGGTGTAACTAGATAAAAATGCTACATAGATGGGGAGGGTAAATTACAGGAAGGAGGAGATGGGGGGGGGGGGGGGGGCGGGATTATGACTTCTGTGTAAAATGTGAATTACAGTAAAATCAAGTCCCGTATATTGTTAGCATTAAATCCCAGTTTAAACTTTTGCTTATACAAAAAAAACCTGGTTGGTTCAAATCTTTGTAAAATTTGAAGATTAAAATAGAGATTGTTAAATAACGATGTACATGATGTCATGAATATATGATAGAACTACGAAATATTTTATCAAATCATAGAATTATAAAACAAAATAATCAAAAAACACAAAAAGTAAAAAGTTTAACATAACATGGGGTAAATAAAAACATCTTTTAATATTGTAAAATGAGAAAAGCTATATCTGGCTTGAGCTGGTTAGAAACATAGAATCTCGAAAAACATGTTTCCCAAATTTCACGAAACAAATGTCTCGGCTTGGGCCTAAGTTTGCATCCAGGTCTTCGTAGTATTTTCCTATATTTCCCTGGGGGGGGGGGGTTACACTAAACTGTGCTTACTTTAACCACAGTGAGATCTTTGTAATTGTATCCAGTAGAAGTGTTGTACACTGAGCTAAAAAGGTGACTAAACTTCTCACGGCTAGAAACTCCATGATAAGTATTTATCCCTGTAATTGAAGACCGCTGCTATGCCTCAAGCATTTCATCAACTCAGTCTTCGTTTGATAGTTTATAATCGTATTCGGGTACAACAGGGCTTAGGTGATACAATACAGTAGGTCAATGTTTTGTTGGGATGGGATTGACAGGACGGATTTAATTCAATAATATTTGTATTAATGTTACTATTATGTACTCAGTTATACTGCTCAAACATATCAACTTGTATTTAATTTGATGTGTATTGTTTCTGAATAATAATAATATACATAATATACATTGGATACACATTGGTGTTTGTAAAGAATCAGTGACCATTAGGACAGTTACAGTGTTTGAATTTGTGATTTGGTCTAGGTAAAGAATGAGTGATTATTAGGACAGTGCAGATTCTGGTATACGTCAAGAAACAGTGATTAAAAGGACGGATACAGTGTGTGATTTGGTGTACGTAAAGGATGAGTGATTATTAGGGCGGATACAGTATGTTTTCAAGAATTTAGGACTGATACAGCGTTTGATAAAGTGTAAATAATGAATTCAGTAAATTTCTAATAACATGACGATAAAGTCTAATTTAGCATGACATAGCGGAAACTAGAAAGAACGAGTAGAACGAAGAAACTTATGTAAGCATCAAAACAATAAATAACCAGTCAGAATGTCCAGACTAGAAACAATCTGCTTTATGTAGAACTGTCCAAGTTTTGATACAGCTAGGAAGGATACAATTCATAATATTGGAGATATACGTTTTAAGTGGATTAATGATAAAAGATTGGATAATTACGCAAAGTTTATAGTGGTCAGATAGAGGGGGGCGCCAGGACGCTGCGTCATGTGACAATTCTGTAAAGAACTAAACTAATTATCTGTCCGGGTTAAGCAGCTTTCACCCCCCCCCTCTCCCCTCCCTCCTAACTCGTATCAGTTCAAAACACTGCGCTGCAGTGTAAAGCTGACACAGTTATATATTTGATTTGTCAATATTCAGATTTACATTTGTATGTTTCTTTATTATAACATTTGATACATTTATAACTTTTAAATAGTTTAAATATGAAGAAACTGATTACTCGACTAGATGTCTGCTCTTCTAATCTATATCTTTACAACCTGGCGTCGATCATAGTTCTTAGATATTTTAAACAATCTGTTAGATCAAATTGTCTTAAGTTTCAATTGAAAACCAGGGATTGAGGAAAATACTTAAATCCTTTGTATGTATCTGTAATAAAACAGCTGATACAGATAGATCCTTTGTATGTATCTTAGATCCTTTGTATGTATCTGTAATAAAACAGCTGATACAGATAGATCCTTTGTATGTATCTATAATAAAACAGCTGATACAGATAGATCCTTTGTATGTATCTATAATAAAACAGCTGATACAGATAGATCCTTTGTATGTATCTGTAATAAAACAGCTGATACAGATAAATCCTTTGTATGTATCTATAATAAACAGCTGATACAGATGAATCCTTTTTATGTATCTATAATAAACAGCTGATACAGAAAAATCCATGAGTTACTATCTAAGTATCATGTTTGTTTACTCTTAATAGTGTCGAGTTGACTTTTGCGTAACAGTATAATTTATGAGAGCGGACAGGGCCGGCAGAACTCAAATGAAATCCAAATTTCGTTTTATTATTTTAGAAAATAGTTAAATCTAGAGTTATGAATAAACAATGAAATTATTGTTTCTTTTACATTTTTAAAATGTAATATTTCCACGTCCCTAATTTACTAAATAATAAATGATTTAAATGCATTTTATTGTTATTAGATTAGCATTGACTGTATTGGTTATATATTCATTAATTCTGCAGAGGTTGTAAATGTGCGACGTGCGTATTCTTTTTATGAAAATATTTTAACTATTCGATAAGAAGTTATCCGTAAATAAAAAAGAGATGATTTTATTCAGACGAGCTTTGACTACTGGAGGAACCCAGTCTGGGACGAGTACTCCAACCTCAAGGACGAAGGAAGGAAGGACGAGAAGGAGGTCGGCACCCCCTGACACATACGACAACGTGAACGGTTCAGAAAACAAGAACAACCAGTAAGTTTTCAATGGTTAAAAAACGAACCATTTTATTCAAAAAAACAGAAAAAAATTATCTCATATTCTTACAATTTAGAACTTTTTCTCTTGATATATTTCTTGGAAATAATCAGCTTTCATCCTGTTACAGTCTGGTTCTCTCCTTAAGAAATAATAGAGATTCATCTTCTATATTATCAACATCGCAGATATTGGGAATTTTGATTAATATATATCTATATATAAATTTGGCTTGTTTGTTTGTTTGTCTGTTTGTTTGTTTGTATCCAATAAACGTCAAAACGGCTGAACCGATCGGGCCCAAATTTTTTGTGGGACATCTATGGACCCCAGGGAAGGTTTATGAATGATCAAAATTTCAAATATTTGTCTCCATCAAAATTCGATCTTCATTAAATTTTTGAAAATTTGGAAAATCCACGAAATTTTTTGTGAAAATCCGCGAATTATTTTTGTTTTGTTTTACGATGTACACAAAGAGAACATGTTCACAATTGATTTAGAAGATGGGCGCGAAGCGCCCTCTAAGGCTAGTATATATATATATATTATTCAATCATAATCAGAGTATTAGTCTGAATTATCTATGCAAGCTATTAATCAAAATTCCCAATATCTGCGATGTTGATAATGTATATATATATATTATATATCTATATATATCCCGCCAATGATTATCTTCTCATTTCCCCGTTTTCCTTTCCAATTCACTGCATCAGACATCAACGGTTTGACTTTGTGACTTCGTAGCTCCTGGAAGTTTTTATTTTAAGCAGAGGCAAATATAATTAAAACATTTTTATTCTTCAAGTAAATGAGTTATGTTGAAAATATATCAATGCTACGGCAATTTGCCTTTGTTTTAAAGGATTTCATCATTTTCTTTTCTCTTGGTAATTCTGTTTTTATTGTCTCTGTTGCCGGTGGTATAATTTCTCCTTGTACTTGGCAGTTTCCTTCTTTAGAATATTCATATTTTAAATTATTGTATTTCATGCATGATTTCAACTTTATGAATTAAAAGTAAGATTAATAATTGGAAAATAGAATACAAAATACTTTTTCATTACTTTTGAGTTAGATTGGGGTTAGATTAATAAGAAATTAAAATCTTGTATCTAGTCTTGTAATTATACTTTAGTACTTGATGATCACAAGGTGTCGTGTGTTCTCTTGTCAGCTGTCATGTTCAATTTAAAATTAAAGTTTTTTAGAACTAGAGCAGATATCTTGAAACATAACTTGTTTGTCGCTAAACTTGATAAGCGGGAATTTTTGCGAACTTTTTTTCTGTAAAGGTGCGGTATCAAGATTTTCTTCATTTCGGAGGAAGATGAAAGGTTTTCCTAGTCTTAATTTTTCTTCGGAATATTAGTTATAAAACATTATTTTTTAAGTTTTTTACGTGCACGTGTTGCCATCTCAGATAAATCATATAACTTCGTTCAGAAATTTGAAGTTAAACTTTGAATATTTAGAGTATTTATTTAGTAGAAATAGGTATAGTCTAAAAAATGATAATTCTTAATTTTAAAAGAGGTTAGGAGCGATAAATGTTCCAGAAAGAAGAGGATGAGCGGAGGTTTCTTTCCACTCATCCTGTCTGTAACATCCACTTATCCTGAAATAAAGTATTCTCGATATGTATAGAATATTGATGTTTGCTTGGAGGTTTTTTTGGGTTTGTTTCTCTTTTATTTCTTTGTATCCCGTGACCATTGACCTCTGTAATAACGATCAACAAACCAAGCTAGGGTTTGTGATCTGCTGCTCTGATGGATGAAATCCAATACATGGTTTTAGAATCTAATACTCAAGGTGTTCAAATCAGAATCCAATGCGCAAATTGAATTCACATCTCTAAGTTCTTTCGGCTTAGAAATCCATCACTCCAGGTTTTAAGTAAACTTCTCTGGGCGTAAAAACCCATTACTCCAGGTTAATGAATCCACTGCTCCGAGTCTATAAATTCACTGCTGCGGGGCTTCTGTGTTTTTAACCCTGTAGTTCCCATAGTATCTTTTTTTATCTGATACATATTACTGGGGGGGGGGGGGGGTGGCTTTTGATCCAACAACTAGCACGCATTAATGAATCCATGACTATTACGACGTAATGAATCCACTACTCCGGGTTAATAAATCCACTACTCCGGGTTAATGAATCCACTATTCCGAGTTAATTAATCCACAACTCCGGGTTAGTAAATCCACTAATCCTGGTTAATGAATCCACTACTCCGGGTTAAAGAGTCCACTACTGCGGGTTAATAAATCCACTACTCCGGGTTCTTGAATTCAATACTCCGGGTTAATAAATCCACTGCTACGGGTTAATAAATCCACTGCTACGGGTTAATGAATCCACTACTACGGGTTAATTAATCCACAACTCCGGGTTAGTAAATCCACTACTCCTGGTTAATAAATCCACTACTCTGGGTTCTTGAATTCACTACTCCGGGTTAATAAATCCACTGCTACGGGTTAGTAAATCCACTACTCCTGGTTAATGAATCCACTACTCCGGGTTCTTGAATTCACTATTCCGGGTTAATAAATCCACTACTCCAGGTTAATAAATCCACTACTTCGGGTTAATGAATCTACTACTACGGGTTAACAAATCCACTACTACGGGTTAATAAACCTACTACTCCGGGTTAATGAATCCAGTACTACGGGTTAATAAATCCACTACTCCGGGTTAATGAATCCACTACTATGGGTTAATGAATCCACTACTTCAGGTTAATGAATCCAATATTCAGGGTTAATATATCCTCTACTCAGAGGTTAATAAATCCTGTACTCAGAGGTTAATAAATCCAAAACTCTGGATTAAACAATCCACTACCCCCGGTTAATAAATCCTCTACTCCCAACCGCATGAATAATAAATAAATAATTTCTCCGGTATTTCTCTTTTTTACATTTCCACAGACAATTAAGTTCCAAGAAGAAACCTTGTATGCATTCTTCAAGGTCAAGAAATCCTGGAGACTCCACCGAGTGTCTGGCCGGAGTAGGATCGATACTCGTCAGATTGGAGAAAACTGCAGTAAACTTTACTCCGTATGGAAACCAAACAGAATACATCATTAATACTTAGTTCATTTTGTTTTGAATCATTGTATTTTTTTAATCTGTTTGAAATCACGAAAAAGGATTAGCTAAGAACCCTTTTCTCGAAACTTTTATTTTAAAAAAAGATTTATTTTATAAACCTTAGGGTTTCCTGTCTGGTTTATTACTTCTCTGATATATTTATTATACTTCCGAGGTAGAACCTGGAAATTATTTCTCAATTCTCCAGTCTTCGAACTTCAATAATTTCTGTTATATCTCACGAACCAACCTATAAATACAATAAAACACATTCATTGAGAATTCTCTTATAATAGATTAATTTTCTTTGTTTATTTTTTTTGTAAATTTGTTTTATCTTGTCTGATATTCTAGTTACCATTCTCCATTTTTAAATTGAAAACAATCTTTCCCTTCTCATCCGCAACTTATCTTTCATTCGCTTTTTAAAATCGTCATTCTATCTTCTCTTATTATCAACATTATTTTATTACCAAAAAATCAATATCTCCAATTTTCCAATTTTTAGGAACTTTATACTTAGTCCTTAATCTTTAATCCTAGCATTCACAACTAGTTTTTTCTTATACCGCCATCCTTCTTCTCCTAATATATCCATCTATCTTTACCTAATATCTCAATACTTCATAACCTAATATCTGCATTCTTCCTCTCCTAATATCTCCATACTTCCTATCCTAATATCTCTGTCCTTTCTCTCCTGATACTTCTCTACTTCGTCTCCTTATATCTCTATCCTTTCTCTCCTAATAACTCCATCTGGCTCTACCCAATATCTCCATACTTCATATCCTAATATCTCCATTCTTTTTCTAATATCTTAATACTTCCTTTCCTAATATTTCCCTACTTCTGATGTCTCGCTATTTCCTCTCCTAACATCTCTATTCTTCCTCTTCTAATAACTCCATCCTTCCTATTTTAATATCTCTATCCTTCCTCGCCTAATATTTTCATCCATCCTCTTAATATCTCCATCCTTCCTCTCCTAATATCTCCCTACTTCCTCTCCTAATATATCCCTACTTCCTCTCCTAATATATCCCTACTTCCTCTCCTAATATATCCCTACTTCCTCTCCTAATATAATATCTCTATCCTTCCTCGCCTAATATTTTCATCCATCCTCTTAATATCTCCCTACTTCCTCTCCTAATATATCCCTACTTCCTCTCCTAATATATCCCTACTTCCTCTCCTAATATATCCCTACTTCCTCTCCTAATATCTTCATACTACCTCTCCTAATATATCCCTACTTCCTCTACTAATATCTCCACCCTAATTTCTCCTAATATCTCCATTCTTATTCCTATTTAGTTTATAGTTACTAATTAGATGGTTAGCAGTTTTTCTAGTATTATTTATTCATTCAATTTATTCATACAAAATATTTTATGAATATTTTTTATGATTGCACAATTTGTGGTCATTTCTCAAACTTATGTGGGCGTAAAGCAGGAGTTCGCGAATATAAACTTCCAGGGACCGAATTTAATTAATCGGAGATGTCGCTGAACTACATACTTCTGGTTCAAATCATGATTCACCGATTGAAAGTTAAATACTCGCCAGTAAGTATGTACTAACGTGGAGAGTGAATAGTGAATTAGGATTGAACAGGCGGTATGTCGTTAAACGTGTTCTCGTGTAAAATTTATGATTTCTCTACTCCAATTTAAATTCTCTTTTCTGGTCAAAGCCCCGAATTATTTTTTTTTTCTTTTTTTCTCCGATCTTTCCCCAGATTTTTTTTTCAAAATCTTTGATTATCCGTCTGTTTAAAGATGCGACAGTTCTAATGCACTTCTTGTTTTCCAGGAAGAATTCTCTGACTAGTTTAAAATCTGAAAACCTTGCCGAACTTAAAGAAGAAAACTCAGAGAAGAAGATAGAATACAAACCTCTCTCTGAAAGGTATTAATACAACGTAATATTAACACTAACAGATATTCTAAAAAATGTTTTAATTTTTAATTTTTTTTTTACAGAAAAGCATTTTTTACTTTCTATTCAAACATATTTTTCTCAAATTCATGCTGTAATGGTGGATGCTCTATAACATCTCTAAAGATGTAAAATATTTTTTCAATGGATTTAAATAATTTTGTTTTCTAGACGAGGAGGGTCTGGAAGGGGTGGCAGTGGTATCTATAAGAGAGGGGGCAGCAAGGGAACAGATGTAGATTTTAGGGACATTTCATCAATAAGTATTAAGTTTTCAAATACGTTAATGACAACCCCCCCCCCCTCCACCTATAATGTAAAAAGATTTTGAGTGCATTATTTGTTTACACACTAAACTTATTTTTGAAATCATTTAAATCTTATTTTGAAACGAGATATATCTAAATATTCCTGATGTGGTAAATATCTAAATATTCCTGATGTGGTAAATATATGTCCGAGGGAGAATTACGGGTGTAAACAGTACACATTTGGTAGGGTAGGCTGGGGGGGCAGTTGACGTTTGCTTAAAGATTAAGCGGATTAAACTTTCCCTTTCTATTTTTCAGAGATCAATGCAGATCTCCAAGCCGTGTAATGCTTCTTATTTGATCTCCCCCTGCCCCCCCTTTCTGCAATCTGCATGTGTCTGGTTGGTTTGCTTGAAACCAGAGCTATTGTATTGTAGTATGCATAGTATGCACCGTGTACTGTGTCGGAAGAAATTTGAATACAGGGTTACCCATAATTCACAAAGAATGAGATTTCAGAGATGGCATTACAAAATGTTGTCATTATTTTCTCTATTGATGGTTCCCTGCTGGTTTATATGTCTTACCTTTTTGTTGTCAATCTAAGTACTAGCTCGGGGACCCAGCTTTGCTTGATGACTAAACTTTCCATAAAAAACCAAACTCTACTTAGAATGTTTTAATCGAGCTAATAACATGTCCGTGGTTCTACCGAGTTCCCAAATCAAAATTTGGAGCAAATCGGTCCAGGGGCACAAGAGCTATGATGGGATATCCGAAAACAGAGCTCGATACTTTATAAACATATGTACTTAATTTAAGACAAATGACCAAATTCCACTTATATATGTTCATATTTGAAGAGTCTCATGACGTCATTGAAGTCTCATTCTCTGTGGTAACCCTTTTAGTATTCTAGCTGCTAGGGCTCTCTCTGGGTTCTCTGTTGAGTAGAAGATTATCCTTGATTGAGTACTATCAGTTTATACAAGATGAGAGCATGGTTATGGATGGATCAGTTACCAGTTTCTTCAAATAACCTCTTGCAATTTTTTAGCAAAATATTTAAGGCATTTTGTCGTATCTTCTAAACTCTTTTCTATTTTCATAATATCTAAATAAGTAATTTGAAGCTAAAATGTCAAAAGTGAGTTTCAATTTATGAATTGTTAGAAAATGTCTAATTTAATTTTCATTCTGGCTGTATGCCCTACGATTAAGTTTTTCATTATGAGTATTTGCTTTGGAGTGGAAGGGGGGGGACATTTGATAAGGCCTTCGTTTTTCAATTGTCATGATATATATTTTTAATTGAGGCCCACGGAATATTTTGAATGCTAAATTTTTATTTCCTGGAACAAGTTTTCCCAGTGTGTATTTTTCTCGACAATTTAGAATTTTTTGTGCAAAATACAAAACTCCTTCAACTCGTAACTTTTTATTCCGTAGTTTTTATTACAATTTTGGACTTTTCTATATTCTCGTAGTCCTAAGCTCTAGTTCCAGTTTTTACTCGAAATGTATTAATCTTAATGGTTTAATTGGTTTAATTGGTGTGTTTATGTTATTGTATCACTGGTGTGATAATTAAAACATCTCAATATTTTGTCTATGTTGGCCATTCATCTAGTTTATTTGGATAGACTGTTTTATTTGATTTTAAGTCAAGTCAAGAAATGTTAAATCATTATCAATTTGTTGAGATATTTCTCTAGGATGTAAAAAAAACCTAAGACTGAATTTAATATTAAATGCTGTCTACTAATAATCGAATATAAACATGTAAGGAACTTGATTGGAAGGATCAACAGATCCAATCATTAATAATTGGATAGAGAAAAAAAAATGTTTACATTTTACTTTGTGACCAAAATTCTAGCTATCAATGGAACAGCTTTGAACGGACCTACTGAAAACTTGAATTTAAGTTTTAATCCTTAAGACAATTGTGATATTAATTTCATTATGATTGGGTAATGGGTATAAATTAAGCCATTGGGAGAAAAAATTGTGAAGTGTTTAATTACTTTTAACACCTCAGAAATTCGTAATCTTCAGTATTTACTAGACCCCTTTGACGTTTGAGGTATCACCTTGGGGTCGATTGATTTGAATCTCTTTTTTTGTATGAATAAGAAGGGATCCCTGGCTTGGATTATTATTGTACAGTGTACACTGATATTTTTTTTTATCTACGCCTTATATAGAGATATTTTGATGAAATGGTTCTAGTAGGAGTAGGGATGGAGAGAAGGTTCCAGGAGAAACCATAAAGACGGATTCCATCCTGGAGAAACAGGTTTGACTTTTGTTATATTGTTTTTATTATTTTTATGGCATTTTCAATGTAGATGATTCTTCCATCTGTGATTTTATACAATATTCGTCATCCTAAAAAATATATATATTTTTTTACAGTTAGAACTTCCCCTAAAATCGACCTGTGTGCGTGTCGTATACATACGTAAATGTATTTCATCTGGTNATTAACTGTTAACAATCGTCGTGATCCAAAATTGAAACCTTAAAAAACTTAAAAATGTATCACATGAATTGAGTATTTTGAATATCGTTCCGTGATATTTATAATTTTGAGAACTTTGATTTGTGAAAGCAAAATCAATGAAAATTACGGAATTTTTAAAAAATATTCTGTTGTGCATAATTGTGTTAATAGTTGATATTGTTGTATTTTATTATGCATTGTCTTTTTTATGTATAAAAATTTAGTAGTTTTCTAGAATATTTTAGTTCATAAAGTTAGCAAATTATGACTCATTCTAGTAGTATTTTTTATTCAAGCTATAGTTGTAACTATACAGACAGATTAATGAAGGTATAATACTTGAAATATTTGTTGCCTGACTCATATCTAGTCCAACTTTATTTCAGGACGTAGAGAAACCGGAGAAGGACGAGGAAACTCTGGACAAGGACGGAACTCATGACAAGGATGGAAAAACTCCGGACAAGGACGGAGAGATTGCTGATGACAGTGGAGTGAAAGACACTTGTGAGAAAAAAGATAAAGACACTGAAACTACACTAGAGACGACTATGAAAGGACGATTTAGTGTGGACTACAAATATGTTAAAGTTAAGGACGAACTCGAAACAGATATTCCGCTCAGTGACCCGGACGAAGAGCTGGAGGACGGAGACAAGAAAACTGAGGATGGTGAGGATGAGGATAAGAAGAAGGAGGATGAAGAGGAGGAGCCGAAGGCAATCGACACGTCCCCTGACGGACGATACCTGAAGTTCGATGAGGAAATCGGTCACGGTAGTTTCAAGACAGTTTTTAAGGGTTTAGATACAGATACCGGGGTTGCTGTAGCCTGGTGTGAACTTCAAGATCAAAAACTAACTAAAGGAGAACGGAGAAGGTTTAAGGAAGAAGCAGAGATGCTTAAGGGACTTCAGCATCCAAACATTGTCAGGTTAGCATCCAAATTTAGTTAGGTTAGCATTAAAAAATGTAAGATTTATCTCCTGTTTGTTTTGTAAATTTCCAATGCTTTAGATTGTATAAGGTGTTTATCTTTTGTCAAGGTCTCACATAAAATTTTCCGTCAATATTTAGGAGTCTCCTTGATTTTATATTTTCTCAAGTTCACAAAGATGCTGAAACTAAATTACATAAAACACGCTTCAATAAATTTGGTAGATTAAGCCAGTTGCTGGTTATGAAAAGCCTAGTGTCTGTCTGGCTAATAAGAAACTATTTCTTGGAAAACTTTTTACTTTTCTTATTGACAACTTGGTTTCTTTATAATAAACGACTTGGATTCATGATATTTCTATAAATAATTAATTTATTAACGAAATTACACTTTTTTTATGTTTCAAGGCCAACACACTTTCTCTCGGGGGAATTATATTGACAGGAAATCAGGCCCTTAATAATAATTGACAAATATTATTGTAATTGATAAACTTTGTTAAAGAATTGTTGTATATTATATATATGGAAGTGCTTTCAGATAGTTTGTTTTTTCCTCGTTTTTTGTAGAGATCTTTTTTTCCGGGTCAAAACTTGACATAACATAAGAAAATCAATTGTTTTCTAAAGGGGGGGGGGACAAAACGTATTGCTCTTGCGAAAATTTGAACAGCGTTAAAATATAACCTTGAATTGTCGTAGAACGCTGGTTTTTGCATGTGAACTCAAAATTATTTATTGTAACTGCAAATATCAGTTTTATAAAAATCGAGCAAAAATGCGCGCGCACGCGCTTTTTGGTGAAAAATGTTACTTTTTTGAACTTTTGCAATCTTGGTACCATAAAAGGAGCTTGAATGTCAAGATGCTTTCAATCTGCGAACATTTTGTATTTAAAATTTTAAAACTAACAGAAGTTAAATGCCAAAAACGACCCAAAAACGATCCAAAAACGATCCAAAAACGATGCTTAAATGAACGCGTGATCAGATCGTTTTTCCAATTTTTAGTTTTTAGGATGAAGTTATTGTAAAGTTTGAAAAAAGCAAACTTCAATATAATACAGTTTTTAAATCTTCGAAATTTGATTGTTTTTTTTTCTTCTAAAAACGAACCAAATCGATTAACATTTTACAACACACAGTGCTCTAAATCTACCCAAAAGGTCGACCTTGTGTGACTTAACAAATTTTTGTACCATGACTTCTATAATGGTTTAGTGGGTCAGAATCCGATTTTACCTAAATCTGAACTCATTAATTGACCTCAAAAATTCTTGAAATAAAAAATGTCCAAAAGTATGCAAGTTATGGATTTAATAAAAAAATCTTGTTTCTCCGACCACCCAAAACATGCTAAAAATTACTGGGATCATCGAAACACAATTTTACAATATGTCTAATAAAATTAAAGTTTTCCCCGATTTTTGTTAATTTATATGATAATCCATGGGGATTAATAATAATCGATGTGAGAGTAAAAGTTAAATTGGGGAGTAATTTAAATATTTCAAAATAAAATAAAAATGAAAGACATAAATAAGAAGGATGAATAGATAAAAGATAATGAGAACTGAGATAAATGATGAGTAAAGAATTATGATAATATAGATTTAGAGAGAGAACTAACTGTAAGTATAGAGATAAAAGTATTTAAATATATATTTTTTTCTCAATTATGCCTTCCTTCTTGTTTTTTAAATCGTAATCCCCACTTTTACTTTTTATTATTGTTATTCCGGATTCCCTTGATATTTTTCTTTATGTATATGTTTTCTGAACAATGAACTCATCTGTTAAAATCTCAGATTCCACCTAAAATTTCTTCTTATTTCTTCCTACTCAATACTCATTTCTATCCTATCTATCTATATTAGCTATGTTTATCTTTAATTTCTACTTGCAATCGTCAATTACTATTTTTCCTCCTTCATATTTCGTTAAATTTGGTTGTTACTTTCATATTTTGGCAATTTTCCAATAATTCACGTTTTGCTAAAATACAAATTCTGATTACAGAATAGATATTTATATTCGTTGATACCTCTTTTTACACTTACACAAAAAAAAACAATATTTAATGACCCTAAATATTTTCTGCATGTTTTTGGGGGCCATCGAAGAAAACTGTTTTGATTCATCACATTTTTAACATGATTTCGGGGCCTTTTTTGGGTCCCCCATGTGTGTTCAGATTTATGTAAAATCGGATTCTGACCCCCTAAACCATTATAGAAGTCATGGCAAAGAAATTTTTAAAGTCACACAAGGTCGACCTTTTGGGTCGATTTGGAGCACATTAAACAGTAGCTATATACTTTATAGTAATTAGGAAGATATTGTCTCTCTGAAAAGTATTCAATTTTTCTTATTTCCTAGATAGTTTAAATCCGTTCATATTCAAAGAGTAACCATAATTTAAAAAAATATATATGTTTCAGTTTGATTAATTTTATTACCTGATCAGAGAAAGGGTTTAAGATACCGTTGTTAACTAGACATCCCACTCTATAAATGGAGTTTCACATAAAATTACGTAGTAACTTTAACAGAAATAGAGGCTTATGTGTCAGTCATGTTCAATTTGAAAATTGTTGTCTTCGCTGCTGTTTAAAGGGACTGTAAGCGTAATTTCAAGGGTTCCCTTCATGCAATAATGGCAATCCTTGATTTACAACGGTACCCTTGAAGGCTTTGTCTGATCTAGTATATGAATTGAATATCAATGTTTTCTTTTTCGGTTTCTCTGCGAAAACGATTTGCGCAGGAAGCAATGGAGAAACTCAAAAAAATAAAAACTTTTCCAAGTCAGAAAAACGACGTTATCTTCCACATTGGCCAGATTATGTTTTCAAGGGTACCATTGTAAATCGGGCATTTCCATGCTTGCATGGAGGGTCTCTAGAAGTTGCTCTTACAATCTCTATAAAATCTAAGTAATCGCTGTTTTTCAGGTTCTATGATTACTGGGAGGTAACCAGGCAAAGCTGTAAGACCGGGAAACCACAGAAGTATATTGTCCTCGTCACGGAGCTAATGACCTCGGGAACCTTGAAAACATATCTCAAGAGGTTTAAAAAGATCAATCCTAGAGTTCTTAAATCCTGGTGTAGACAGATTCTAAAGGTAGTGTTAGCCCCCCCCCCCCCCCCCCCCCCCCCCAACACATCACACATTTTTTTAGGATCCCCAAAAAGCATGTGATTGATATGGTATAATTTAATTTAGCCTTGTTTAACCTAATATTATACGCGTTTTTTCTTCACTAGCGTTTTATTTTAGTGGTGCTTCTCTAGTATAATCTTTAATTCATGGTTTACTATTCCTCTATTCTTATTTTATGTTTCTTAATCGTTAAATAAGAAGACTTTAAACAGTCTAATCCTTTGTTTGTATGTAACCCTGTACCCTGTAGGGTTCAATGCTTTCAGATTCTAGGGGTTTCACAAAGTTTTTCTTTTGTTTGTAATTGTTTTATTTTATTTGGGGGGGGGGGCGGGAGTTTGTTCAAATATTGAAACTTTTGTTTGTATTGTTAATGTTAAACGCTTTTTCTCGATATACAATGTGGGCAATTATAAATTTGAGGATCAATGCTTGATCTCTTTATTTCAGGGTAGGTTTTTCACGGTATTTTGACAGGAATTTGATTTATCCATTGGTCTGCATCTGATGGAGATCAATGGTTGATCCATAGATTTACTAGACAAAAGTTTTGTTCATCAGTTTTTTAAAAAGTAATTGCAAGATGCTTCCATTTTATTCGCATTCTTGTATTAATGTTTTGTTTTCAGGGCTTGGTTTTTCTTCACACCCGTACACCGCCGGTCATTCATCGTGACCTCAAGTGTGATAATATCTTTATTACCGGACCCACCGGCAGCGTCAAGATTGGTGATCTTGGCCTCGCTACACTCAAGAACAAGTCCTTTGCCAAAAGTGTCATAGGTAGGAACGAAGATTTTGCCAAGAGTGTCAAATGTAGGAAAGTGGGTGCACATAGATTTATCCAAGAGTGTCATAGATAGGAACAATGATTTCGCCAAGAGTGTCATAAGTAGGAACAAAATTTTGCCAAGAGTGTCATAGATTGGAACAAAGATTTTGCCAAGATTGCTATAGATAGAAATATAGATTTTGTCATGAGTGTTATAGGTATGAACAAAGATGTAACAGGTGTACTTTATAAAAGATTGAGCTCAGTTAACCCTCGACCCAGGGTTACTAACCAAGGATGAGACTGTAATGACGACCTAAAACTCTTAAAATTCATTAGTTTGATGGTTTAAATTGGTCTTTTGTTAAAAAATAAATTATTTTAATGACATATCAGATAATTTTGCATAAAAATTAATAAGTTAATGGTTTTAATGAAACCAAAAATGTCAAAAAAGGCATGATAGATTTCGTACACTCGTATCCTTTCTGGGATAGCCCTGTATAGTCTATTCCAGGGGCTTACAGTTTATGCCCCCACAATATTCTCCCCCTCCTCCCTCCCTCACCACCCCTCCTCCCTTCCTCACCTCCCCTTTACCATTTTCCATCAAACAAAGGGTAGGAATAATTAAATAATCAAAATTTTGGAAATGTAAATTAATAGTTAACAATTTGAATAGGCTTCATCTTTAAAAGTGAAATAATTCAATTTTTTTTGATGAACTTGAAACATTAAAAAAAGTAATTTTAAACCGTTGGTGTCCGTGACAAGGTGTCAACTTACATTTGAAGCAAAGGATAGAATAATTTGATCAAAGTTACAAATGTAAATTATTATTTGACAGTTTGAACAATGTGCATTTATGTTTTAAGTTTAAAACAGTAAATACTTAACGAAAGTCTCCTTACAGAATGATTCAAATATGTTTTTTTGAGCTTTGGAACCTTTAACATAGTAACTATCTACTTTAAGTAATAGTTTGTAATTAAAATAATTAAACTGGTGGTGTATGTCGGTGACATGCGTGTCAACTTGCATTTGAAACAAAGTGTTAAAATTGTTCATAAAATTTATAAAAATGTAAATTATTTTTGACAATTTGAAGAAGGTTTTATTTTTAAAAGTGTAAGTTTTATTAACCTAATAATTAGAATTGTTTTTGCTGAACTTCTAAATATAAAAATAGTAATTTTAAACTGACTGGTGTGATGTCGTGACATGCGTCATTTAAGAGAAGTTGGTCCAATCCTGGTATTTAACTTAATCTTGATTCTAGACCAAGTTTTATTTTCAATTTAGTTTTATATTTATTCTGCTGCTGGTGTTATATGTTTGTTCTGTCTGAACCAGACTTGTTTTCTCATATTAGTTTTTTTACTCATTGTTCTAACAGCTTTCTTTGGTACATCTTAAATTATGCTGTCTGGGTCTAGCAATCTAATTAACATAAAATTGGTTTTTCCTTTCTTTTCTACGTTGCTCCTGTCTTTCTTGGACTCTCATTGGTCAAACAAAGAACGGATATCCAAAAAGAGAGAAAAAAGCGGATTAAGGAGGAAATTAAAAGTGTTCACATTGGATATTTGAATTAAGTAATTGGGTAGGTTTCAGTTCAGATCTCCTTCATATATTTCTGTTCTCCTACTACTTCTCATATTTCTCCGGGACCAAGTTTTTCTTTAACTTTTTAAACGAAAAATAACACTAGACTGACTCTACTGGAGGGTTTCGTGTTACGGAATTTAATTAAAGTAATTAGACTTTATTCCCCGGAAACTAAAGCCATCCTCACGGGATTTAGTGAAAAATTACTTTGATTGATTAATAATTCAGTAATTTTTCGGTATCATCCTGTAAGCTTAAATTTCACTTACAGTAAGAAACACAATTTATTTGATATTTTTCGGATGTTTCATAGCCATGCTCTTTTATTAAAGATTAACAGCCGTCAGCCCTGGAAAAGAATTACTGCAAAAACTTTTCTGCAATAATCCGCATCAAAGAGATTCTGCAATCTGCATAAACAAACCCTGCAGAAAGTTTCCTGAGTAAGCGAGAATGAAAATTAAGTCTACATTTAATTCATTTTTGACAATTTCTCAATTAAAAAATGTAAAATAGGACTTAATCTCTAAACTCATTTAAAACTCCATCATACCCCCCCCCCAAAAAAAAAAAATAACAATTTGCTGAGATCGAAAATTCAGTATTAAAAAGGAATTAATTGCAGAATGGGCAAAAATAGAATTGAAGGAAGGAGAGAGATGAGTTTTAGCAAATTTGAGAGTAGGTTCCTGTAAAGTTTTTTTTCGGCAGCCTCCATCTTACTTTCCCTAACCTGACCTTGAATAATATAATCATCCGAAGTTGCAAAAAATGTTGGGGGTTCCAGAATAACTGAGTGTAATATGGTTTACGTACCCCTGAGTATATTATTGTTTAGGTACCCCTGAGTATATTATTGTTTAAGTACCCCTGAGTATATTATTGTTTAGGTACCCCTTAGTATATTATTGTCTTGGTACCCCTGAGTTTAATATTGTTTAGGTACCCCTGAGTATATTATTGTTTAGATATCCCTGAGTAAATTATTGTTTAGGTACCCCTGGGTATATTATTGTTTAGGTATCCCTGAGTATATTATGGTTTAGGTACCCCTGAGTATATTATTGTTTAGGTACCCCTGAGTATATTATTGTTTATGTACCCCTGAGTATATAATTGTTTAGGTACCCCTGGGTATATTATTGTTTAGATATCCCTGGGTGTATTATTGTTTAGGTATCCCTGGGTATATTATTGTTTAGGTATCCCTGAGAATATAATTGTTTAGGTACCCCTGAATATATTATTGTTTAGGTACCCCTTAGTATATTATTGTTTAGGAACCCCTGAGTTTATGGCCCCTGAGATGTATGAGGAGCACTATGATGAAGCTGTAGATGTGTACGCGTACGGATTATGTATGCTAGAAATGGCAACATCTGAATACCCGTACAGTGAGTGTACGGGTCCTGCACAGATTTACAAGAAAGTTGTCAATGTAAGTAGATTTTTTGTATTCATTGTAATAAAATGATTTTTATGGTGATTAACGCCGTACAGGTTACCATCGGACAGGACCTCATCAAACTTTTGAAGGCTTAAATCCTTTGATAAATGAAAGTATTAAGCCTCATTATAGCTCGATGGATCCTTTTAGTACTATTTAAAGGGTTTAAGCGTTTCAAGTTAAAAAAAAATTTATCTATGAATTGCATTTTATTAGTTTAGCGCTTCATTTTTACAGAAAATATCTTGAATAAATGCTTATGAACAAAACAGTTCCTATTTTTATGAATCTTTATTCATTAATTTTCAGTGAACTTCGTTAAAATATACCTAGAATCTTATGAAAAGGGTGCAAAGTTTCATTCATTCTTTGCTTCCAATTAGAGCATTATCATCTCAATCTTAAAATATCAATTTCATTTTACATTTATTTAAATTCTTAATTCAATTATTTAATAATTCAATTATGGAACTGAATTGTTTAATCTTTTTTTTGTTTCAGGGGATGAAACTGAATTGTTTAATCTGTTTTTGTTTAAGGGAGTGAAACTGAATTGTTTTATCTGTTTTTGTTTAAGGGAGTGAAACTGAATTGTTTAATCTGTTTTTGTTTAAGGGAGTGAAACTGAATTGTTTAATCTGTTTTTGTTTAAGGGGGTGAAACTGAATTGGTTTATCTGTTTTTGTTTAAGGGGGTGAAACTGAATTGTTTAATCTGTTTTTGTTTTGAAACTGAATTGGTTTATCTGTTTTTGTTTAAGGGGGTGAAACTGAATTGTTTAATCTGTTTTTGTTTAAGGGGGTGAAACTGAATTGTTTAATCTGTTTTTGTTTCAGGGGGTGAAACTGAATTGTTTTATCTATTTTTGTTTAAGGGGTGAAACCGAATTGGTTAATCTGTTTTTTTTTTTAAGGGGATGAAACTGAATTGTTTAATCTGATTTTGTTTAAGGGGATGAAACTGAATTGTTCAATCTGTTTTTGTTTAAGGGGTGAAACCGAATTGTTTTATCTGTTTTTGTTTAAGGGGGTGAAATTGAATTGTTTTATCTGTTTTTGTTTAAGGGGGTGAAACTGAATTGTTTTATCTGTTTTTGTTTCAGGGGGTGAAACTGAATTGTTTTATCTGTTTTTGTTTCAGGGGGTGAAACTGAATTGTTTTATCTGTTTTTGTTTCAGGGAGTGAAACTGAATTGTTTTATCTGTTTTTGTTTAAGGGGGTGAAACTGAAATGTTTAATCTGTTTTTGTTCCAGGGAGTGAAAGAATAGCTCTTTTTTAATACACTCCATACTACACCCCTTTGTGCATAGGGAAACTACGAAGAAACTACTAGAGGTGGTTAAACTACGAAGACGTAGTTCAACCACCTCTCTTTTGTGCCGGGTAAAGCTGAAGAGAAGTGTTTTAATTTCGTCTACGTAGTTAAACTACTTCGATATTCTTCAAACTTGGTCCTGGGTCAGTTTGTTAATCAATTAAAACATATAATTCGGCTAGAATGGCGGAAAAAAGTCCATAAAACAACAATTTTTTGTTTGTCACAAACTTTAGATGCATTAATCCGCAACGCCAATCTCGATATCGTTACTGGAAACTTTTATTTAAAGCAATTAACTACTCAATCCATGAGGAACGGTTAACTCAACTTTTTTTGATCTTCCATCGGCCGAGAGAACTTGATGGTTTTTGATTCAACGTATATCTAAAAGAATTCAACTTAATCCGTTTGACTAAAAAAGTGCGAAGGGATAAAAAGTTACGACCTCCTAGTTCTGAAATCATACTGACAAACCTGATGAATATATTTGTAGGCCGAGCATAAAGGATTTACTGGCATTTGATTTCTTTGCCGAGGATACCGGGTTCAAGGTGGAACTGGCGCAGAGAGAGGAGTTGGTTAAATCCGACAAGAACACTGTTAATTTCAGACTTAGGTAAACATTTCATCAAAACAATAAAAATGGCGGATTAGAAACGAACAATGTTAATGGTACAAAAAGGTTTCAATTGTACTCTTGTGAATCGGTCTTTGCCATCCTTGAATGAAGGGTCAAATGAATTTACGCTTACAGTCCCTTTAACAATTAAAATGGCTGTTCAAAAGTCAGGACGGATTAGAAACTAGATTAAAAATACAAACAATTGCACAGAAAATGAATTGACGTACACTTTGTAATGAAAAATATTTTTATGAGAAAATTACAGAGATAGCTTTGTATTCCAGAGATAGATTTGTATTCCAGAGATAGCTTTGTATTCCAGAGATAGATTTGTATTCCAGAGATAGATTTGTATTCCAGAGATAGATTTGTATTCCAGAGATAGATTTGTATTTCAGGAATAGATTTGTATTTCAGGAATAGATTTGTACTCCAGAGTTAGATTGGTATTTCAGGAATATATTGGTATTTCAGGAATAGATTGGTATTTCAGGAATAGATTGGTATTTCAGGAATAGATTGGTATTTCAGGAATAGATTGGTATTCCAGAGATAGATTTGTACTCCAGAGATAGATTTGTACTCGAGAGATGGATTTGTATTCCTAAGATAGATTTGTTTTCCAGGGAAAGATTTTTATTCTAAAATTAGATTTGTATTTCAGGAATAGATTTGTATTCTAGAGATAGATTTGTACTCCAGAGATAGATTGGTATTTCAGGAATAGATTGATATTTCAGGAATAGGTTTGTATTCCAGAGATAGATTTGTACTCCAGAGATAGATTTGTATTCTAGAAATAAATTTGTATTCTAAAGATAGATTTGTTTTCTAGGGAAAGATTTGTATTCTAAAATTAGATTTGTATTCCAGAAATAGATTATTCTGAACATAAATTTGTATTTTGACGATAGATTTGTTTTCTTAAAATAGATTTGTATTCTAAAGATAGATTTGTTTTCTAAAGATAGATTTGTAGTCGAGAGTTTTATTCTTATTTTTGTTTCAATTACCCAGTTCAGATTTACTGCATTCTTTATCGGTTTCCTTTAAGCGTTTAGAAATCCAGATATATATATAATCTTGAGAAATCTTTTCTTCAAAACAGCATTTTTTAGGAAATATTTTTATCTTTCTCTTTGTCAATTCACAATGAGAGTATGAAAAATTAATCCTTTTTCGCAGTCATATTGTATATTCATTTTGCTGGATAGCAAACATAAAAACATCACTGAAACTTGAAATTTAACTGGAAAACGTTTAGGATAAGTAAAAAATTGAATATCCACCATAGACACATTTTTATCATGATATTGGGGAAAAAATTAACTAAATCTTTTTTTCCAGGGTCACAGACCACAAGAAGCAAAGGAAAGATAAACCCGCGCATAAAGAGAACGAAGCAATCGAGTTCGAGTTCAATATTGGTGTGGACGATTGTGCCGAGATCGCGATGAACATGTACAAGACAGGGATGCTCCTCACTGAGGATGACGCAAAGAAGGTGGCGCACATCATGGAGACCCAGATTACAGGGCTAAACAAGGAGAGGGAGGCGGCTAAACTAGAACGGGCCTTGGAACAGGTTTTTTTCTTTCACATTTATTGTTAGATTTGAAGCATTTATGGGCGATGTTTTATTAGTCAAATCCCCAAATGAGAGATGGGTTAAACTTAACCAATCTCTCATTGATTAATAGTAAAATCGTCAAATTTTCGTCAAAAACGCGAAGAGGGAATGAATTTAAGTCACATAAATCGATTTCATTTGTCAATTGTTTTGTTCAAGAATCGTGTTATTTTTCATATTTTTTAAATTGAAATATTTTGTTAGGAAAACCAGGCCGCAGAAAACAGTAAGGCAGAATTGAACTTGGAGGCTGATCAGAATCCTGATAACCTCGAGGATAGGGAGGAGCAGGGGTTAAGGGAGGACGAGGGTATATTGGACGACTCTCAGAAGCTTGATCAGGAGCAGGGGGGAAAAGATTCATCTCCTCCGTATGAACCCAAGGCAAATACATGTTCAACCTGAAAATCAGCATGATGTTGTTGAACTCGAGTTCAAACGATGTATACATATATATATTTATATATAGTTGTTTATGTCCCTTGGGAAATCTTAATTTTGTACAATATTTAATTCTGTGTGCAATGTACATACTTAGTGCAATACTACTCACAGTACAATAGTTTAAAATTAGACAGATTTGCACATCCTACTTAAACTATGTTTAAGGTTTAGTTCAACAAGAAAAGTAATATTTTCCTAAAAACTTTATCAAAAGTATTTTTTTTAATCTAAGAAAAGGGGTGTAGGGTGTCAAGGACGGGATTGTTTGTGTTGTACATGATAAATCATTCTAGGCTAGTGTACAGACTAGAGGGGAAATACTACCCCGGGAGATTAAGGTAGAGTGTGCAGAACCTTTATGGGATACTTTTTAGACATTTTTTAGACATCTCAAAAACATTTTTTTAACATTCGGCATTGACTTCATTTTTTTTGTTGAGATTTCAGAACTAATTTCTGTTCCTAGTCCAAGAGTTTATATTGGGGAGATTGAACTTATGCTTAGTTTAAACACAACTTAAATGGAGTAAACCTTTACTTAAGTTTAATAAACTTAGCTTATATTCATTCATAACATATCAACTCTTAGTCTCAGGGGTGTACATTATTTAATGAGCTATTTTTTCATTGCTTGAATATTAATGATTGATTATAAAAGAAAAAAATGAGGAAAAATAAAATAAGATTTGTTGACTTAAAGAAAATAAAATTTGTTGCTTTTATAAACGCTTTTAGTTTTTCATTTGTTCCTAGATAATATACACCCCTTGGTTTGCATGTCAAAAATTTTTCAAAATAATTTGTCCTTGTTTTTTTGGGGGGGAATTTTTTCCTTGTAATTCAATAGAATAATGTATTTGTGTGTGATTAGGGAAGTGAAGTGTCCGGGTCCCAGGTGTACCAGGAGGGAGGCAACCAGGGATACCAGGCAGGGGGGGAGGGACCCCCTCCTCAACTTTATCAACCAGACTTTCAGAGAGAGCTTGTAAAGAAACTACAGAAGCAAGCTAGTGTAGATCAGAAGGTAACTCTGGTTCCAGCACTGCTAAATCCTGAGGAGCAGTATCAGCAACAGCAACAACAATTACAACAACAACAACAGTTGCAGCAGATACAACAGCAGATCAACCAACATCATTTGAGTCAATCGACTCAGAGTTTAAATCAGCTGCAGCCAGCTCAACCGCAGTTAAGTCTGTCAACTCAAAACTTATCTCAACTCCAACCAAACCAGCAGCAGCCATTGAGTCAATCCACACAAAATCTTTCACAACTGCCATCTTCTCAACAGCAGCAACTAGCTCAACAACAACTGGCTCAGCACCAGCAGCATTTGGCTCAACAGCAACAGTTAGCCTACCAACAGCAACTAGCTCAACAGCAGCAGCTAGCTGAGCAACAACAACAGCAGCTTGCACATCAGCAGCAAATGGCTTATGAACAACAGTTGGCCCAACAGCAACAGTTAGCACAGCAACAACAGATTGCTCAGCAGCAACATATCGCCCAACAGCAACAATTGATTCTGAGTAAACAGCAGTCCCAACAGCATATATCTGTGCCAGGAACTCAAATAAACCCTGAGCAGATTCAGCAAACTGTGCTAACTCATCCTCAGGTTATTCAGCAGTCTGTTCCTCAACATGAACAGCAGATACAGCAACAACATGCTTCACAATACCAGATTCAACAACAACATGCATCTGAACAGTTGGTATCTCAACATCAAATTCAACAACAGCTTTCCAATGAACAGTTTGTTCAACAGCAGCAGATTCAGCAACAACTTGTTCAAGAACAGCTAGTTCAGCAACAGCTCTCCCACGATCAGGCTGTTCAACAACAGCAGATTCAGCAACAACTTGTTCAAGAACAGCTAGTTCAGAAACAGCTCTCCCACGAACAGGCTGTTCAACAACAGCAGATTCATCAACAACTTGTTCAAGAACAGCTAGTTCAGCAACAGCTGTCCCACGAGCAGGCTGTTCATAAACAGCAGGTTCACCAACAGTTGGCCCAAGAACAGCAGATTCAACAACAGATTTCCCAAGAACAGCTGAGTCTACAGCAACAAATTTCTAACAATGCACAGATAGTTACTGGAGATGATGGAAACCTGTATTATGCTGGTTCTACGCAAAATGATTCTCAACTCTCTAATCAACAACACAGCTTTCAAATAACCCAGGCAGGTCAACCCTTTCCAATCCAGGCACAATATACAGTTGCTGGGTATCCGCAGGGAGATGTATCCAGGTACCCCCAGCACCAGGGGGAGGATGGAGGGGTTCGTCAATACCAACCTGATCTTCCTTTGCAGGACGAGATTCTTCAACAAGCTCATATTCAGCAGTATTCTCACGTGAATTCTTCCGATTCAGTTCCAATTAACCAATCAACATTTGCCGGTGATAAAATCGCCGCAGTTGATATGAGTAGATCCCAGGAGTTTTATCCTTCGGTTGATAATAATACTGTCATTCATCATCAACCAGGAGTAGACTCCAACGGAATCTTCATACCGGGAGGAACTGATCCTATAAATAAAATAGGATCCGAGGTTTCTACTTCGGATCATCTTCCTAAAAGGAAGATCAGTGATATAAACTCAGGGGGTCTTGTTCCCGGAGAAACCAATCCTCGTCCAGGGTTAACATCACAAGTAAGTTGTGTAACCGACCTGGATATGTTAAATCAATCCAACAATATAAGATTAGAAATAGCTAACATATTACACAGTCAACCCGCGGTCCCGCCGACCGTTAACACCGGGGAACTGTGTATGCACGCCAGCACCGCTCCGGTGCTTTTTTACAATCCTGAATCTCAAACCTTTAATAGTCAGTATCGTCGTGGTTCGTTACCTGTAGTTCAACAAAATCCTTTTGTTTTTCTCTCTAGACCTAAAATTCAGTCTGTGGACGAAGGTTTGGATAATTTGATATTGACCCAATATTCCAATATAAATACTAAAATTCCTTTTCCTGATCAAACAACCCGGAGACGGTCTGCCGACCCGTCCGAGATCTATAGATCTCGTCAAACCCTGAGACTGGGTTCGGCTAGATCTGGCTCCGCCAGTCCATCTCGAGACGGAGACGACCTTTTGGCCTACCTGGAGCGTAGACGTTCCAGTAGTGGAAGTGTTGCGCTCTCTCCCGTCCTGGAGTCTCTAGGCTCCAACATGTCCCAGGAACAGCTAAGGATCATGTCAACTATCCGGGAGATGGGGAGTCAGTCCAGTCTCAAGGTGCCGTAAAACAATCTCAAGCATGAGATAAATCTATGGGAGATTCAGCATCTTGTCTCGATCGTTTTTCCAGGGTTCTCGTTGCCTTCTACGATCAGTCTTTAACCTTGGGCTTAGGTTTCTATTTCTCCGGATGTTCGCTAACATACAGGCTGCTTTTCCTTCTTCTATCCTTCTACTTTAATTAGTCTAAATGGTTCTGTCAGCTTTTGCATTACTATTAAACTCTAGCATGAATTAATTGCTGTTAAGTTTAAAATAATATAATATTTAGTACTTTTAAAATCCATTCTATTCTTCAACTTTAGTCTGAAATTAATGGTTTATAAAGGAATTCTAGTTTTCTTTTCTTATTTCTACTGTGAACAGACGAATTAATTAACTAGTAGTGAAACACCTTTTTAAAATGTTTTTTTTCTTTGTTAAATGTTTTTGCTCGCTGCTAAAAAATTTCATCAAATCCTCTTACTTTTAAGATTTTGCGGTTAGATATTTCAAATTAAACTCGGTAAAATAATTTAATATTTTCTATTGGCAATATTTTAAATGCTCAGAGCTGAAAACTTTAGAATGGTGGATATTGAGATTAATGATTAATCCTCTCTTTTTCTTAATATCGAGACTAACCTAATCTTGTACTTGTATCCTGAAAGTGTATACAATTCAACCAATCAGAGTCGCATATATGAAGCCGATAAATTTGAAATTTTGTGCGCCATTTAAGATTATATACAGAAACGGGAGGAACTTGTTAAAATAAAAAAAATGTTTTTTATTTTTCTCTATTAAAGAACGGTTTCAGAAGAAAATCAAAAGTGTGTTCATTAGATACTCAGATTAAGTAATCGGGATTAAGGATACATCATTCTAAAGTTTTCAACTCAGGTTTCTTTCCTATCACATTCGCATGTTTCTAGATTTTATCAATATTACTTATATGGATACAAAATCATGGTATTATTATGAACTAACTTATTTGATTTATTACGAGTGCATGTTTGCATGTTTTAAGCTGAATATATTGCTATCTAAGCATGCACTTCTGATGGCTAAAAAAAGCACGCGAAATGATTGAGTAGGGTAAAATTGCGCATGCATTTAAAGTATTATTTATTTCCTAGTTTATTTTTAAAGTTTGCTGTTTGCTATCTTGTTTATAATATTTATCAAACTAGTTGCTAAGATTCTAGAAAAAAAAAATAAACTACGAAATGAAACTTATGATTTATCGGCGAATAACATTTTGTTTTTAGTCCGTGGACTCGGCAATCTCTTCTGTAGATCCTGCAATAAAAGATATCGTCAAAGAATCAAGTGAAATGTAAGTTTTTTTCCACTAAAACCTATTCGTTGAATAAGACAGTTCTTAAATTTCATCCAAAATTTATTTCTTACTTATTTTCTTCCAAAATCATTTCGTTGAATTATAGGTTTTTTATTTATATTTTATCTAAATCTAAATTCTTTTATTTGATTTCATTTTATTAATATTTTATTAAAATATTTTTAAGCGGGAAGGAGAATTTTTAAAGACTTTGTTCTCTTGAACGCTATGCGTTTATTAATAATTGTTGTTTGACGTATATTTTATATTGTATCTAAATCCTCATTCTTACTTTTGATATTTCACTGATTTTTGTTTTCCTAGAAAAAAATTTAAAAAATCTTTCAATCTGATCATATTGGTGACTGTTTGATTTATTTATTTATTTATTTTTTTATTATGCAGTTCAATAAAATTTGTTTTCTCGAGGCAGGAAACCTTAAATGTTTAAAACTTAAGTTTAAAATTTTGTTCATTTCTCTGCACTGTCAACCCATTAACCTTAGCAACCGGATTAAATGTGATAATTTATTTCATTCCATTGTAGAAAATACTTCTTTTTATCATCCATAAAAACTAGTATAAATTCTACCAATTCTTTCTTTAAAAAGAATGGAGTTTTCCATACTTTGAAAACGGTGCTTCATTTTGATTTCAAATATTTTGATTCTGTTTTTACACCTTCATGTGGAACATTTTAGGAGTGGAGGGTATACTGATAGCGATACCGGAGCAGCCGACCCGGACGGTAAATCTGGCAAGAAGAGAGTTAAAAGAGAACGGAAGAAAACTGCTGCAAATCTTGGACCACGAATCAAGGTTCTACGGATTAGTCCTATTGAGGCTGGCGTAGAGGCGGAGGAAGGAGAAACCGAGGCTAAAGTTACTGAACCCGGCAAGGCAGATGTGAAGGTAATTCTTGTTAAACGTTAAGAGGCAATTTATTTCTTTTAAAACTGGGGTTCTTTCTCATTTCTTCGAGAAAATGTTCCTAAATGAGGTTTAATGAGTAAACACAACTTGCTGTTTCAAGCAGTAAATTGTGGAAACTTATATTAGGTTATATTGTCTGAACCCATGTTTTAGAATTTTATATTAGGTTGAATTATCTGAACCTTTAGAATTTTATATTAGGTTGAATTATCTGAACCAATGTTTTAGAATTTTATATTAGGTTGAATTGTCTGAACCCATGTTTTAGAATTTTATATTAGGTTGAATTGTCTGAACCATGTTTTAGAATTTTATATTAGGTTGAATTGTCTGAACCATGTTTTAGAATTTTATATTAGGTTGAATTGTCTGAAACCATGTTTTAGAATTTTATATTAGGTTGAATTGTCTGAAACCATGTTTTAGAATTTTATATAAGGTTATATTGTCTGAAACCATGTTTTAGAATTTTATATTAGGTTGAATTGTCTGAACCCATGTTTAGAATTTTATATTTGGTTATATTGTATGAACCCATGTTTTAGAATTTTATATTTGGTTGAATTGTCTGAAACTATGTTTTAGAATTTTATATTTGGTTGAATTGTCTGAAACCATGTTTTAGAATTTTTATATTAGGTTGAATGCCAGATGGAAACTTCGAAGCAGAAAACCGTCACGTTCGAGTTCTCCACCACCGACATAGTGCCGGAGGAGATGGCGAATACGTTTATCCGGGAAGATCTGCTGGCGGAGCAGCATAGGAGGATTCTCGTCGAACAGCTGATTGACATTGTCAAGCAGTTAAATGAGAACCCTGAACGGCTTCCTGTTGCCTCATTTCCAACGGAGGAATGTTTCTCTCCTACCAGAGAAAAACGGGAACAGTCCGCTGAATCTGTTTGCAGGGTAAGCTCTTGATTTATCTTTATTTAAAGATTTTTTTGCAAGAGCCACCTAGTGGCCAAATAATAGTCCTCCAAAAGTATATCATATATATAAAAATAAAAGAAGATTAGGATATGTAAAATATTTTAAAACGACCTGCCTTTTTCCTCATTATATACGCCATTGATAGAAATTAAATTGGTAGTGATCAAATCCGAAGTGTAGGGTTATCCCCATTTATGTTTCGCGAACACTTCCTTTTATTTCAAATTTTGATATTTATACTTTTCCATATAGAATAAATATACTTCAGAAACAGCAATTTATGAATTTGAAAATTATTGCAGGGAGAACCGAAGTTGGATGATTCCCCCCCTCAGCCTGGAGAAGGGAAAGAGCTCTCTCCTCAGGGCACTGTAACCTCCAACAGCTCAGGGTCTGGAAACTCCCAGGGGAACACCCTCTCCGCCCCCAACAGTCCGGCCAAGAAGGTTGAGAAGGAGGATCAAAAAGAAGAGAAGGAGCAGAAAAGTCGGTTTTCAAGATTTAATATTACTCCGGTAGCGGAGACCAAATCTGCAAACACGAGCTCCGAGATATCCCACTGCTCCTCTCCCAATAAACCGGATACCACGCCCACATGTGGAGATCCACCCTCACTCCTTGCTCCTTCGGATCCGCCGGGCACTAAAGTTACTCTAGATCAAACGATGGAGACTGTCAGAAAAATTGAGTAAGTTTATCTCCATTTTTCTTTTACTATGAAAAGAATGAAAAAGTATTTCAAGCAATTTTTGCACTAAATTTTCACGAAGAAGAAAGATGGCTCGTAAATCTTAGTAAAAAATATGACCCTGGGACCTGCAAGCAATAGTGGCAATGCTTAATTCACAATGGAACCCTTGAAACCTTTATCTGATCAATAATGCGCAAGATATTGTCGTTTTTCTATTTTGAAAGTGTTAAATTCTAATAATGATCCTAAATGTTTTTCTCCAGAAGAAATGCGCAAGTCACTTTTGTAAAGAATCCACATAAGAAAAAGATCGGCTTTAAAAATTATTAACCGTGATATCTAATTCATACTAGATCAGACAAAGTGTACCGTTGTGAATCAGGCATTGGCATCTTTGGGTCAATCGTTTTAGTGGAATAGTGGTTAAACCCCTAAAACTCGAATCCAACCAGTTGGTCATGTGATTATTTCCATAGACCCAATGAACACATAATATATATTTACTTAATATATGATGTTAGGTACTTTCCCAAAGGCATTTTCCCAAGGGCGACTTCCCAAGTGACAATTTCCCAAGTATCAACTTCCCAAATGTGCAATTTCCCAAGTGGCAACTTCCCAAAGGTTAGGTCAGGCCCTCTGAGGCGCGCAGGCTGCAATGGGGGCCAAGCGCTGCGGCCTGGATGGGCAGAGGGCCGAGTGCCGCAGCTATAAAAGGAAGTGGGCCGAAAGCTGTGGCTAGGGCAGACTTGGGAAGTTGCCGCTTGGGAAATTGAACATTTGGGAAGTTGTCACTTGGCTAAATACCCTTAGGAAGTTGCCACTTGGGGAAAATCATTTGGGAAAGTACCTTACATCATATATTAAGTAATAAACCACGAAACATAAAAAAGACGCACATTTTGTTCACATTTAATTGCTATACAATTACAATCTGCTCATGTTATCTATATCGAGGGTTAGGTTAGGTTGTGATAAAATCTTGACCGAAGGCTGCGGCTAGGATTGGCTTGAGGGCCAAGCGCTGCGGCTATTAAACCCTTAGTTGTTAAAGTTTGCTAAAATTTCAGAACTCTCAAGATCATTACTTCAGGATTAGACTTTATTTACCCTATTACAATGTTACCATATGATGTATATAGGAGGGTAAGGTTTCTACTTCAGGAGTGGTCGAGGTTTCGTGAAAATCGCCCTAGGTTTCGGGCCAAAATTTGAGTTAAGTCCTTACCGCTACCCCTACGGTCAGAAATTACCTACACCCTCTTAGTTCAGTCACGGCACGTGGGGGCGCACAGTCACGTCTAGGTCAGGAGCAGGGAGATCGACATGGAAAGGGCCCACCTGTTACCGCACAAGTAACAGGAACAGGTGTGCTTCCGGATTGGTCCTCTGGGGGTTTGAGAAGAACGAGAGAGACGAGGATCAAACATGTAATATGAAGAATGCACGGAAAGGCCTTAGGGTCTTCTGGACATCAGTAATCTGGAAAAAGACCCCACCGGAGGATTCTAGAGGAGCAACACTGCAGCCATGAACAGAGCCTAGATATAGGTTGTGTGAGTGGCTTGGCGCTTTAATTACACTTACAGTACCTTTAAGATAAAATATATATTGGTTTATACTAAACCCCTGTGCTTTAAATATCAACTTGGTTTTGTCTAGGCCCTTGGATAACTCCCTTGAGAGTGTGAAGATGAAGCTGGAGCTGCTGAGGATGGGAAGTGTGGAGGATATTGGGAGGATGGATCTGGTTGAGGATAAACCCCCCAGGGAGGAGAAGAATAAGGAGGACAGGGAGAATAAACAATCTCAGATGAGCCTCTCATTAAAGGTAGATTTCACACTCCTGTTATTAGACATACAGAACATTTTACATGCTTAAACATTTTCAGAAAAGTTTTTTAAAGAATGATGAAATTCGAAATTTGCACAAAATAAATAAACCATTTAAATCGAATTATATTCCCTTGTAGGACGTCCTTAAAGTCTGATTTGATTTCGCAACAGCAAATTAATTATGTTTATTGTTATTCAAGGATTCTGTTGTCGTGGATTCAACAGGAACCCCTCTACCCTCTCCTGGAGTTCTTCCCTCACCAACCTCCCATCCTCTACTGCTGGCAGGACAAGCAGTTCAGGCGGTGACCAAGGAAACTAGAGACACGGAGACACATCACACCCTTGACAGGTAAGTGCAGAGATACATCAAGGCAAATATTGTTGGGATGCTGCATAGTGCATACGAATCAGAATAATTGATGCAGAATATACAATAAATTAATTATTAAAGTTGGAGGATTCCAATTAAGATATTTTCTAACTTATCAATAGTTAGTTAATTTTCTAACCAAACAATTTTGAAATTTAAAACAACATTTTTATTTCTTTATCATGCAGTCAACTGAAATTTGTCTTTATTAATAGAAGATATGCTTTCATTTAACTTGGTTTGTTATTGGTTGCTAGGTTAATATTGTTTCTGTATTCCCTATAATGAAAGTTTGCTGCAGGTCTGGAATGAAGAATTTGGAATCCAACTTGGAGAAGATATTGCAACCTGATTACAGTTCACAGAACCAATCCTTGCAGGAGGATACAACCCTTACAGGGATAACTCCGATAGATGGAAGTGAACAGGGTATTCCTGTATCAAGCTCGGAACCCAACCCGGATCATAACACAAAGACCAAAGACGATTATATCGGTAACAATCTCCAGGTGGGTTCGGAGAATGGAAAATCTATCGAGGAACTTATCGGAGAACCTGGGGGACAGTCAACTCCCGTCCCGTCTCCGGATAGACCGAAGGTATCGGAGGTTGACTCTGGTGTGAAGGTTGACACGAAGCCAACCAAGATGTCGAGGTTCGACGTGAAGAAAGTGAGCGAGGAGAAAGAAGTTTCTGATCCTGAGGTACATCACACACTTCCACCCATCTCAGGTATATAAGGGTTCGAACTAAATGATTCATAATATTCCGTTTTTTACTCAGGAAATTAACAAAGTTTGGGAATTTACCACAATCATTTCAATTATTAAATTTAATAATGTAAACCTGGCTTCTCATAACTGAAATGCACATTCTTCGAGTTTTTATGTTCGATTTTATAGAACATTGCTCAGTTAGAAACTCTTTTTTTTATTATATTAAGGAATATAAATTGTTTCAGGAAATGATCTGGAAAATTTAAAATTCGACAAGGCTAGATCCAGGAGTATATCTACAGAGGCCTGGAGACTTAGTGCAGAGGAGGAACACTACGATTCATCTCCTTCTCCGGGTTCATGCTACGATACTGCTAGTGAGTCTATACCTTACGGTACTGAATGTCTCCCAGGAGTAGTGGAGGAGAACTTGGCCAGACAAGGTTTACTCCCAGAGGGTTTTGTTAGATCCGGAGAAAGGTCAGATTTCCAGCCTGTGTACTCGACAGCTAACATGGACCCACATGATCTGAACCTATCCTCTATATCCTCTTCTACCGTGTATAGTAATCAGGGCAATCAGGGATTCATCCAGCCAGGGTTTAGCTCAATATCTTCTCTAGGTTTCCAGCAGGTTCAACCACAACCTATATTTACCACCTTAGCTCAGCAACAGCATCAGCTCCAACAGCAGCAGATACATCAACAGCAGATACAACAGCAGCAGCAGATCCAACACCAGTTAATGCAACAACTTCAGAATCCATCTTCTAATTCCGGATTTATGCCTCCAAACCAAATTAATCCTGAGGTAGGTTTTCTTATTACTTCCCCCCTCCTCCACCAACTTGAATTTCCTGTTGAAAATTCAAAATATTTTAAAACGTCTTTATTTTTATGACCCAATTAAACAATGTTTCGGGTTCAGAAATTTTTCATAACATACGAAAAGAGTGGATAGAACAAGACTAAACACCCAATTTTTAGATGCAGTGAACATTTTGACAAAAATTGTTATAGAAACAAATATAGCAAAATACTCAGAGTCAGAAATGATCCAGTTCCCTCTATATTTAAAATGGGTTGTGTGAATATTGTAGGCTTCACTTTCAAACAATAATGTCTTAAAACACTGATCTACGAATTATGATCCCCCCAGGTAGAATTTCTGATCGGGTCATTGTGTACAGTGGCTGTACAACAAGAAGTCTAAAATTCCAGATGCCCCCTCTATTACTAATATCTCGATGCTCCATAACCAAAGGTCTGTTCAGTCTATAATTACTACAATTAAAGGTCTCTGTAGTCTATAATTACTACAATTAAAGGGACCGTTCACTTTTTTGGGTAATTTCAGGGTAAACTAAACAGCCTAAGCGCTATTCATCGGTAATAGTCTTACTTTTCAAAGACAACTGTGGCCGGAGAAAAAGCCGATTTTTCGTTCAGAATTTGAGCGAAAAGGAACGGTTCCTTTCTATACACACTATTTGATGTTTTTTTCAGTAACAACAGTCCAATAAAATTTAAATTTATCATATTTTAATGTCATTATGTGTTCGTTGTTACATACTAAAATATGAAAACTTTTGACATTTGAGTTAGCAAGAAATTTACGTTTTTCGCTTTAAAACACATAAACTGTGTATACAAAGACGACGTCCTCTACGGCAATCAATTAATCATTACCCGTATTACAGTTCGTAATTGATTCACAACATACTGAAAAAAACATCAAATAGTGTGTATAGAAAGGAACCGTTCCTTTGCGCTCAAATTCTGAACGAAAAATCGGCTTTTTCTCCGGCCACAGTTGTCTTTGAAAAGTAAGACTATTACCGATGAATAGCGCTTAGGCTGTTTAGTTTACCCTGAAATTACCCAAAAAAGTGAACGGTCCCTTTAAAGGTCTCTTTAGTTTATAATTACCCAATTAAAGGTCTATTTAGTCTATAATTACTCAAATTAAAGGTCTTTTAAGTCTATAATTACTGAAATTAAAGGTCTTTTAAGTCTATAATCACCCAATTAAAGGTCTGTTTACTCAATTACTCAAATTCAAGGTCTTTTAAGTCTATAATTACCAAATTAAAGGTCTGTTTAGTCTATAATTACTCAAATTAAAGGTCTTTTAAGTCTATAATTACTCAAATTAACGGGACATTCGTTCCCAAACTAACACTTGGCCCATTTCTAACACTGAGTGTTAGATATGGGCACAAATTGAAAGACTGGGTTTTTAGAATCCCGGCCCACATCGAGAGTAAAAGTCGAAAATAAAAACAAGAACAAACATTTTATAAAGCATGACGAGGACAAAAATTCCCAATTTAAAACTATTTCCTGATGGAGTTCTTTTATCCTGAATTTAAATCATTGTCGCGTTTTCGAGACAAAACTCACCTTCCCGTTTTTGAGTATAATCCGCTTTTCAGAAAAAAACTCAATGGCATAACTTACAAAATAAATCAGTGAAAGTAAAATTATCATATGAAGACTAAATTAACTGATAAATTTTTCCAAAATTTTAGTTTTCACATTTTATTTGTTATATAAGAGTATAAAATTTGATTAAATTTCCCGCATTACTGGTGAAATCTTTTTTGTAAGAACAAAATAATGGTGATAATTTGATTTCTCAATGCTGTAATGATTTTTAAATTATCAAAGAACCATGTATTTTTATTTTTCTATTTTGTTTTTATTTTACCTTATCAAAAAATCTTGTTTTGTTACGTAAGTAGGTAAATGCTTGAAAATTGATTTTGATTAATTGTCTTAAAACTAGGATATGGTACAAAAACGCGACATATGCTAGAATTCGGTATTTAGGGATATGTTTGAAAATGAAATCAAGTATCGACAAAAAGTTAAATATCCCACCTTATTACTAGTTTAAAGTAGTTTAAGCCATTTTTTTTAAATGTATGGTGTAGTTCTGTTCAACTCAGTCTGGATTTAAAGATATATACGCTTGGAGAAGATAACTTTGATTTGATTTGATTTGATTTGATTTGATTTGATTTGATATGATTTGATTTGATTTGATTTGATTCGATTCGATTTGATTTGATTTGATTTGATTTGATTTGATTTGATCAAATGAATTCTGAATTCTAAGTCTCTACTCTGTATTAATGTAATGTGTAAAGAAAGGAATTGAGAAGATAAGGATTGAAAATGTTTGGCAGGGTATTCTAATCCTTGTTACTTTTTCTCAGCTTTCAGACAACATAACTATCAAATCAAATTTTATATTTTGCCATAAATTTTACAATATTTTATTAATGGTTAATGATATCAAAATGAAGCTAGCCTAACAAATTCGCTTTCAGTCATTCTTTCGTACAAACAGTCTTTTAAAAAAGAACGAAATTCTGAACCTTTTTATTGTATTTTTAGATCAACCTAATGATATTCCCGTAATACTAAATAAGACCAAACAGCCAGACACCTTTACTGATGGTGGTCTGGCTCTCCATGTCGGGGGAGTTTTTAGATCTAACTCTTTATATTTTATATATAATCTATATATATATATATATACTTTGCTTGTCTGTCTGTTAGTATCATAGTATGTAACCAGTAAACGTCAAAATCGCTGATCCGATCGGGCCCAAATATTTATGGATAAACAGAATATAGAAATTTTGCCTCCAAAAACTTAGATTTTCATAAAATGCTGAATTTTTTTTTAATCCACGAACAAAAGAACTTTTTGTTTTTGTTTTATAATGTATGCAAAGAAAAAATGTTCACAGATAAAGCAACAATTAAATCTTACGCCCTAAAAGCCTCGTATATACATCTGATGTATTTTATATAAATTGAACACCATATTTTGAAATTTGGATTCTTTCAATTTTGGTGGAAATCTTGTTGCAAAATTTTCGTTGACTGATTTCCTTTGAATATTTTACAAAATTTTATTCAATTTATAAAAATTATCCTAAATTTATTTCAAATTATCAAAATGTTAAATTAGCTATATAGACTGAAATAAGTTTACTAAATACATAAAACAATCAGATTTTCTTTTGATGCTTCAATTTTGTTTGTTTTCGTGTCGTTAAATACACATTATATGAAGTTAATAATTTAAAGAGCGTATTTCATTTAAACTTTGAAGATAAAACAAAGATAGTTTCTTAATTTCGTCATTTTTTTCTTTAAAAATCATTAGACCACTTAACTAAGAAAAAACCGGGTTTATGCTTCTATAAATTACGCTTACAGTCCAATGTTTAGGTTATCCCTACCCGTGGTATGCAGATAGTAGGACAGGATTATAATAATCAATGGAATCAACCTAACTATGATCTCAACTCCCAGGTACTGCATAATTAGGTCAACCTTCATTCAAACTTTACCACCACAGTACTAGAGTTGTAGGAAAATAACAACACTTTTATATTCTAATTGTTGGCAATGTTTGTCTATAATACCAAATAAAACAAAGTTTCTGCTGTCTATTGAAATATTAAAGGCATATTTGATCTCTCACTTATAATCCGTCAATACCGCAGGAGACCTTTTTTGTAAATAATTATTTAAATTCAAATCCCAACAAACGGGTTTTAAATAATACGAATAATTCAGGACCTCTAGTATACCGTGCCCTGAGTAGTAAACCTTTACCTATTATTTAGATTGGAAAGTAAACCAGGACCTCTAGTTTACCGTCCCCTGGGTAATTAACCTTTATATATTATTTAGATTGGAGTAAACCAGGACCTCTAGTATACCGTGCCCTGAGTAGTAAACCTTTATATATTATTTAGATTGGAGTAAACCAGGACCTCTAGTTTACCGTGCCCTGAGTAGTAAACCCATTATTTAGTTTGGAGTAAACCAGGACCTCTAGTATACCGTGCCCTGAGTAGTAAACCGTTACCTATTATTTAGATTGAAGTAAACCGGACCTCTAGTTTACCGTGCCCTGGGTAATTAACCTTTATATATTATTTAGATTGGAGTAAACCAGGACCTCTAGTATACCGTGCCCTGAGTAGTAAACCTTTATATATTATTTAGATTGGAGTAAACCAGGACCTCTAGTTTACCGTGCCCTGAGTAGTAAACCCATTATTTAGATTGGAATAAACCAGGACCTCTAGTATACTGTACCCTGAGTAGTAAACCCATTATTTAGATTGGTGTAAACCAGGACCTCTAGTTTACCGTGCCCTGAGTAGTAAACCCATTATTTAGATTGGTGTTTACCAGGACCTCTAGTTTACTGTGCCCTGAGTAGTAAACCCATTATTTAGATTGGTGTAAACCAGGACCTCTAGTTCACCGTGCCCTGAGTAGTTAACCCATTATTTAGATTGGCGTGAACCAGGACGAACATCACATGAGCGGAGACTCTATTCCAGTTGGTTGTGAGGCTAGTCACCTGGAAGTCCAGGGTAGACTAGATGTAAGTCAGGATTCAGGGATGGTTAGTTTAAAGGAGGGTTCATCATACCATCAATCCCTGCCACAGGTAGTGTTTTTTAATTCTGGAATAAAGGGACTGTAAACGTTATTTCAAATGGCCCTCTAAAAAGTTACATACCAGATTAACGACGGTACCTCTTTAAACATTGTCTCGTTTTATCTTGGAAAGTGCTAAATTTTTTAATTTCTTACATTGTCTCTGGTGCTTAAATGTGCAAGTAACGTTGATGAGAAACTCAATGGAAAAAAGGAAATTTATTTCTGTAATTTTTTCCCAGACACTTGTCGAAAGGGAACCGTTGTGTATCTAAGGGTTACGCAAAGTTTCGTCGACAAATTCTTAAACTAGAATATTCATCATCTGACGCAAAATCTTCAAAGATTTGTCATCAACTAATTAGATTTAAGTTTAAATATTACTGTCCAGGGCTACAAAAAAGTTTAAGTGGGTTGATATGGAAAGCCTAGCAACACACTAAAATTAGCCCGGTCATAAAATTTAATGAATAATTGACAATCATCAAAGCTGTTTGGATCGCAGGACAGTTAGATATTTAACAAAAACAGAAGACGTAAAAAATGTTCGCAAAGAAATAAAATCAAATTGAACATTAAGTTTTAATTCCAACTCTGTGTAGGTGTGTGCCCCGCAACCAATGTTACCCCCGACCTCCCTTCATAATATCCCTGGTAACTCTGCCTTTGTTCAACAGAACTTTAGACCTCAACCTGAATCAACATTTATCCCAGTAGAACCAGCCAAGGATCCACAGGTATGTTATATAGCCGCCATCTTGTTTTTTCGTTTTCACATTTGACATTTTTCCAATCCATTTGAGCATTATACTACTTTAAATTTTTATCAGAAAGACATCAAAGAGAGGAGATTTCCATCTTATGTGTGCAGTTTAATGGAACTTTTTCATTTAAAGTACAGTATTCTTAATTCTACAAGCTATCACGCCTTTCTCCAAACCTGATATAGTATAGTCATCTCGGGTTCGGGGACTGGGAGGAGGGCACCCTAAGAGTCTGATTTTATTTGATTTGATTAAAATAAAGAATGACTGATGGTTTCTCCATATTGGTAACATTCTGATTCTTCATAGGACAATTCGAGAAAATTATCAGAATTGAACACTCTTTTAGCCAGAATAGAGAATACCGTAGTTGTGAATTGGACATGTTCTCTTGAATTTCACCAACATGAACAGTCAATTTAATTAACAATCTTCGAAGTAAAAATGAAGAAAATGTTCATGAAATTTATATTTTTCTACAATTAGAAAGTGGAAGAAAACTTGTCTTGAATTTGACCGTAGTTAACTTTAATGTCGCTGATCATTTTATTTATCATTTACAATTATTCAAGAATTCATTTTTCTTGGTTCGATTATATTCATATTAAATATTTATACATATTTTTTTTCTTAAAATCTTTTGCCTAGTAAACTTTAATGGTGCTTATTTTTTTTCTGATTTACATTTATACACGAATTAGTTTTTATTATTTTCATATTGATAGATATTTTGTTCTCAATCTCTTTCTCACAACAATGTTGTCTTTATTCTTTTGTTAAATTTTTTTTCCTCCGCCGCGCCCTTTTAAACCCTGAATAGGCAACTCTTTGTTTGGAAACGATTTATGACTGAGATAATGGGAGGGATGCTGCAATAAATTCAATTATATAGAGAGATGATACAATTCAATAGTCAATACATTAGATTTATGACTGAGATAATGGGAGGGATGCTGCAATAAATTCAATTATATAGAGAGATGATACAATTCAATAGCTTTATGGTTTTAGTAATTAGCCACACACTTACATAGAAATGTTTTAATTAATTTGTCAAAAGAACTTAATTGTTAACATTCTAACACGTCAAAGCGCTAGATATTTTGACGACACAAAGAAATCGATGTCTTGCTTAATTTTAAAGTTGACTGAAATAGGTGTTTAATCCTGCGGGTTACATACACAATATTTCAATAATTTCAAAAAAAATAATTCTGAAAACGTATCCACCCCCTAGAGTAGGAGTTTTGAACATCGAATTTGCGCTCAAACTCAGGATTTACAGATCTTAAAAAGTTTAATATGTCTCATATGAATTCGAAAGAAGTTTTCCACAACACTGCATACTCAGTTCAACTACCTTACATAGCCGGTCACTCCCTTTAAGGCCAATAATGGCAAAATTACACTTACAGTTAATGTGTGCCTGCCTATATATATATTACACCCTGAGAACTGTATATAGAAATAGTATACACATATGGATTCTGTTTACTGAGTTAAACAGAAATATTATCAACACTACACAGAATACAGTGTGGTGACCCATAAACATGAAGACGACATTTATGCACTTATGTGTAATTAATTAATTAATTAATTAAGCTAATAGTTTTACCAGTCTGTTTTCGGACATACTAGGCCTACAGGACGAAGCGTCCATCTTTTAGAAATTTTTCAATGATCATCTGAGGAGTTATAATCTTGTCTTTTCGTTACTGATCTGCTGATAGAAAGCTTATTCAGCAATCGATATATAACAGACTATACTTTTGATGTATTGATGTATTGTATAACTATACACGGAATGATGGTTGATCTTTTATCTATTTATTATAATGATAACCTCAGCACAATAACCTCAGCACATAGGATATTTAAAGCAAGATGGCGTTAGCTTTATGTTATTGTATCGAGACGATAAAGAATTCTTTTTATATATTTTATATATTCTAACTGATATCAACACTGAACAGTGTAAATAGTTTTTTTTTGTTAGTTACTAGAATAGTTAAGTGTTTTAAAGGTACTGAAAGCGAAATTTTAAGTAAAACTCTCCGTGCAAAAATAGCAAAGCTCGATTCACAACGGTACCCTTAAAAGATTCTTCTCATAAAGTATGAATAAGACATTAATGTTTATAATATCCAAATTATTTTAAACTGTGGGTTTTCTACAAAAGTGACGCGCATTTCTACTGGGTACAGTGCAGGAAAACATGTACAAATTATCAGAATCCAACGCTAAACTTAGGGTAACGACAATATCTTCAAAATTTTTGATCAGATAAAGGTTTCAAGAGTCTGGAGTGATTAGTATAGTCTGTATAGTTCTCTCTCTCCTAGGTCCCCAGTTTATATCCTCCAAAGTCTACACTCTGAAGCGTAATTTTAACCAGTTTCCACAACTGCGCCATAGATTTACTACCGACACTCCTCGGTCTAACAAATACGCAACTCTCACAACGTATACTCTCTGTCACCCCCCCCCCCATCCCAACTTTTAGTCTACTCTTCTATTAATTATTGACATTGTTATCATGAACAAGTTTCTTAAACTAATAAGTTGAATATTTTAATTTTTTACATTAATTTTTTAAACCTCCCTTTTTTATTCCTATTTCACACTATGTTTACTCAGCCTTCCAGTCCCTAGTTGTACATAGAGGAGGAAAAAGGGGATCATTGATTTTAATAAAAATGTTTGTGAGGAGTTAATAGTTTAGATGGGGCCGAACAGGATGAAACAATTAATTGTGAAATTTATGTTTTCTCTCTCGAGCATTACATAGGATTAAAATCAAGTTACAAGGTCGATAAGTACTTAATGTTTTTAATTTAGTCGGAGTTAAACTAGTTCTTTATCAGTTCTTATTAAATTGATAAGATTCGATCCTGCATCCTTGTATATATTCTACTATAGTACGGAGAACAGGCTACCTTGAGACAATCCCGAGTAAATCCAAGATTTATCATCACTGAGGTTCCAGAGATTCAGCTTCAGAATAAACCCCGGAGAAAACCTAAACCTAACAGTGAAATATTTGGGTTAGGAAGTTTTAGGAGAAATCCAGGACTCCGACGTCAATCTGATGTTCATCTCGGGTCCAAGGATTCATTAGTTAGCGGAAGTCCAACACATATATATAACACCATACACACTACCAGCTCAATCAAACCTAGGAGAAATGTCAGATCCCTCTCTCGGCTGGATTTTCACAGGTCTCGGGTTGTATCGGAGACGGGTTCGGATTCGAAAACTCCTCCGAGTGGTCGGCTAGACACCGAGATGAAACAAAAGACTCTGACTGAACTGAATCAAGATCTAGATACAATTTTTCACACGGATAGCGGAGGATCCGTAAACAACCTATCCCTTCCTCGATCTCCTCCGGGTTACGCGGTCTCCCGTCCTGTCTCAAGATCATCAAACTACGAGGAATCCGACCCGGCACAGTTTTTAGCTCGCAGAACTAGTCAGGACGAGATGGAATCTCCAGTTTTAAACCGTTCATTTATCCGGAGATACCAGAATGAAAACAATGCAAGCTTTAAACCTGTTAAATCTCCGATGAAATTACTAAGATCAAACTCCAGAACCTACCTAGAGGAACCAGTCATAGATGAACTAGAGGTTTATCACACCATATCCGGAGAAAAAGCCAACCTAATGGCTGCGTCTAGAACCCAGAACCCGTTTTCCAAGATAATGCGTCGACCGGCCAATATTGTAGCTGGTATCCCATCCAGTCTGATAGCGGTCAACAAAGGAGTGTCTGCGACTGATATTGAAACTGAGACTATCAATGGTCTGAGTGAGGATGTATGGCGGGTAAGATGAGGGTTCAACCAGTTCTGGAGATTTATATTTAGGGAAATTGTCCGTTTTAAACCTAACAGCATCCCTTCTAGTACACAACGTATGTACACAAGCATGTCCTTGCGTACACTGGGCTGTGTACAACACTGGAGTATAAACATCAAAGGTTGATGAAAACATTAACTCGGTAGTGTATTAAGTCTGCTGGGAGTTATTATCCTTGAAGTAGATAGATGGGAATAAAGTAGATATATTATAATTTGCATCCGTTTACTGTAGTATTCGGTTCCATTCATTCTCAGTAAATAATTGGAATGGTTACAGTAAACCCTATGTCATGTTGGATGTTTCATTTAATCTTCTTTTTATGCACACAAAACAGTTTCATACTATATTGTTTTTATTCGACTCTAAAATTTTGATTTTATTACATTCTGCAAAATCTGACATAGAGTAATAAATTTGCAAATTGTAATCTTTTATGATCATCCAGGGTTCCTCACAAAGGATGAGACTTCAGAGACGACTATACAGAATTTATAATGTCTGTTTCTTTTCATTCTGGATTCCCTGCAACTGTAAACTTGTGTCTTTCTTTGACAAATCATCAAATAAGCCATTAGAAGACTATATTGAAGGCAGAAAACTTAATTTAATACGGGGGTCGTCATATTTTGTCGTCTTTACAGCTTATTCTTTGTGGATAACCCTGTACATTTACAATTTTACAATAATTAAAAGTTTTCAGATTTTTGTAAGCCTTCCTAAAAGTGAAAGTGTTAAAAACTGGATTAAAAACGATGACCTACACGTGCCATATTTTTAACACTTTAATCTTTCCAATGTATACTGAGGCTAAGTAAACATTTTTAAATTTGTAACAATATATTTTATATTTCTAGCTTGACGTCGAGGCTGTAGAGGATGATCAAGAGCCGATTACAGAGGAGGAATCTATCATTCAGAATGCTCTTAATAAACTAGAACAGAGGTAATTTATATGTGTATACTGTATACAGCAGTAACCAGAAGAAATTCTGCGCCTATACATTTTTGAAATGTGTAATCTACAATCATAATCTCTGTTTATTTGTTTGTATGTCTGGTGAACCACATAGCCGATTTGTCTAAAATTTTGATTGGGGAACTCGGGAGAACCACGGAAATGCTCTTAGCATAGATAAATAAATAAACATAGATAGCTTATGTAACGCAAAATCACCAATAATTGTACAGTCCGCGAACTCATACTTCTAGGGGTCAAAGTGTACTTAAATGATAAGCGGGGTGGTTTGTTGTTTTAATGGATTTCATAAAATAACTCCGGGAATGGAACTATTTTAACAACAATCACTGAGCAATATGTCATATTGACGAGAACTGAAGAAGGACATGAGAAGGACTATACTAACTTAAATTTCTCTCTACAGAACTCATGTACACCACAAGTACTCAATGGCATAAGAACAGCCAATGTTCACAACCGACCTAGTTAATCTATATAATAGGAATATCTTCATAACATCTCTGTACATTGATATATTTCAAGATGAAAAATGTCGTCTTATGAGCAATCTATCTTTATCTATGGTTCTTAGCTTTGCTTTGCTATTCGAAATAGCTAAAATCGTAATTGAAGACAAAGCGCAGATAAACGGCGGAGTGATATGATTAACGTGAGGAATGGCTGGGTTCCTAAGCTAGTTTTTTAAATAGTTTATTAGGCTTTCAGGTCAATTTGTTTTTCTGCGCAAGGTTGTTCAACTTCTTCTCTTTAACTAGAGCTGATGATAAATAACGTATTTAGCCGAAACTAGAATATAAATCGAGTCTGAGCAGCTAGATAATCTAGCCGTGCCCGTGCCTATTTCAATTACTTATCGAAAACTGTTTAATCAAAGTCTAAAAACTACGTTAAATCCAAGTTGAGCAGAATGTGTTTAATTGTCCAGATGTATATTTGTAATAAACTCCTGTTACAGCAATGTAAACTTTAGGTGCTGGCCAAGATATTAAATATTTTTATTTGTAAGATTTGATGCATCATTACTTAAGATTTATTTGAAAACTTCAGATTATCCGTGAAAATGTGTGTGACCATTAAAAGTTGTCACTCTCGTCTTATAAATGGTAGTTTAATTTTGTATTCATCCTGTTCTAGCACTATAAGGGGTTCAGAGCTTTAATTGACTTTAGTTAAATAATCGTTGTTTGTTTGTTTGTCCGATTATAACTCTAGAACCCCTTAGCCAAGAGAATATTATTATCTAGCTTGGTTTTGAAATTCGAAGTTTATTAGATCGACTTATACAGATTTCCACTTTCCAGTCAAAGCTAGGTTTCCCAGCTATTACGTTGATAATAGAATTCTGTTCAAAACTGACTCCTTTGATGCCAAGTGTTGTCACATCTTATGATAAATTAGTTATTTAACCGCATTTAACTGTTATTGTTTGTATCAGAAAAGTTATTATTGAAGATAATCTCCGTAAACAACATTGTTTTGATGTTAGATGCTCCTTCGACAATAACGATTTTGTTCAGCATTACGTCATGGTTTTTAAGGTTTTACGACAGAGAATAATTTAAAATATGTTTAGGCATATGAATGAGATGACCAACCTGCAGCGTAGGATGGAGGATTTGAAGATGCAGTATGTGCAGGATAAAGAAACCTACAGGATTCAACTAGTATCTTCTCTCCTAGCTGCCAGGAAGTCCCAGGAGCAAGAAAGGTTGCAGCAGCAGCAGGATGTATATAACTACGAGCAGAACGAGAACCTCAGGAAGCTCCAGGAACAGAAGGATCTTCTCCAGAAGCAGATTGATCAAGAGCTTCTGCAGCAAAAGCAGCGGCAACACCAACATCAGCAGCAACAACAGCATCATCAACAGCAGCAGCATCAACAGCAGCAGTTTCAACAACAACATCATCAACAGCAGCTCCAGCAGCAGCTGCAACAGCTTCAGCAGCAAGGAGGTCGGGTCAATATGGGATCAGAGCATAATCCTATGATGTTTAGTCCAACCAGCATGAGTTTACAAAACCAGCAGAACCATAATCAGCAGGTTCTTCAACCTGTTCCTAGGATTGCTTACGTGAGCCCCGGGAGTAACCAGTATGCAAATATGCAACCACAGTATATTTCTGTGGGTGGGGGTCGTGTTATAGCCGTGTCATGTGCAGGTATAAAATCTATAATTAAGGAGGAAAAACTTTTTTACATCATTCTTTTCATTTCTAGAAATGTAATTTTATTGGTTAAAGGTTTCTTTTCATAAATCTTTATTAAGTTTAAAATGGTATTTAGTGAAAGCAAACATAAATCTTACTGTTAGGATTTGAACGATTTCGTGCAAAACTTATTACCATTAAGATGTTTTTACTTTTAAAAGAAAGAATATATTGTACAGGAGGAGGTCAGCAGATGTATCTAACCCCTGAGCAGTTGATGATTCAGCAGAATATGCCCCAGCAGCAGAGATATTCTCCAGCTAGTAACCTAGATCACGAGGTCGAGGAGAAACTAGATCGCCTAGACTGTGAATCTGTTCAGTCAGAACCTGTCCGAAATCTTCCAGTTGAGATGCACAAGAGAGATTCTCTCTCCGATAGCGGAGCCGAGGGGAGCGGAACGAATACACCGACAAGAGGGAGAACTTTTACGGAGGGTTTACTCCGGTTTGTGCATGATAGTAATTTACAGAAACCCGTCCCGGAGAGACGAGTTAGTAATATAGAGCAACCAGTAATGGGACATCAATCCGGAGGACTTGGCAATTCATCTGTTCCGGTTCCGGTTATTCAGGCGAATAATGCTCCGCCATTTACCGCCATTAATCCGCCCCCATTTTCCGGAGTGATTCAGCAATCCAATGTCCCTGAGCCCGCCTATCCTAGTGAGCTTAACGCCGACTTTAGAACTACATCATTAACCAGTCTCTCCAGTCATGGAGGATATCAGGGATATCCAAACCATTCTAACACCATCCATGGACAGTTGCCTCAGTATGGATACGGTGCAGGAACTTCAAATCCCTCCTCGTTCCAAGTAAGAACAACCCCGTTAAATCCCTCGGCTGTCCCAGTTAGACAGGAGTCTCGTCCTGCTAGTTCTCTAATCATGGGTGGAGAAACAACATCAGTTAGACAACCTATCATGTCTAGTACAGCACAGCCTAGTATGGGATACAACACTATGACAGGGATGATACCTGTTATGATGATGCCGAATACGTCCCAAGCTTTGTATAGTACGGCTAGATATCAGCCTTCACATGGTACCCCAGCCTCGCCTCCAGGTATAGATCATAGAGCTAGCCCAGCTACTGGCTACATACCCAGTAATATGATGGGACAATCTCAGGGTCAGGCTTTTGTTAATCATCCTTCCGTTAACAATATCCAGAATACGTACCGACCTCTACCTGGATATTCAAATATTCCGGTTAACCTGACTCAAGGTGCCAGTCAAGGAATGGTTCAGGATATTAGTATGTTAAACTCTGCTCCGGGAGCATTAAACCAGGGTTCCGGAGTCTTGAACCCAGTTCCAGGTTTGATCAATCCTGGACCCACGCTGTTGAATCATTCTGTCATACTAAATCAAGGTCAAGCTGTCATGAATCCGGCTACATTAGCTGGTATGGGCATAAACCATCCTTTAAATATGCCCGGAGGCTCGTATCCTGTATTAAACCAACCTATGAACCATCAACAAGGTTCAACTGCTCCAAGTATAGCTGGATCTATGGCAGGATCCTATCATGAATCTGTTCATGCTGAGGATTCAGTCTACGGTTCTAATCTAGACCTGGAGCCACAACAATAAACTCTAACCTGGTATCCCTGCTCCGTCAGTATTAGCTGTAGCAGTAAACCCAGTTTAGAAATCATAAGTATAATATATAAATATAAGATTATGACGCTTCTATTTTGAATTGTAAAATGTTTTTATGCATCTGCCTTTTTTCCTGTAATCAACCCCATATAATAAGTTGATAGCTTCTAGAAATGTGATATATAATATTCTGAACTCAATTTCTCCCGTTTATTCTGCTAAATAGTATTCGTCGAATTTAAGCTCTTGTAAGATTTAACCAGCTTTATATTCTGTTCTTGTTTTATTCTCATGTAATTTTCTGTTATTTAATTTGGATTTAATGTTGCAATAGTTTTCTTTTAATAAATAATTGTGTAATAGTTTAAAATATTGTTTTAACAATACATAACGTCATATTTTTTATGCAAGATAATTTATAAAATGTACTGTGACCAGACTTTTTTTAGACTGCTTTAAAACTGCTTTTAGTACTTTAGAAGGTGTTCTAAGGATCCGAAAATTTGGATTGGTTAGACCTTCTGTGGGTCTGAAGATTTACGAAGAATTCAACTATTTATGTTTTGACTTTTGATAAGTCAGCGTAGAGAAGTGATTTTTTCTCAGAAGGTAAAACGTGTAATGTAATGTTAAGTGTTTAGATACGGTAATTTGGATTCAACATTTTATTGGTTTTCGCTAAGTATGGAAGCACGAGTATTTTTTTCGATCTTATGACAGTAATATTAGCGTCTTTGATTTGCGATACCTTCATTCGTCAATCTATTAGTATCGGACATCCTGCATTTGAAGTCTTTGATAAACCCTTAATTTCAATTTTATCATTCAATTCTTATGTTTATAAATATGTGAAAAGTATCCTGTCGTTTTAAACGGAAATACTTGGCGTAGTATTTAACTTAATAATATACAGGGGTTACCAAGCAAGGATGAGAATATTGTCTCATTCTAACCACCCCTCCTAAACCCAAAAGCTGTTATTATTTAACAATGTATCAGACCTGTTCCAAGTAAAATCTGGATATCTGTTGGACTTATTTTGACCCTTTTTAAATCTGATCTGATCTTTGTTGGTAGTTATAGACTTTTTTTGGACACCCGAAATACGAACATAATAAATCTCTACGCGATATCTTACTTTTGGCATGTGATGCAACGTTTTCCATCACAGTTTTAGATAACATGAGGAACTTTTTGGCAGATTTGAAAAACATAATATTGACCCTAACTCGCTCTGCTCGCGTAGAACAGACAAAAACGTGGTTTTACTCTTTCAGTCATAATGACCTCAATTGATTTTAATTTAATATTTTTTTCTTTTTCTAGAAAGAACATCTTTTTGTTAATATTTTCTAGCTTTTGAAAATTGTCATTAAAAGTACTGAAACAACTGTAAATCCATGGTTCAGGTAATATACTCCAAGGTTTATATGAGAAACTCCTTAGTTTGGATGATAAATCCGTGGTTTAGGTGATATTCTTCTGAGTTCGGATGATAAATCCATGATTCAGGTGATTAACTCTAAAAATTAAATTAAAGATCCCATGGTTTGAATGAAAAACTCGATGGTTTAAATGTAAAACTTGTTTTAAGGAAAAATTCCTTGTTTTGAGGGAAAACTCTTTATTTTGATAATATATGATAAACTCCAAGGTTGAAATGAAAAACTATGGTTCAGGGGATAAACTCCAAGGTTCAAATAAAAACTATGGTTCAGGGGATAAACTCCAAAGTTCAAATAAAAACTATGGTTCAGGGGATAAACTCCAAAGTTCAAATAAAAAACTATGGTTCAGGGGATAAACTCAAAGGTTCAAATAAAAACTATGGTTCAGGGGATAAACTCAAAGGTTCAAATAAAAACTATGGTTCAGGGGATAAACTCAAAGGTTCAAACATAAACTATGGTTCAGGGGATAAACTCCAAAATTCAAATAAAAAACTATGGTTCAGGGGATAAACTCAAAGGTTCAAATGAAAAAAAACATCAAGGTTTAAATGAAAAACTTACAAGGTTTAAAATTTCTATGGTTCAAAGAATAAACAAAAGTTTTTCTGATAAAATCCATAGTTCAGGTGGAATACTCCAATTAGTTAAAATTTTATGGTTAGGATGTTAACTCAAGCGATTAAGTCCAATGTTTAGCGGAACAACCCACAGTTCAGATATTAAACTCGACAAGGTTTAGATGATAAACTTCATGCTTTAGATGATAACGACAATAATGTTTCGATGACGAACTCCATGGTTTTAATGAAATACTTCATATTTCAGAGTATGAACTGTGATAAAATCAGAAGTTCCGATAATATCAATAACATCTTTGGGAGTAGTTACTAGAGGTATGTCTTGAATAAGATGTTAACTGAACTCGTTCAGAAGTATTTTATCCCCTTAACCATAGAAGGTTATCACCTGAACCAGGTCTTTATCATCTGAAGAAATGTGTATATTTTGTTCCGGGGCTAAAATCTTCAACCTCGACATTCAACAAGCCATAAACCTAATGAAAATTATCACAAAAAAATTGGGCCCGATTGGTTCCACGCGGCGTTTATTGAACACAAACATACAGAAACGCAAAACATATATTATACTCATAATTCTTCTTGAACCCACAGCCCATATTAGCATTTGCCTTGAGATTCATTGTAAAAAGCTGTCTGACCAAGAATGCACGATATCCATTATATTCTCTTGAAAAATTAATTATCTTCTATTGTGGAGTCTCTATAAACATAGTCGAGCTTAACTAAGCACCATGAGAACCAGAAAACTCTGGTTAAGGAAGATGACATTTAGACTCAAGTTATGACAATTTAAGACGGCAATTGTACATGTTTATAAACAGACCCATCAAACTTAACAAGTGGGTTAATAAGTTTTCGAGAAGTAACATCTGTAGATATTGTAGTATTGCTATAATGTCGTCTTCATATTCCAGTTTTCAGATGGTATAAAATAAAATTTTTACAGAAATGAAAATATGGCACCAAATGAAGTTTACACCGTCTTTAAAATCTGATATTTATTTGTATCATATTAACCTTTGTATGCAGCCTCGAAATAATGTTATTAAGTCGCGCTGCAACTTCAGGGTGTCCCACGAAACAAGACAGTAGCAAGACGATTTGAGATGAAAATCGTCTTGATATTTGATATATTTTGCGGTATTTATTTGTCAACCGAGTCAACCTATTTCTAGAAGTAAAATTCAAGAGATAATTATCACAAAATACCCCTAGTCCTGACATTTCCAAAATGTGGTCTGCCTTTTTAGAGCTTTTAATATTTCCCGAATTATGAAGAATTTCGTTCAGATTTTGAAAAAAAAAATTTTTTAACAAAATCTTAATGTCGTACAAAAAAAGGCAGACTACATCTTGAAAATGTCAAACTTTCATTTATTGCATTCATTTATCTATAGGGTTCCCCGCCAAAATACGAGACTTCAAAGAATACTATTGTTAATAAATTATTTTCAAGGCATTATACTAAATTTAACCATCAGATCTTTATGTATTTAAAAGGCTTAAATGTCTGTTTTTAGAATTCAGCACAAAAACCTTACATGAATAATCCGTATAAATGGATGTGTACGCACACAGTGTGAACCTAATCACTGTGTTGCTGGAGAGAAAGAAGAACAATTGATTTCAAATGTTTATTAACTTAAGATACATGTAGTTTAAATATGTTACATAATTGAGAACTAGTAAGGATAAAGGTCTTGTATTCTGTTTAATACAATATGTTTGGCACATAATTAATTTTAATTACAGTCAAATTCAAATTAAGTAATAAAAACAGTTTAATGAGAATTAGATCTTTTCACAGCTTTCAGTAGTTTTAGTTTATAAACGTTAATAATAATTCAACATCGACATTTTACAATTGATCCAGGTGTTTTAATTGTTCGATCCGAAGGGTAATTGTAAGGCAACATAGTACTTAAGTAACTTAAAAGGAAAGTAGGCATGATTTCAATGGACTCTATATTTATAGAGTAGCAAGTCAGATTCACAGAGGTCTCCTTATATAGTTACATAGTTCCTCTTTTAAAATTGGTTATTTTCAATTATGACTTGCGGATTTCTAGCTACAACAGAAACAGTGGAGAGGATCAGCACAATTCTTGAAAAAATAAAGATTTGACTGGTACCGTCGTTAATCGGACATGGCCATCTTCTAATTGAGGATAACTTAACCTTACAAAGACAGCTCAACCCTCCCATAAACCCCTTTTTTAAAGAGGGAATCAAGAACGTCTCTAGGCTTTCTTGACGCAAGGTTGCGAAAGGAAGGATTGAAAGATTGGATCCACTTCTTCAGGTTTATAATCCACAGCACGCAGATCAGCTCCATTATCCATACCTTCGAGTAAAATAATTTTTAATTCATCTGCATGCAATAATATAGACTAATTCTTATGTTATCTCTATCTTTTTACAGGTTCGGAGGGGTCTGTTGAAGTAATTTCAAGGGACCCCCCCCCCATCCAACTTAACAGGTGGCTTGTCCGATTCACTATGCTATCCTATAAACCATCGCTGAACAGAAATTGATAATTTCCAACTGTGGCTTCTCCAGAGAAATGAGTTGCGGATTAATTCCGCGGGAAAAAGAAGGAAATATTCAAAGGAATTGAGTTTTTCCCAAAAACTCTGATTTTTTAATCTCTATATCTTTGTAACCCAATTTCGTAGACCTTAAATATTTCAAAGTATTAATATATATTAATATAGATAAAATAATCTAAGTTTTAAGTATCAAAGGGTTGCACCATCAGGTTGTAAAATTATTGGGATCAGAAGATTTGAGTTTGAGGTAAAAACTAAATTCCTTTGACAATTAATATGTATATGTATTCTATTCACCTCTAATCATTCCACTGAGCAGTTTACCCTCCTGTGGACGGTACAGACAGAGAATAGGTTTATTCATCGCCACAGCTCTACCTGTATATTGCAAGCGTATATTATTTGACAAAACCTTTTCCTCGCCTTAATGATAATAGGAAGTTAGGTGACAATACAAAAACATTTAGAAATGTAATATGTTGTAATTGAATTTTAATTTTGTGTTATAATTATAATTTTGTTGTGTCAAGCCACAATAAAATTAATAAACTATGTTATTTTCGTCTTTTTTTCTCTAATTTTTACATGCTTAAACTTAATGAACCATTCAGAGTAAAGAAAGTCTTTAACTTATTAGTTAACAGTTGGGATTTGTGTTTTGAGAACAAGGTTGCTATTTTGGATACAGGAAGCCTAAACGTTCTGGATCCGGATGAAGAAAAAACGGACTCATATCAAGATAAAAAAGATAATTTGTAATTAAAATTAAATTATCTTGCGCGCAAAGAAAAACTTAAGCGGCAAGATAGGCTTAGTTTTGATCCTAAATCCAAAAATACGGGTGTTTTGTGTATTTTAAAATACCGAGTTCGTATCCAACTCCAAGACTAGGTTGAGTAACTTCAGCAACCACAACATCACAGGCCTCCAGGAGTTCAACATCTCTAGAAAATTAAAGTTTTTAAGTAATTATCCTTCCATATATAGATCTATTTAATTAACATCAATAAAATTCTACATTGTCAAAAAAGTAAATCATACAATAAAGTATGGGGGAAAATAATATCGGTAAATCAAATGGTTAATCGCCATATTCACACAAAAACAACCTAATAATCATGTGTATTTTTTCAAGGATTAATAATCTTATTCTTGATCTAACGGAATCTGAAATTAGAGCTTTTGTTAATCTTGAGATCAAGCAATTATCTCTATCTTCTGCAGACTAATGGATTACTTTAATTCCAATTCGATATCCCGTGGTGGTCCTACCCTGCAGGGAGAACTTTAATTGATCCTTAAAAAGACACTGTAAACATTATATCGAGCTTAATTGTTCAAAGATTAACAATGCTCCACACAAAAATTCCAAACTCAGATTGTATATGAAAACGAATGCTCCAACAGGACTTTTATATTTTCAATTTAGTACAGTTAAACCCGAAATATAGAATACATCGGAAGAATTTATAAAATGTTGTTTTCTAAATCTCTTAACAATGGAATGTCGCAAATATTTAGTTTTTTTGATTGAATATTTGTATGGAGCTCTTTAAAGATGTCCCCGCGGTCCCCGCATATTTCATGGCTATTTTTTTTATTTTTACAAAAAAAAAGTATCACTTTTAACAAAGAAATTTTTATATGTAACCCACACATAACACTTTGTTAAGCTTCCTCTGTCCTAAAGATTGAGAACGACAGCTTAACAACATTCAGTACGATTACTGAGATTTAGGAATAAAACCTATTTAAAATGTTCAAGTCGACATTAGATGAATTCTTCTGATTTATTCAATATTTAGGGTTTAACTGTACTCAATGTACAAAAAGTAAATATATAATGTTTAACCTGTCATGAATTCCCTTCTCTCCTCCTGGATGCTCACTCCCAAGGTTTGTTATAGATTTATCCGCAACAAATGGAGTTAAAACCTCTCCAAACTAGAATATATATATACATGATACTTAGTGAATATATTAAAAACCAGTGCTAAGGATCCATTTATTTTTGATGCGTATCTGGATCCTGGATCTGCACTGGAAAAAATGGATCCGGATCCATTAAAATTCATTGAATTTTTTAACAAGCCGAATTTTCAAACTATAAATTCTATTAAATCAAAGACTAAAAAGTTAAATGTTTACTTACTACATCAGATCTATATTGATGTGATTAGAAAATATGCGTTTGTGGAAAAGACTCAAATCCTGAACAAGACCAATAGGCTAATAGTTATAGGCTTAACTTAATTACTGTGTACTACCTGCTGCAGCTTCTGAACAAGAACACCGTAAAGGTCAACATCTTGTCTCCCTGCTCTCATAGAACCACAAAAATATATCTTTAATCCACTCATTCTAGGCATTTATCTTTTCTCTCTGAAAACATCAAATTATTTTTCTATTTCTTTCTTAAATGCTTTTCCGACAAGAAAAACGTGTAAAGATAAATTCTGCGAATTTATTTCATGAGTGATTTTCTATTTTTCTCTCTGATCGCCTTTTCGATCTCAAATTGTCTAAGATCTGCCCGTTCCAGGAACATTTGTTTATCCACATACCTAGATAAAAATCATAATCTGAGAACTAATTCAATATATAAATAATGGACTTTAAAGGGACCGTTCACTTTTTTCAAAATTAGCCGAAATATGATTGAAAGATGAACGAACAGGAAGAAAATGAAGAACAATCAATATAGAAATGTCAAAATATTTTCATCTTATATCTTATAAATATTCAAAGAACATTGTAAAAAATTTAAATTTAAAAATTAAATGTATAAAAAAACTTATTTGGGTAATTTCATTGTAAACTTAATAGCCTAGTAGCTATTTATTGTTGGTATAGTCTTACTTTTCAAAGATAACTATGGCCAGAGAAATAGCCGATTTATCCAGCACAAAGAATTAGGAAGACTTGAATGTTTTTCATGTTCAAACATGATTTGGCATGTTTATACAAAGACGACCTTCTCTTTCCTTAATAAATCCATGACTATGACAAAAAGCATCAAATAATGTTAATGCAAAGGTATCATACCTTTGCGCTGGAATTCTGAACGAAATATCGCATTTTTCTCCAGCCACAGTTGACTTTGAAAAGTAAGACTGATACCAAAGAATAGCTAATAGGCTATTTAATTTACCATCAAATTACCCAAATAAGTGAACTGTCCCTTTAAAAAACATCTTTCACAACCCTGCCCATTTTAATACTCAACTATGGGGAGTATTAAATATATGAATTCTACAAAAATGTTTAGTTAAATTACGTTTACTGTCTCTTTATTTGAAGTTACACTTACCCATCCTTCCCTCTATTATGAGAGGCTAAGTCCTCTTTTATTCCTTCCTCTGTAACAAACTGATTCCAGTCTAACTTAGATTTATCTAGACATCCCATCTTAACCTGAGAATGGAATTTTAAAAAGAATTTTTTTCTAAAAGGAACTGTTAAGGTCAAATGAAATGCAGTATAGGCTAAAGCCTACCCATTTTAGGAGTTGGTCGCGACCAATATTAGTTCTATCTGATATTTCAATCTCGAGAAATTGATATAAAACTGTGTCAACCTTACACAAAGCTCATATGTAAGTCATATGGTATAATCAAATTTTTAAACATATTTGATTTTTCCTTAACAGTCCCTTTAAATTCTGAGTTTTACCTTTTTCCCTATGCTTCCTACAACACTTGCTAGTCCTCCTTTCCTGATCCCTGAAGTTGCAGGACCGGTTTCCTCCTAAATATTGCACTTAAATAAATTTTTAAAAATGTCAATATTTTAAGACATTTCAGAATGTCAAATATCGAAAGATGTCGAAAGGTGAAACTGAAATTATGAGAATAGAAAGATGACCTCTTGTGAATGTATTACAAAACGTTGTAAGGAAAAGGGTAAAAATGATTTAAAAAATATTTTTTTTAATTTACCAAGAACTGCGCCTGGAACAATTTGTCAAATTGAAATCATTATATATATATTTCATTTTTACCTGCTTCTTTAAAAACTTTTTGGCTTCAGAAGATTCAGCATCAACCTCTTTAGTTATCCTTAACAAATTTAACAACTATTTTGTGTAATTCCAACAAAAAGCTTTGGTTAAGGGACTGTTAATGTAATTTTAAGTGATAGCATTGCCCCATTTACAACGTTACCCTTGATACCTTAATCTGAACAAAAATGTCGATTTCTGGCCCGAAAAGTGTTTATTTCGGCCAATTTCTCCATCGTTTCTTATAAGCAAGAAATGCGTAAGTCACTTATGAAGAGAAACCACAAAAAAAATTAACAAAAACATGCAAATCTAATTCATATTTCATAAGACAAAGCTTTTACGGGTACCATTGTAAATCGGGTATTGCCATATTTACAGGAGGGTCTTTAATACTTACTTTACAACTTCTCCTGCAAAATCGAAAACTTTTGTGATCGCAACCTTTCCAGGATCTAATGTGACAGGTTTCTCACTAGATGCAGCTCTAGGTTCAGCAGCAGCTCCAGATTCACCACTAGATACAGCTCCAGGTTCAACGCTAGATGTCTGTTCCGGTTTAGATTTATCCACGTCGTCAAAGATTGAACCAAGTAAACTCTTAGGTTTGATTTTCTCCGGCTTTGTTTCCGGTTGACAAGGTGTAGGGTCAAATAACGAACTAAGTCTGCTCTTAGGTTTATTCACAACTTTGTCAATAGCAGGGTTAGTATCACTTGTAACAGGAACAGGAGAAAACAGGCTGGATAGATTAGAAGACGTCTTTTTAGGTTCTACAACAGATTTCTTTCCAACATCAGACTTGAATTCTGAAACAATAAACTGGAATTAATTTGATTCAATTTTGTTATATCACAGTAGTTTCAGTAGTCCATTAGCGTCTGATCCAAGTAGGATTTACTCACGTGCTTGTGGAGTACTCAGGAACAATAAAATTGCAAAGACGGTAAGATCTATCTAGCTATCTATCAGCATATTCAAATCTATAAATCCAAATAGAGATCCATTTGTAACTTTATAGCAACGACTAAATGGTATTCTTTACTTATAGCTAAACTACGGTGATTGTAATTGCAATTTGTTTGTTTATATAAAATAAAAGTTACGATGAGGTATCAGGTTGCAAAGTGTTGATATTGGGTTCACACAACAGTATGTAAACAAACAAACATACAGCTAACTGACAGGCAGACAAACAACTAATTGACAAAAGATAATCAAATAATATACAAAAAAAAAAAAAAATTAACATATCTACAAAAGGAAAAATCTTGTTTTCATAAATAGGACGTAAAAGTTTGTGTAAGATCAGAGATTAGATAAAAGAAAACCATCAAACTTGACTTCCTAAATTGATTTAGTTCGTTATTGATGACTTATACAATTTAAAAACAAGTACTTCTCTAGAAGAATAATAACCCCTGTATTGAAACAAAATAACTCCCTAATCAATCCCGGGTATATTATCTGGGCCCGGAGTATAAACCCAACCATGAACCTTCTCTTATTTATCATATTTCTTCACAGAATACTGGGGGCGGAGAGAGTTTGGCAATGGAGCAACAGTTTAGCCACGCCCTCACATTGGTCACAGGGGCGTATCCCATGTACAGGACAAGATGTGGAATTACCGAGTGAGATTATGTTCATGTCAGAGACTGCTGAGTATGGAAAGATTTCGATTGAGGAAGGGTGAGAATAAAATAAATTAATATAGATTATTGATATTACACATTGACTATAGCCAGCTTTAAGTGTGGATATAAAACAAGAAATCAAATTAATGATATAATTCAGTCTGTAAAAAATTATCTTAATGGGACAACTTGCAGTTTGTTTTTTTATATAATTTGCGACATTCCTTTGTAACCCTGATTTTACAAGAAACATTCATATAGCATTAATCAAAACTTAATGGCATTGGTGAAATGTGAACTACCTTTTATTGCTTTCAAAGTTATCACATAGATATGAAGATTTAAGTAATTTTGATTAAATCTATATATAAATTTGGCTTGTCTGTGTGTATCCAATAAACGTCAAAACGGCTGAACCGATCGGGCCCAAATTTTTTGTGGGACATCACGTGGCCACAGGGAAGGTTTATGAATGATAAAAATTTTAAAAAAAATGTGATTTAAAGGTTTTTAATTTTGTAAAAAAAAATTAAATTCGAGAAAATCCGCGAATTTTTTTTAAAATCCGCAAAATTTTTTTCTTCTTTGTTTTTGAATGTAAACAAAAAGAACATGTTCACAATTTAAATAGAAGATGGGCGCGAAGCGCCTTAAAAGCCTAGTATAATAAATTTAAATCTGAACAAAGTCTTCGAAATTTTGGACACAAAAATGAGATAGTGTTTGTTCATCTTAAAAGATGTATTCTTACAATGACATTATTAACTTATAAGATGCCAAAAAGATTTTATTTTTTGTTTTAGGGGTGAACTAATTTTTCCCAGTACTGCTAGTTTAACCCTACTGAACAAACCTCCTCCCACAATGCACGGAAAAGTAAAAGGTTTCAAATTCTTAATTTTAAAAAAAATCAAGAAATAATTTTTAATTGAATTAATATTTCAGAAGAATGTTCAATGCGTCTTGAATCTGCAGTTTATATATCCCGTCCCCCTGGTTCCTGGATGGATCCCTCGAACTGGAACTCAAAATATCCAACTCCAATCCCACATACACAACAGGTATATATATATATATATATCTCCAGTCCACTTGGTTCCTGGATGGATCCCTCGAACTGGAACTCAAAATATAAATTTACGATCCGTTCTGTTTAGATGCTGCTCCGGATTCTAAATTCATCCTGTAAAAAAATGGATCCGGATCAGCTTAAATATCTTTTAAAGCTTTGCTATTTTGATTTTACAACAATTTTACCGATCTCTTTTTTTCAACACTTTTTGGTTTTGGTTCTTAAATTATGATTGGTATTTTGAAGCTTTTATCAGGAGCAGTCTCTGAATCCGGGAAGCCAAAGTGTACAAAAAAAATCTAATCCCAATATCTTAAAAATCTGATGGTGAAACCCTTATTTCATAGTTTGAAATATCTAAGGTCTACGACATTGGGTGGCGAAGATTTAGGGATTAGTATATCAGAATTTGTGGCAAAGACTCAATTTCTTCATGTAAATAATAAATTGACTGTTTTCAGGTTCCATGCAAACATGACACCGCTGTCTTCCCACCAAATATGACTTACAAGGTTACACAAAATATAATTTTTTTAAAATTAATCTTCATTTCTCTTTTTTTTCAAGGTTTCCTTGCATGAACAAGATGTCAGAATTGGGGGTCTTATTATCTCCAATATTCAGATGTCAGGAAAGTTTATTAAATTTTTAATTGAAATAAATGCTATATTCACTATACATGGTAAATTTTTAAAATGTTATAATTTGATTGATAAATGCTGTTTGAGAGTTTTTTCACCCACTTTGGTTTTTTAACCCAGTGTCCAAGACCCTTAAATATTTCAATCTATTGATTTTGTTAGATCCAATACTCTCAAAGTAATAAAGATTAGAAAATTTGCGTTTGTTTTATAATTTTCATGAATAGGGGTAGACTGGCGTGCGACTAAAGATTCCAGGGTTGGAAGGAAAATGTTTAATTTTACAAAAACATTAACTGTTTCTGGAACCTACTGTAATGTAAGTATTGTACAAAGATTTGAAAAGGGATAAATAATGAGCGGCAGATACAAGTCTTTCATAGCTGTAAAGGCGGTCAATAAAAGTTCTTATGTCTTTTTAATTTTAGAGTGCTTTAGAGCATATAATTTTGAAATTAATTAGACTTCTCAGGTCTCCATAAGACCTTACTTGTTTAAAATTATGTCCAGCACAAAAATATAAGACTCAAATTGATTAGCAAATGTGAATAGATATTGCAAATATAGCTATTCTAAATATTTTGTTAAAACACATAAAATTTAAGAGTTTCTAATTTAACTTATGTTGATTGGCTCCAGATTCTAATGATGCAAGTCCCACGAAGTATGACAGTAGCAAGACGACTTGAAAGTCGTCTTTGAACTTATAACTTATTTGTGACACTCAGTCGAAATCTGAATGAAATTCTATATATCTACGGTAATATTGAAGCACAAAAAAGGCAGACCACATTTTGGAAATGCCATGACTAGGTGTATTTTGTGATTATTACATTTAGAATTTAGCCTCTTAAAATAGTTTTACTAATAAATGCCGCAAATTGTTTCAAAGATCAAAGATTGATCTTGCTACTCTCATGTTTCGTGGAACACCCTGTACTAGGATCGGATTCAAAATTAAGGATTGCATACAATTGCAGGATCCTACAGGATGTATGTGTGGTAATGAGGATTTAGAATACAAGATATGTGAAAATGCGCGGGGGAAATGTGAGAATGCAAACTGTTCCTCTCCTCTGAAACCTGCAGGTAGGTTCAGGAAATATCTAGAAACCTGCAGGTGGGTTCAGGAAATATCTAGAAACCTGCAGGTAGGTTCAGGAAATATCTAGAAACCTGCAGGTAGGTTTAGGAAATATCTAGAAACCTGCAGGTGGGTTCAGGAAATATCTTGAAACCTGCAGGTAGGTTTAGGAAATATCTAGTAACCTGCAGGTAGGTTTAGGAAATATCTAGAAGCCTGCAGGTAGGTTCAGGAAATATCTTGAAACCTGCAGGTAGGTTCAGGAAATATCTAGAAACCTCCAAGTAGGTTCAGGAAATATCTAGAAACCTGCAGGTAGGTTCAGGAAATATCTAGAAACCTGCAGGTAGGTTCAGGAAATATCTTGAAACCTGCAGGTAGGTTCAGGAAATATCTTGAAACCTGCAGGTAGGTTCAGGAAATATCTAGAAACCTGCAGGTAGGTTTAGGAAATATCTAGAAACCTGCAGGTAGGTTTAGGAAATATCTTGAAACCTGCAGGTAGGTTCAGGAAATATCTAGAAACCTGCAGGTAGGTTCAGGAAATATCTAGAAACCTGCAGGTAGGTTTAGGAAATATCTAGAAACCTGCAAGTAGGTTCAGGAAATATCTTAAAATTTACAGGTAGGTTCAGGAAATATCTAGAAACCTGCAAGTAGAATAAGGAAATCTCTTGAAACCTTAGATTGTTTTTATATATATTTTCATTCGACCTCAAGTGCTTTACTGGAAAAAATAGTTGAGATAAAAACTTGCAACCACAAAAAACTGTATTTACTTATAGTATAAACAAGATATAATTCAGTCGCTGACAATGCATGTCACAAAAGTCCCAACCGAAATATAATATTGAAATCAAATGCAAAAATATTTAACTACTTAATCTAAATTAAATTTGAACTCTTATTTAACTGTACTTTGAAGTCTGGACAAAAATTTCCTAATAACTTGATAAGTTCTTAATTCCACTTTACAACCATGAAAACAAATAGGACACTGCTGTTGGAATGTATGTGGTGCTGTGGTGAATATTGAACGAAAGAAGAACAAAATATATATGAATCATCTACAGAATATGGCCAGGTAGTACATTTAAGTACACTTAAAGGTTTCCGGATTCGTGCATCAGTTTATCTCTCATGCGACGTTTATATCCCCTAGCGTTTTAAAGGGACAGACCGGCTATGCAAGGTAGTTAAACTGAGTATGCAGTGTTGTGGACAAATTCTTTAGGATTCATGCGAGACATTTAAAATTCTTAAAGATCTGTAAATCCTGAGTTTGAGCGCAAAGTCGATGTTCAAAATCGTACTTTTGGGATACGTTACACGACAAAAAATGTAAACAAGATTCTATAGTAAACTAATTAGTTGTTTAGGAACAGGTTGAGAAAATAAAAATTAACTCTTATCATCGAAAAAAAGTAATCTTATTCAATTATTGGTTTCTATAATCTTTCTTAAATTACAAAGATTTTCTGCAGATTTTCTGGAATTTTTATTAAAAAGACGACATTTGACGAATTTAAAGAAATCAGCGAACAAATTCATAGATAATAAATAATTCACTATAATCATAAAAAGGAAATAATTAGTTCTAACTTTGACTTATTGACAATTGAGAAAATCGTTCTCTAGGAAATTACCAATAATTATCGTAGGAACGTGTTATATGTCTTAAATTAATCCTAAAGAATTTGTCCACAACACTGCATACTCAATTTAACTACCTGACATAGCCGGTCTGTCCCTTTACCCATTTAAACCCAATGTTAGACATCAGAAGCAATGCACATTTATTTTTGCTAATATATTATTTTAATTTTTCATCATTTTTTGTCTGACATTGCATTGAAATGGTTAAAACGGGGCATTCATTTGTCGCAGGACAGCGGGCCAATTGAAAATTTGTAGTTCTAACGTTACTTAAAATTAAACTTGACATATGATTTGTGAAGAATTGAAACAAAATTAAAATCGACTAAACAGTACTACAAAGTTATTATTGTTATTATTGCCCTAAAAAACCTAAACCTCAAAATATTTAAAATTCTATTTAAATTTGGTTGAAATTGACAAAATAAATTGTTGAAGGATGCATGTTGGAGATCATTCTCAACATCATGTGAGCAGGGTTAATGAAAACCTTTACCAGGTCTAGAATATTTTAACGTATTTTACTTATTTTGAAAAAAATGCTCTCACAATTTCTGGGACAAAAAATTAATTCTTCTTCTCTAGTCAGTGGGAATTTATATTCTGAAACCTTAAACTATGAGATATTCTCTGTAAAATTTTTCAATGAAAATATCAAAAGGAAGTTGCAAAAAGACTTGTGAACCAGGAACAAATTCAACTTTTTATTTAGATTATATTTAGATTATATTTAGATTATATTTAGATTATATTTAGATTATATTGGTCCCTAATCCAGATTATAACCTAACAAAAACTGTTCTTGCTGCTAGAAAATTGGGAGATTGCTGCTAGAAAATTGGGAGATTATCTTTTAGGCAAACTCAAAATATTAAAAATGAAATAATTTTCCATGTTATTGGTAAAAAAAATGTCATTGAAATAAAATAAGACTTATTTTTGTATTTCTTATATATGCACTTAGGCATGCATAAATAAAAAATGAACAAAAACATTAAACGTAATTCAAAATGAACAAAGAATACCATTAATTTAACTACACAGGAGCCAAAGTCTTTGTAAAAAATTTAAATAAAAAATTTATATTTTTGGATCCAGTTGAATTGGGTCGGAGAGGGGAGTATAGTATCTGGGTAGAGGAATCAGGAGTTGGTCCTATGTCTGAGCTTCAACGCTCTGGAATAATATTCGGATGTTTAATCCTGATCGGATTCATCACATTCTTCATATATCAAGTTTATAACAAGGCAGCTCACAAGGTATTTTTTACTGAGACTGGTCTATATTCTAAGGATATATCGGATGACTTCTAAAAACCTTTTTTAAAACCCTGAATTGGCCATGCTCAAAAGTCATTTGAACACTGTTCACAAATTCTAGTTTTCTAATCCTTACATCTTTGCAACCAGATGTTGTGAAAATTTGAATTTTCGAACAATTATTTCTGCTAGTTAAAATAGTCTTAGTTTTAAACCATAAAAGGTCTACACTCCCAGAAGTAAATTACAAAAATCTCGGAATCAGGAATTGATATCAATTCTTAGGCCGCCTAACTAGAAAGAAGGGATCAAGTATCATACAAAGATACACAGATAAATAGCAAGTTGGGGAAAATAAGTATTTAAAAAAATATTTTTTTATTGAAACAACATTTTAGGCAGTTCTGGAAACTTTGCAGAAAATACCAAGAACTGTTAGACAGTTGCCATATAGGTAAAAGACACAACTGTATTTGAATTAAAAATTCAGTTTTCCAAAAAAGTATTTTTCTGACAATTTTGGTTTTAGAAGAGAAGAAACAGGTTCCCTTGGTTTGGGTAGATCTATACAAGCTCCTTTCAGAGGTATAACATTTAAAATGCGTTACATTAAATTAAAAAATCAGGTTTTTTAAAAATCTTCATTCTTAACCGTTTCAGGGTTTGCTAAGTTTGATAATCAGGATAGAACTGGGTGTATTGAAATCCAAGGACTGGAAGATCCTAACCAATCCTTCGTAGAACTAGATGCTAACTCTCTGATTGTTAAATCCGCAGAACTGAAACAGGAAGAGAACGGGAAAAGTATTGAGAACCCAATGTTTAATAAGGAACCTGTATCAAACATATACTCTCAAGAACCTGGAACAGAAAGTGTCTATGAGGATATTGATCATCAAAGACGTGAGACTAACTCCACAACTAACCAGTTTAATAATCCACTGTTTGGGACAGAACCCCTAACAGAAGTTGGGATATCTATCCCCGTATTTGAAACCTGCAAAGTTCAGAGTACAGAAAATGAAAATGGATTTTCTAATCCTGTGTATAATACTGAACCCCTTGCCAGTATACCAGTTGAAAACTCAAAAGATCTTACTTTCGGTCATAGTAATCCTCTTTATGGGTTTGAGGAAAGGAAGGAAGAGGCAGTTGTACCCCCTGAACCTACTCTGGTAGAGATAGGCGTAGTACAGGATACTACTGAAGCTATCACTCACACAGGGACAACTCGTCAAGATGATTTTAAAGAAACTCAACCTAACTTAGTGGAAGACACTGAACATACTCTTGAAAAGTCAAATACAGAGAAAGATACAAAGATAACACTTGTTGACATGACTGATGACCCTAACATGGAATCACTGGCAAACCTGCAAACCCAAAATAATGTCAAGGACTTGAGCAAATCTGAGCAAGAACATATCAAACAAGAAGAAAATAAAGTAAACTATCAGGAATCAGAGAAGATTCAAGGAAAACCAGCAAATGTAGGTAAACCATTTAAGCCAAAACAAGGTATTGAACAGCAGAAAACATTTTCTCCCCTAGAAACAAAAAAGGAGTTAGTTTCTGATAAAACTAACATCTCTGAATCAGATGAAACCATAAGTCTCGGGAATGCAATTTGTGAGCTGCCTCAAAGAGAAAACCCAGGACCACGTCTTGCTGACAGAAAAGAACCTGGACCACACCCAGCTAACATAAAAGAGCCAGAACCTCTTCTGCCTCCACTTGAAGGACCTGGACCTATTATAGCAAACCCGGAAAAACCTGGACCTCTCCTAGCTAACCCGGAAAAACCTGAACCTCTCCTAGCTAACCCGGAAAAACCTGGACCTCTCCTAGCTAACCCAGCAAAACCAAGACCTCTCCTGGCTATCCTGAAAGAGCCTGGAACTCTACTGGCTACCCTGGAAGAAACAGGATCTCCGATAACAGACCAAGAAAACCCTGAAGCTCCCCAGGCTGGTCTAGAAAAACCAGATCATATTCTGTGTAACCTTGAAGAACCAGGAACTATCTCGGCTAACATTGAAGAACCAGAAACTATCCCGGCTGAAAAAACTGTAATTATGCTGGCTAACCATGAAGAACAAGGACCTTTACTGGCCAACCCAAAACAAACTGGAACTATCATGGCCAACCTAGAAGAACCAGGAACCATCCTGGCTACCCTAGAAGAACCAGGACCTCTTCTAGGAAACCTAGAAAAACTAGGAACTATCTTAGCTAACATTGAAGAATCAGGACCTCTTCTGGGTAACATAGAACAACCTGGAACTATCTTGGCTAGCATAGAAGATCCTGATTCTTTACTTTCTAACATAGAAGATACTGAAACTCTACATTCTAACATAGAAGATCCTGAACCTCTGCATTCTGACATAGAAGATCCTAAACCTCCACTTTTTAACATAGAAGATCCTGAACCTCTACTTTCTAATATAGAGAAACATAGCCATCTTCTAGCTGACCTAGAAGAGCCAGGATCTACCCTGACTGAAATAGAAAAAGAAGGATCACATCTGACTTATCTAGCAGAGCCTGCACCTTACGTGTCTAACCTAGAGGTACCAACACCTCACTTGGTTTACCCAGAACCTGTCCTCGCTAGCCAAGAAATACCAGTACCTCCTCCAGCTAATTTAGATGAACCTGTAGATCTGGTACCTAAAACTTTCCTCACTTACAAAGAAGAACCAGAACCTCTTCTTGCTAACATGGAAAACCCAGGACTTCTTCTGGCTGACCAAGAGAAACTAGAACCCCTTGAGGCTAATCTAGACGAATCAAGACAACTTCCAGCTGACCCTGTAGAGGAGAGACCAAGCTCCAAACACAATAAATAAGAGTTTTATAATGTGTTAATTATTATGCAAGCCATGAACACTGAACTAGATATTTAATCTTTAATATTTAATAAACTATAGATATATCCATATATTAAGCTCTACTTACTTATAAAACAAAAAGATTTCCAGATGTATGTTTTAACATACAAAAAATTTCGCAAATTATACATTTTAAAACATAATGGCATTTTTTAAATTAAATAATGTATGATGCCTGCATAGAATAAATGTCTACAAAAATAAGCATGAATGTGTGATTTTTAGGACAAATTTCTGAAGCTGAAAACTCGAATTTAGTTCAATAACCATCATTCCTAGGAAAACAAGACTAAGCCCTTGTAAAAGAAAATAACCCCACAACTGTGAAAATTAATGTCAAGATTCACAAAACCATAGTAAAGTGTGTGAGCCATCTGGACACTGACCACCAAGCCATTGTCAAGCGTGAGACATCTGTTAGTAACAATCAGGAATAAGACTGTCATAAATATCATTAATTTGGTTCTTACTATTATCACTGAGTTGAAACTTAAAAGTGATTACAAGGTAAAAAACATATTTGAGGTTGCCAAACAAGTTTTATTTTTTTGTTTATATTTCTCACCTGCCCAAATATCCTCCGCCTTCTTCTTCTCCTTCTCCTCGTTAATCTCCTTCTTCTCCTCCTCCAACTCCTTCTCCCAGTCCCTGGACTCCCCCTGGAACCCTCCCCGGGCAAATACGTTCATACTCTGCTTTATTTTCTTCTTCTTTTTCCCTGCAGTTACTCCTTTTCTCTTCTTCCCTCCTTCTCCAGGATTCTCTTCATCTCCACTATTCTCCTCCTCACTAGCTTCATGACCTTCTCCTGATGTACAAATTCTCTTTAAAAACTTATTTATTTAAAAACTTTTCTAAATTTTCCGGGTTTTTATCCGAGAAAGGTTGGGTTTTGAAATGGTTTTCTGTAATATTCTAGAGCGTTTACAAGGGAGGGCTGTGCCCCATCAAGACTTAAAGCTAAACAACTTTAAAGGCATAGCCCCTTCCTAAATTTTATCTAACATCCGTTATCAATTTTTATTCTAAAATGATAGTGTTTACAAGGCTTGAATTTGGAGTTAGTAAAACTGCAATTAAAAAAAATTACATTTCTATTTAACATCGTTATTCGTTAATTATACAGCCTTTCGGTAATCCCTTTTTTAATATTTTCTACAGCTAAAATTAATATTCTAATTTTTTTAGCGTCATGCAAATTTGGGAACTTTTCAGGTTTTTTTTGTCATTTTATCAATATTATTTCAGTTTATTCTAAATTGTTTATTTTGTCTTTCATTGTCTAATGTAAACTAACGATACAATAAGAAGTTTAATTCTTAAAAAATTTTAAATTTGCCCCTCCCCCCCTCCTTTGCAACTCTTAAGGGAGCTAACAGGGACAAAATAAAAGCGTAAGGGTTGATTCTGAAATTTTTGCAAGCTTTTATCTAACAAGACAAACTACTCAAAATTTTCATTATTTGAAATGTTATGTAACCCATTCGAACTTTGGGGATTTTTCTTAAATAACAACCTATTCTTTCACAAAATAGCTGGCCCTAATATTTTCATAAAAATGAACAAATAAACAGGCCTTAAAAATAGAGTTTTTAGTGACGCCCTATACTTCCCACTTCTCATACTTAAAGCGAATGATAATACAGACGACTTGAAAATCTACAAGCATGAAAATCCAGGGACTGAAATTGATTTAAGTCCTTTGACGGTATTCTAAGTAATTCAGCAAAAAAATCAAGTTTCCAGATGAGTGAAGTAATAAACTATTATCTTTGCAACCTACTGATTTAAAGCTAAGATATTATAGATTACTTGATAATAGTTTGAAATATCTACGGAATACGAGAGTGGACTGTAAGGATAAAGGGTAAAAAAAAATCAAAAACGACTAAATAATTTCCTTAACTTTGTCGAACTGTCAACGTAATTTTACGTCACCCCTTTCTCACAAAATATTTATCAACGCGCGGTTAAAAATCCTGCAACGATAACAATTACATTTCTTTTTTAGTTAGTTAGATAACGCAGAATAAAATAATTATAACTAATAAACTGGTCACCGAGAATCCCGAGAAGTAATCGCAATGGCTTATTTTTGGAAAATCATGGATAAATTTCAATGAGATATGGCTGAATTTGTACCCTCAGGAATATAATCATCATCATCAGTATCACTGCCAAACTCCTCAGCTAACATTTTAGGTCTGAAAACACTGAAAAGAAAAAAAAGGGAAGTTATAGAGAAAAATTTTATTTTGGTGAATAATCATGTGTTCATTTATATACAGACTCTTATAATTAAAATGCCAAGCAAGCTCTAGAATACAGAGTCACTTTAAAGAGCAATGCTCGAAAAAACGTTGAGGAAAAAATTGAACATAAAACAAGGAAATAGGAAAATAGGATGTCATTAAGTTGAGGAAGGTGACAGGGTTACTAAAAAAAATACATTAAATTCAGTGTGGAAAAAACTCTTCTGTCTAGATCATCTCAGGTTCAGATTTTCGAGTAGATCTTGTTGTACATCCCTGGCTCGGAGGGGTGGAAGGTGTTCACCTACGGGCTTGTACTAGTTGTGCTGGATTAATTGAATCCGGGAACAGATTGTGATAATTTACAACCGGTACATAAGCAGCTGTAATCACTTTACCTAAACAAATTCAAAATCAGTAACTACACTGAAAAATTAATCAAAGAGGAAACAGAAATGTTCTAATAAAGAAAAAAGAGAGAATATGAAAAGAAGGACCTGGAAATAGAAAGAATGAGATAAAAAGAGCAACAATGGAAAGAAACAATAAAAAAATGAAATGGAATGCGGGAGCAGGGCAAAAAGATGGAAAGAGGGACAGGAAGATGAAACCACCAAAATAAATAAAAGAGGAGTATAATTACAAAAAACATAAAAAAATTAAGTTCCATGATTTCATTCTTCCCAGCCATACCCCACTCAAGAACATTTTGAGTTGCAAGATGTGTTTAAGTGTTTACCTGCAAACCATCTTCCATGCAAGGCATTAACTGCTGCTACAGCACAGTTTACACTAGGACACTTCACATACACGTTACCCTAAAAACATATTAATTATTAGCTGAAGAACCCGGCGTTGCCCGTGGAAAAAAATAACTTTTAAAAAATATTGAAAATAAAATTTTTAACTTTTTAAGACTACCCATGAGTGTCCACAAAAAGTTCAACCTAATCGGTCCAGCTGTTTGGCCGGCTATACGCAACATATATATATAGACGAATATAAAAATCTAAGCATTATTTGTTTTTATTTACAGATGAAGTTTAACATAGTAATAAGCAGAAGTATCGAAGTACCCGGCGTTGCCAGTGATATTTAAAAAATCATTCAATAAACTAAAACCATCTCCTGTTATTTAACGGTTAATTTGAAGAATAATTTAACTATCCATAGTTATCCAAAGGAGGAAAACCGACGCTTTACTTTATATCTGGATTAATATACAGACCTGGCTGCTGGCTTTGTCTACATATATATGCTGAACTCCTCCATGCTTGTTACACTCCTCAACTACATCCTCCTTGATCTCAAGATCCCAGCTTGGATCACGCTCTACAATTAAAATTGTTCAAACTTTAAACTTTGTTTTAATTCAAGAAATATGCTTGTGGTATTCATTTTTTAATCTAATGGCCAAAATATAAAAATTAGACATTCTAATTCAAGATATTTGTGGTATTTAATATTTTCACCCAAAACTATATTGAAAATAGTCGCTATGAATGTTTACTGTTGCTTTAAAAAACTTAAGTTTATCTTAAACTGCGATAATATTTTAAACAATATATTCAAAGACAGTAGTGTATATTTCTCAGAATTACAGGGAAATGATTTAATGTTTTTTTTTCTTTTTGATACTTTAATCCAAAAATTCATTCATTTCTCCGATTCAGTGAATAAACCCTTTCAAAAAAAAAATTTTCAAAAGAGATAAAAATGTCTTTGAGAAAATATAAAAACGAAATATTTTACCTGTAGCGGGGTCAAACATGTTGGAGAGCATGAAGCACTGCGTAGCAATCGGTGGCATTATACCGGTCGCCGCTGGATTTTTTTGACTTGCCGCTAAGCTGAGAGCGCTGGCGGCAGCTTCAGGGACCTTGAGGCCAGTACCCTCGGCTAGCTTAGCCATGAGGGCCAGCCTACCAGTAGCTCCCAGGTCGTATCCGGCCCGGTCATCATCTTGATCCATATAACTGGGTCCTGAAATAACAAAATATAAACAAAAATACAATCGAAGTTACGCAAAATTGAAGCAAAATTATTTCTATTCACGCAAACTAGGAACGCTTATATCATTTATTACACATTTACACATATTTTTTAACGATATTTGTTTAAAGTTAAGCTTACTTAAAATACAAGTAACGTACATTGTAAACTTTCAATTACGAAAAAAGCACTATTTTTTAGTTACGCAAGCTTACATTGCATGTTTGATAAAAAAGCTATATATTTATAGTAAGCATGCATATTTACAAATTGTTGTGATGATATTCTTAATATAACTATGAATGAATCAAATGATAACTAAAAGCTTACTTTGAAATTGACCGACAGGGACACCAGCTTCGGTAACGTGACCGACCTTCATTGGTCGACCAGCCAGCTCGAACCCGTTCAAGTGCTCCATAGCCTTCTTAGCGTCCTCGGCTTCGTTATAGATGATGAACCCGTACCCCTTGGACCTGTCCGTCTCAGGGTCCTTCACAAGCTGGATTGTCTGAATTCTTCCAAAAGGTTCGAATATACCTGAAAAAAGAATGAATGTTGAGATCCTTGATATTTTTAAATAAAGAATAGGAAAATTAGCAGGTTAATAAAAAAAGAACAAAGATACCTGAAACTCGTAATTTTCTATAAATCTCATAAAAGAATATGAAAAAATGGAGGATTTTACTAAAAAATAATGTATCTTTTTGGTTAGAATCTAGTTAGTTTGATAAAATTCATGTTTAATATCATTTTCCTAACGTGGAAAAAGCTAATTATTGAATACATTGAATACATCAAATCTATTTATTATTTTACCTTTCAACATTTCTTCTGTGATATTGAAATGAAGACTTCCAATATAAAGTTTCATTGGACCCTTCTCAGGTCGGATCATTGGATCGGAGTAGGCCATCCCAACTCTGTTCTTCTCCGCCTGACTAGGCTGGATCACGATAGGAACACCAAGCAACTTCTGTCCAGACAATCCCATAGCCTGGATTATTCAACTGAGTTAGGATTAAATCAAATAACAATCAATCAATCATCTGAACTTATCGTCAAGTACATACGCTTAGTTTAAGTCATTATTTGACAAGTAGAAAATTTGAATTAAGTTAAAAACTGAGATCTAATATTTAATAAAAAATATTTGTTTTTCATATTCAGAAGATATAAGGAAAATTTTAAGTGGCGGGAAAAAGTTAATTGACGAGTCCAGCCTTAATTTTGATTCCAAGAAAGAAATAACTCTTAATGACAATTGATTAATTATAATTACCAGTGGAACAGATTCCAGATCCTTGAACTCCACATACGCAATCCCCTTAAACCTTCTCGTCTTGTTGCACACGATCAGCTTGACGTCCCTGACCTTTCCAACACTGGACATGAAGTCCTCAAGGTCCCTGGCTCTGCACCTGGCGCTGAGTTGCATACAGAACACAGTTCTGGCATCCCTCTCCTCCGGGGTTAACGGAAGATCTACGCTGGAACTACGGACATTACGGATATGGAACTCAGTGTTAACGTTTCCGTTGTTACGGAGCGGTGAGATGGGTCCCTTGAAGGCGGCACCAAGCCCTCCACCTCCACGTCTTATTGGAGATCCAAGTCTAGCCTCTACTCTTCTCTCCCTAGACCTATCCCTGGAGCGGTGTCTGGAGCGCCTAGAAAATATAAATTTAGAGGTAAAAACACAGATTAAAATATTCGTAATAAGTCGGGACGAATAAAAATGTTACTTGATTCATTTCCCAGATATTTTAATTTTTAAATAATCAACGAAATATCAAGCTGAATTGTGCCAGAGGTTGGATTTAATCGTTCAGAGAAAATTAGTTGAACTGACCGAGTCTAGTTCAACTGTTTCTCACTATATTCATTAACTCCAACCTCTGCGATATTTGTGTTTTATGACGACAATTTGTGAATAAGGGTTGAAATATATAATTGCAAGAGACTCCATATATTGTTTACATAATGAATAAACTGACTTTTCTCTCGTGGATCTTCTCCCGTCTCCGTTTAGTGGAGCTAGGATGCTTCCTCTAAAAGATTAGGATTCAAATTCATGTTTAGTATTCAGAATTTTTTTTCGATATTGTTTTAAAAATCTAGTAAAGATCAAAATAGAGAATAAAAATTGTGGTCTCTGTCCGACTGTCTAATCTTAATCTAAAATTATTTTTATTAAAACGAAAATCAATGTCTTCAAAGCAGTTTAACAGTTTAATTGTGAAACTGAACAATTTAAAATTTGAATACTTAATAAGTATTAATTTAGATGAACCAACCTGTCTCCTCTGTCTCTTGATCTACTTCTTCTTCTCTCTCCTCTATCTCTGGAACGGTTCCTACTCTTCTTTTCTCTACTCCTACTCCTCCTTCTCTCCCTGCTCCTACTCCTTTTCCTGTCCCTACTTCTACTTCTTTTCCTGTCCCGGCTTCGACTCCGTTTCCTGTCTCCATCTCTAGCACTAGATCTAAAATAAAAATAAGAATTATTAAAATGTCTACAAAGATGTTTGAAACCATCAACAAAGATTTGGTAAGTAAAAATTTAAGTTTTCTGATATGAGAATCAAATCATAACTAAAATGATCTGAATAATATGTTCCTGATAGTCATTTTGAATTTCAAAATCTAGCTTTCGAATTACTTTCCAATTACCCCCCCCCCCATATCACTTTTAGGTAAATATACGCCTACCTTCTTTCGGCTTTTTCATCATCGTCGCGGTCTTTCTTCCCACCCTGAAATACAAGAATGAATACCAGGATTAAGAACCTACTCAGGGTTACAGAAGTAGTACTAGAGAACGGACCAAACCCTTGCTTGCTGGGATAGAAATACCTTTGTCGGGAGCTCTTACAGCTCTCACATTAGGTACTTACCGAAGAAGAAACTCTTTAGGGTGTTAAACTCAAGAGTCAATCTAAAAATATATACTTTTTATATCGGGTTAAGATTTGTGGGAGGGGGAAGTAAAATTATTCTTCAACAGGAATTTAATTCATTTGTTGTACATTTAACGAATTAGAAGGAATGGAAACGGTTTTCACGTAGACTTAACTAATTGTTGAATGAAAGATAGTTTTATGTCATTAAAATTTTCTTATTCTTTCTAAATCGTTAGATTTATTAATCTTTGATCAGAATCTTGACTTGGAAGAAAAAATCTTATTAAACAGGGGAACAGTCTTTTTACCTTAGCCTCTACCTTTAATTAACCTTCGATCATTCGTTAAAACCTAAAACAGGAAAACTATAAAATCTGTTTTAAATATAATAAAGGAGGGTCTTCAGCAAGCAAGGTCTTGGTCTCATGAAAACTTGAGAATCAATACTATTCCGTATAACTAAATGTTGAAAAATGATGCTTTGTATTTTAGATTTAAAAAACGGTTCGGGCACAACCAATCCGCCAAACCCTAAAACCAGGGGCAACCCAGTGACCAAGGTTTGGTTCACGTGAAGCCCCTGAGTGGTGGTGTGCCCGAACTAAGGTGAGATGGATCTAATTCTTCTCCTGGAGACCCAGCAACCTGGACAAACACGCTATCAGTCCAATGTTTTCAAGCTGAATACACCTTACTCATTTTACTCTACCTTTGTTACCACTAATCCTTTATACTCAACTCATATCTTATTCATTTTAAAAACTAATCCTAATCCCTACATACTAATTTGTCAATCCCTACACACTTATTTATCAGTCCCAATAGAATTATTTATCAATCCCTACACACTTATTTATCAGTCCCAATACAATTATTTATCAATCCCTACACACTTATTTATCAATCCCTTCACACTTATTTATCAATCCCTTCACACTTATTTATCAATCTCTTCACACTTATTTATCAATACCTAAATACTTTTTTATCAATCCCTACACACTTACTTAAGACTCAAACGCAAGTCTAAGGCTGATTAGTTATTAATTTTCAGACTCAATGAAGACTCAATTCACCCAACCTGACCTATAAATACTCAATCTAATTTCTATGAGTCTTTGCTACCTTTTCCAAAATGTTGACAATTGAACGAACATTAATCGATAGATGTAAGAATATTTTCATGAAAAGTTTGATGTGAGGCATGCGGAAAAGTCATTTTGTTTACGTCTTTACTAACCCCGCCTCCCCCTCGTGCAAAGAAAATATGTAATTTTCCACCCTTTTTTAACCCCTTTAAGTTACCTTCTACACCCCTTCCCCTTTATTTAAAACTTGCAAGTTAAAACTAAAATAATTAAAACGAAGGCTCGGCAGAAATATAGACAGATGACCGGATATATACCTCAGATTTTATGTAGGGTGCCTCCAGGAGGGCATCAATATCAAGATCGTCAGCCATCGTTTCTGAAATTAATTATTTCTTTAATATTTAACTTATGTTACTTAATGCGTTTATCATCCCAATAAGTCAGTAAATTTGTTCAAAAATTAATTGAAAAATATTTTAATTTATTTCAAACCCATCTCACTGAAGTTTGATTAAATATTGATTATCTTTGATTATAACATATGAAGAAAATTTTGGAAAACTGGCAACGTTTACCGCACAATGGACGCCATTGCTTTTGCTATATTGAGTTAGTCCGGCCGTACTGTCCCGCCCAGGCTGTTGGCATAGAGAACTCGTACTGTCCCGCTCAGTCTGTCTTTCGATAGTGCTCGAACTGTCCCGACCATTGAACTGATAAAAGTCGTACTGTTCCGCCCTTTTCAGACTGCTATGGCGGACAATCAAAACCAGTTCTTAAAGTCCCAACACGGATTCCCTCGCGGGCTTTCTTTTTCATACAGGAACAGTAAAAAAAGTAAAATAAAAATATTTTTTGAGAAAAATAGTACCTTTAAAAGATAATTTGAATTGAAAATTAATAATTATTTTTTTCATAGTGTTATCATCAAAAATGTCTAATTGGTTTGTGATAAGAAAATTGCGCACTCTAATGTTCTCTGTGAACTTTGAGAGCAGAGTACAAGTTATCATATGTTTCAGCTTCAATACTCAGATTTCAATGGAATCTAAACATTAAACAGAAATACTACGCTTCTACTACTTCTACGTATAGTTATGTCTTGTGTCACAAGTTAAAGATTACAAAGAGATAATTTTACAGTTTTGGGTAGGCTACTATCTTGGTAATTTCCTAGAGAGCGATTTTTGGACCCCCTCGGCCCAGAAAGTGTCTTAACCTAACCTAACCCTAATTAAATACTAATTAATATAAAATTATGTACAAAATTGCTAGNAAAAATCGCTCTGTAGGACAGACCCTAAAATCTAATCATAGATAGAATCAAATAATTTTTCATCATGTTTTACAGAGAGAACCAGAAAACTATGGAAAAGTAAGAATACTTTTAAACAAGGTATCTCTGTGTAGAATAGTCCAATGATCTTAAGACTAAGTAATTCTATATTGTAAATGGCCCCATTTATTTTGATTATTGAATCCCCCCTACCCCTTAAAAAATAAGTTTTTCCTTAGAAAGTAAGAAATTGTTTTATCAAGCCCTGGATAAAAATTATTTTAAAAAATTCTTGTTTAATAATTGTTTAAATTCAAATGTTTCAGATTAAACATGTTTGTTTCGATCAAGAAACATTTAGTTCCTAATCTACTGGATATATCACACTCAAAAACTGTACTGAATCGAAAAGCAGAGGGCGCCTGAGTAAATGTGCTGGAGAACTAATAAACATGAAACCAGAATTGAATTGGTTGTGCTCTGATATTATCCGACATATTCTCATATATCTGGATGTGAGGAGTAAGAAGAACTTGAGACTGGTTTGCTCTAACCTCAAGGAGGTTGTGGATCAATGTGGGGGACTCTTCCAATACTGGAGATTTACTACTCAGTTCACTTCAACTCGACTTTGCAAGTATTTAGACGAGGTAGAAACAGTTCTAGGACTAGAGCTCAATGATACATCTGATGCTGGTATTGACTATTTAGGCGCCAAGCATCCCGAAATTCAAGAGTTCCAACTCGGCAACGGTGACGATGGTCGAGATGACAGTAAGATCACCACTGTAGGATTTATTGCGTTATTATCTTTACCAAATCTAACCTCTATGATATTTAACAAGAACTTCAAGTTTCTCCCGACCAAATTTCACGATCTGCATCCTCAAAAGCTAAAAGCTTTAATTCTCCGCTGGTGTGATATAGATGAACCATTTCTTCTTCAAATTATAAAGAATTGTAAGGAAAGTTTACAAAGCTTGAATGTTGCTGGGAACAGGAATATAACTGCAAAGTTTCTTAAAGAATTATGCAGATCCTGTTTGTACAATCTCACATACCTAGATATAAGTCTAACTAATGTATCCGGGACTAATCTGTCTGGAAATTCTGGTTCTCTGCCCAGATTACAAACCCTAAATCTAGGAGCATGCCGTCTTCTAACTGATGATGGACTACTAGAGATACTTAATATATTTGGGGGTACTTTACAGTCCCTGGATATATGTTGGAACGAGATAACCGGGAACAATTTATCAGAAATCCAGGGAACCCTACCCTGCATGGAAAATATTAACTTGAATTTGTGTAAAAAGTTCACAGATCATGGGCTACTTCAGATTGTTCGCCTTTGTGGAAAAACGCTTAAATCCCTGAACATTAACAGTACATTGATATCTGGAAAGAATTTGTCCGACCACAATGGAACCCTGCCCTGTATCGAAACCTTAGTTTGTCAAGGCTGCAAAGAACTAACCAGTGAAGGCTTATCAAATATTCTCCAAGCTTGTGGTACTCTTCTCAAATCCTTGAATATTAGTAATACCAACATTGCCGGAATAAATGGGAATAAGAACTATAAAACCTTCTCTTCCTTAGAGAATCTGAATATGGTGTCCTGTAGACAAGTAACGGATGAAGGGTTTCTAAAATTTCTTCAGACCTTTGGAGGAAAACTGAAGTCACTGAATATTGTAATGACAAGTATATCAGGGAAGACTCTATCTGAATACAAAGGCACCCTGCCATGTATAGAAAACCTAAACGCACATTTTAATGGCTACTTGAAAGATGACGGACTGGTCCATTTACTCCGTCTGTGCAAAGGTTCCCTGAAATACCTGGATCTTAGTTCGACTAATATTACCGGTAAAACGTGGGACTCACATCTGTTACACCTGGATACCCTAGATCTGAGCTCATGTTCACAACTAACAGATGAAGGACTGCTGAGAATACTTGTTATGTTAGGACGGAACTGTAAATCTCTCCATATAAGTAAAACAAATATAACTGGAGAGTTTCAATCAAATGATAGTGAGCCAGATCTTGGTTTAGAAACTCTAAACTGTCAGGCCTGTAAGGAGCTTACAGATCGGGGACTGATGATGATTCTAACCTTATGTAAGAGAACGTTAAAATCTTTAGACATTAGTCGTACAAATATTACAGGGAGTTTCCAAATGAAGTATCACGGATCTTTGTCTTGCTTGGAGAAGCTAAACCTAGAGGCCTGTAGAGAACTGACAGACAAGGGACTGATACGAATATTAAGTATGTGTGGGGACACTCTTAAACACATTGATATGAGCAGTACTAATATTGTTGGAGAAACCCTATTCAGGTATAAAGGATCTCAGCTCAGCTTGAACTATCTTGACTGCGGTTGGAATTCCAATTTGACAGACAAAGGACTCCTGAATTTACTCTGGCTCAGTGGGAGTAAACTTAAAATCCTTCATCTTAGCAATACACAAATCACTGGGACAAAGTTCATTGAGTTTCTAGAAACTCTCCCTAGTCTGGAGAGCCTGAATTTCTGGAGCTGTGATTTATTCACAGATAAAGGACTTCTCCAGGTCCTTCAGATGTTTGGTGGTTCACTCAAATCCTTAAATCTTAGCCATACTAAAATCAAAGGTAGGATACTCTCTGATTATACTGGATCCTTGCCACGACTTGAAACTCTGAATTTGCAAGGTTGCCCGAAAATGTCCGACCAGGGTCTTATGCAGATTCTTCAGCTGTGTGGAGACTCACTAAAATCTCTGGATATAGAATACTGTAATTCAATCTCCGGAGTCGGAGAGAGACGAGTTCTACGAGAGTATGGTCATCTTCAGCTCAATCCATTCCTGGAGGAGAAGTACAGTATCTCCGACGAGGACGAAGGTGAATGGATCAACGTCGAGGCTTCTTCCGGAAGTGAGGTTGATCTGTCCAGATGGATGATCATCAAGGAATCTAATGATTCAATCTGTAATGAGAGATGGAGCTTCAACTGCTTGTGCTGTTATTATTAACCATGTTAGGTTTAGTCTCAGAAATCAAAAATAATTTGATCCTAAAGCTTTACAATATTTTGAAAGACCCCGACCATCCAAAAGTATTTTATGTATTACTTAGGGAAGAACATTTTGTACCCGTTTTTATTTCTCTGTGACAATAGGTCACAAGTGATTAAACATTCCGTTGTGCTAATTTTCTGGGGGGGGGGGGGGGGGGGCAGCAATTTTATTGTTCAAACTTCATTCTAGTCTTCTATATTGCTAGTCAATGAACAAAAGTGTCATGATTTACTTTTTCTTATGTAAACTGTAATAAAAATTAGTCCATTGCACGATGTAACAGTGGTTTGAATCTAGAATTTTTACTTTTCTATTGTGTATTTCTTGTGATAATATGTTCAATGTTAATTTTCATTCCAACTAAGTCTCAGTTTTTAACTTGTTGAATTGTGTATTTGATAAAAACAAGTTTTTACATAAACAACTTATTTTAAAACCAGAGTATTTTTAAGCAAATAAAGAAATCAGTATTAACCAAGGTCTAGGGGAGAAACCTTAAAGTGTATGTTCAAGAATTTTGAAGGGTGGTATAGGAAAAACGTTCCAGTTATCGGTATCATATTTATTTCAATCGGATACGAAACAAAATATGCTTAGCTAAATCCATATGTGTGAACTAGTATGTACCTCCATTAAAATTTCATGAACGCTCTCTTCTTTAAGGTTAACGGAAAAAAACCTCTAAAATGTGAAAACCAAAAATTTTTATTTTTAGTCAAAAAAAATGTAAAAAATAAATTTAAATTTAATTTTTACAAAAATGGAGATAAGTACTACAAAAAAGGTGTTATTTGCTGTATTGTTTGTTGAACAATATTTTCAGAAGTAGAATGTTGTCATGTCGGGCAGTGGTGCACCGGAGCTGGTGCGGAACGAGGTCTAAATATCCTGTCTCCGGCTCCGCCGGGTTTTCTAGTCCCGTCTCCGGTAGATACTCCAGCACTGCTCCTGAGAACAAGGCAGGCTAGAAAACATATATTTGTTGAAAATCAATCAATCACTTAATCCGCCCCCCCCCCCCCCGAAAAAAAAAAATATTTAGTGAAGTCTCAAATTCTCGTTTTTCCTAAATTCTTATTTTCAATGTTTTAAATTGTTTAAAATAAATTTAAATATTTAATTAAATGGCGATAGATGATTAAATAATTATTTTTATGTTTTCCTAGAATACCATTTCCTGATCATACATTTAAAGAATAGCTTTCAACAAAAGAATGTGTTTAAATATTTTGTTAAAATTAGCAATAATTATTCATGTAAATACAGAAAATTGAAGATCAATCTGTGAGATAAATGAGAGTACTTCATTAAGCTCCAGATACAAATAATATTTTGAAAATAATATAAAAAGTAAATATATCCCTGATGATGTAGGAAGAGAAGAAAAAATCCGGGCTTCTAAGTTCTGTATTTGGACTTGAGTCCAATATAGCTGGACCTAACACAAACAGGTTGGTTCATATCAAATAAATATCTTTTATTCAAAAAATGTATCAACCAATGCTTAAAATATTTTTTCTCCATTATTAATTGAATTGATTAAGAGGTGGATTTAAAGATTGTTTCTGTACAATTAAAAACAAATCTAATAGTTTACAATTGTATTTATAGATATTTAGAGGTTACACTTATAAACATTCAAGAAAATCCATTCAATGGAACCAAACCTTCTCTTTCTTAACTTTAAATATTTAATTTAGATGGACAATGTTTGTTCCTGCCTTTGCTACTCATGTTTGTTTGGGAGCACCGTACGGTTGGTCTGCTATATCATCCTTATTAACAAGGTAACTATATTCATCGTACAACAATATTGCTTTGAACATAGACAAATAAACAAATTTATTCACGCTTTTTTATAACAAAATGTAAACATGAATATTTTGTAAATTCTAATATCTATGATCTCTTCAGCACCGCTGGTTGTTTAAATATGATACAGAATGTTGGGACCTTTCATTGATAAACATTTGATAGACCTTGGAAATTTCATAGGAGACATTATTTCATAGACACGACAATTAATAGATGGGACATTTAATACATAGGACACTTCGAAGACAGGACATTTCACAGACAATGTTAAACTATTTTTGCAAAGTAATCCTGCCATGAATTTTCACGTGTTATGAACTTTTTCTGTTTATGAAATTACATATTGAAGAAAAATCTTCTTGTGTCTATGATTTTGTTATCTATGAAATGTCTTTCTATTAAGTGTCCCAACACAATTTATTATGTATACTAAGCGAAACAAAACCAGATTTTGATGATTTAAAAATAAACTGTGAGATGGTAGTGAAGGAAATGAAAATAGGAAGTAAATTCTGACGGTATGTGGGGTGAAAAAGTAATGAGAAAAGAAAATAAAACTTTGCTTAAAGTTTACAAAATATATTAAAAAACAAAAGTGGAGGGAAAACAAGATGTAAATATTTTTGTCTTGAGATTTGAACATTTCTAAAAAGTATCAGATATCAATGATTTTTATTTATAATCAAAATACATACAAATTAACTGCTAATAATAAGGCTCTACTTCCAACCCCAACCCTCCCTCTCCAGATAAACGCTACTGATGTACATACAATTATTCATTATAAACTATACATGACATGTCTGTTTGATATGTTTATTTAAAAATAATCTTTATTTTTAAATAAACATATCAAATAGACATGTCATGTATAGTTATAATGAAGAATTGTATGTACATCTGGACAGGGGGGGGGGGTTGGAAGTTGAACCCTATTTCCTCTCCGGGTCAGTTTCAAAAATGATTCCAAGGGGGGAATTCAAAAAAGTGTTTTAAAAAAACGCCCCTTATGTACACTGTACCTTAAACCTGGTAAAGGGAGAATGGACTAGTCTGCTCTGCCGCCTCTGATTGGGCTCTAGACCTCGCAACATATCCGATGTCGGTGATGATTGCCGCCGGCGGTATTTCTGCGGCATTGTTCGGCAAGTGGACGATGAAGGTTAGTTTGATAATTAATTTAGACTAATTTTTATTAATTGTTCTCCGTCCTTCACCTTCCCTCAATGAGTGAACAGCTAGATACTAATCGTTTCTTCGCAACAAATTTTCAAGATTAAAATTTTTCTTAAAATCCCACCTTTACAAATATATCTAGAAGTTTGTCTTGACATATTTTGGAAGATATAGTTTTTTGAAAAGATAGGAAAAATCATAGAAAATAAGCTTGAATCCTGGTAAAGATAAAACTAGGCAATTTGCCAAAAAATATGAATTTTAGATGCAAAATATAAACTTTCACATCAAAGACCCGTTTTTGTTGTTTCCACGGAGTTTAAAAATCATAAAAAAGGGATAGTTCACATATTTTAAAGAAGAAGAAAAAACATAATACCCCATTTTCTTCCAATAATTAGCAAAAGTAGGCCAATCTTACTGCTCAAAGATGACCCTCAAAATTTAGATTGGTTCATACACTTTGTATTATTATTGATCACTGGACATCTGACAGTCCATAGGAAGGAAACTATCTAAATGATAAATAATCGAAATCCAGGTTTTTCGGTAAAAAAAATATTACGGTTCTTCATAGATAATTCTGGCCTGCAGAAATAGTTTTGTTCTTAATACCCAAAATGTGGGTATTATTTACAAATTGTTAAAATAAACCTTTAAGGTTGGTGTTAGACGAGCTCTAGCTACTGGAGGATTACTGTTTGGAGCTGGTTTCTGTGTATCTGCAGTCGGGGTCATGAATCATAGTCTTCCAGTGCTCTACGCAGGTACCCCGGTCAACTGGAAACTGTACTGCTTGTACGCAAATTGTTATCTTATCTGTAGACTGTACAGTGTGCATGCATCACACTGTATTAAATTACATGGATGGTCGTACTTGGGGATTTATTTTTTTTTAAATCCTTCAGAAAACTTATAAAATTTGATTTTTTCAATAAAAAAAGCTGTAATTGTTACTAGAGAAGAGGCACGAAAAGCCCTGAATGCCTTGTATGTTGTGTACATTCAGGGATATATAATTTCTTTTAAAAAAATAACTGTTTTGAAAACTTCAGGCAATCTGTTGTGTGGAATCGGATATGGATGTTCATATACTCCTCCTATTCAGGTGATTTTATACAAATATTAAAAGTTTCAAAATTTCCAGATACGAAAGTTCCTTTTTGTTGTAGGCATTAATTGATTGGTTCCCGGATAAGAAAGGATTGGCAAGTGGTCTAGTTATTGCTGGGTTCGGATCCGGGGCTCTCTTCTTCACACCGATGATGAACACCCTGACCAACAAGTTCAGCCAGCTACCCACTTACCTAGGCAACAGCGTGGAGGTGGTGGTAGAGGGAGGGAAACAGTTTGCTACAGTTGGAGGACAATTGAAGGTAGGCGTGACTTTTCTTTCGATACCTCATGTAAAGAAGTTTAGGCTACTACTGCAATGTATACTGTACAGGAGGTAGTGTACTATATTTATGTGGTTAGTAATAATTTACACTATATGTACACTGTATGTACAGGAGGCAGTGTACAGTACTACTACTGAACATATTTATATTGTAAGTAATTATGTACACTTTATGTACAGGAGGTAGTGTACGCTACTACAGCCGAACTAGCTAAACTACCATATGATGGTTTGGCTGAAGGATTCTATCTTGTTAACACGGGGAATACAGGAGTTGCACTCAGTTTAGCTTCAATAGGTAAATAATCTAAAGAATTTTGAATTAATAATCATAAACTTCTAATTTTTATCATTTGAAGATGAAATAATTCAAATTTTAACACTTGATATTTGTGGAGGGATTCAAAAAAGTTTTTATATTTGATCAAATTAAAAAAGGGACTTGTAAACCCTGGAAGTGTTTTTCTATTGTTCGTAATAAGAGTCTTTAAATACAGGTATTTATTTTAAACTCATAGCTTGTCACAGTGCTGATTTCATTTTTTAAAAATAAAACAATCTTGAGATTGCTTGAAAAAAAGACTTGAACCTTCACCTATATTTAGAATAGTCTAACTATCCCCTTAAACTTTATGTTTTCAGGCGCCATGTACACTACAATGGTGGTTGGAAGCGCGCTATTGATCCGCCGTCCTCCGCCTGGATATATACCAGAGGGATATACGCCTCCTTCAGTTACTTCCGGAGGTGCCAACGTTCATGTGGACACAGTACTGAAAACTCCTCAGTTCTGGTTCCTGTTCACAACCAGTACCCTCCTAGCTACAGGTTTATCCAGCTTTAGATATCTTGATAACAATCGTCTTTTTGAAGAAATACAAAATACAAAAATGAATAAAAAGTCAGGCTCTAAAATCTTATCTAAGTTTTGTTCAGGTGGAATGGGACTGATGTCTGTTGCGAAACCAATGATACAAAATGTGTTTACCGACGCTATGCCAGCTTTAGGAAACTTTAACTCGCTAATAAATTCCTTTTTCTACTTGATTTTTTAGTAAAGGGTGTCCTAATAAACATGAAAAATTCTCATTCTTGAACTATACTTTTAGAAAGATTTTTTAAATACTATCATATTTCCTGGTATCTATATTTTATGTGTGGCCTGCATTAAGAGTTCTGTTTTTTTATAAGTTTGGAGGAATTTCGAGTTAATGATATTTTATTAGTCACTTCCTCTTTTGCCTCTGCTTACCTAATGGCAATGGCCGGCGGAAATCTGGCTGGACGGTTAGGTTGGGCAGCAGTTTCAGATAAAATAGGTAAAATTTATTATGAAGCTTAAACCTTGCTTGTGCTTTGATAACTAAATATTGTTTAAGGCCGTAGGAATACATTCCACATCTTCACACTCGGGGCAATTCCTATTTTTGGTAGTCTTCCTTATCTCATCACTCAATGCATTACTGATCCTACCGGACCTTTGGCGCCATATTATCTTGCGGCATTCTGCGGTTCAACTATTGCCGCAATTTCTATAATGGGAGGTGTGTTTGCTGTACTGCCTGCCTACGAGGTAAAATAGGTCATAATTGTTCTGAATTATACATTACTGTACAGTATATTTATGTAATGTACAATACTGTATTTATTGCATTGTTTTTTTTTACATAACTATAATGTACTGTACTGTAGGCTGATCTGTACGGACCGAAGTACGTTGGTGCTATTCACGGAAGGTTCCTTTTGGCTGCTACTGTCTCCACCATAATGGGCCCTGGACTCCTCCTTAACCTCAGGAAAATGGCAGAGAGTGATGCTATTAAAGGTGAAAAAACCCATGGTTGAAACTTGATTTGATATTTCACGCAATTATATCCCAAAATTCGATTAAAGTATGCAAGCTTTAGAAATTACAGGGTGTCCCAATAAAAATGAATTCGGTTCAGATTAAATAATTGTTTAAAAAGCTTACTTTTTTACGTGTTTATCTTTTAATATATTAGTAAAAAATTATTTTTTTACTTTCAGTTTTTTATAGATAGAAACCCAATTGATAACATTTGTTTTAGATCTATTATCTAAAGTTGACCCTTCGGCTTTTGTTGAAAAATTTGGAGTTGACCTGAGTCAGGCAAATACCTTGATAGAGGCAAAAACATTGACCATCAGCAAACTTATGACAATTATGCCTCAAGGTTAGTTTTAAAAATCTATAAAGTTCTTGCCACAAAAATCAGATTTTCTAATCCCTATCTTTACAACCCGATGTGTAGAGCTTTTATATTTTTAACTACGAATTCTGTTAGATAAAATGTCTGAGTTTAAAATGTCAAAGGTTTACAATATCAGGTGGACAAGATACAGAGATAAGAAAATTTGATTTTGTGGCTAAAACTCGGTTCGTTTGAAAATTAAAAGCGATTAAATTGAAATATTTACGGGGACGGGGTAGGTGGGTATAATCGGGATGAAATTGGCATAATTTGGCCCAAAAATTCGACGAGAAGCCTACCACAATGCTGTGGTAAATAAAAATATTGCATATAAACATATGGTTGCGTAAAGCTCTGTCACATTGTTGTGGACTTTTTAAATCAGTTAAAGAAAATAATGTGTTTAAATTTCGGATCGATATAACAAGTCAAGTGTTTTAAAAGAAAGAAATTTGGCCCAAAAACGTAATATTTGTGAGTAAAATTTATTATTGTAATGGGTAGAGATTTCCGATTACAAAATTATTAAATTCCCTATAAACCTCATATTTACCTAAGATAAAATAAATTATGTTCCCTTATTTACATTGTAAACACATTTACAAGAGGACAAAAACAAAACAAAAATTTAAATAATTTTTTATTATATTTTAACTTGAAATATTTTATCACTTTTTGTAATTTTACATTTTGGAAGAAATTGTTTTTCCTCAGCAACTCAAACAATATTTTCGATGATATAAAGTTCTAGTTATATCAAAAATACTTTCTTTGGATACAAATCTTTAATATTTAGGTACCATTGATCCCTCTCCTTTCCTGTACAACAATACTATGTACACAATGGCGGGGTTAGTGAGCGCAGGTGCCGCACTCCATTTCCTCGTGAGACCGGTGAACAAGAAATATTTTGAGAAAGCTTAATTCAGCATAATTCTTATGAAATGTATATTTAAGATTCGTCAAAATTTAAAATTCTGAACATTTCAAGAAAAGGAAAAAAGATATTGTTAGTCTATATTTATATATTAAAAGGATTGTTAACGTAATTTGAAGCGACCCTTCAATTTAAAAGTGCCATCAACGAGTCTCAACGAGAAGTAAAACATCTAAAAATGTAGCGACGTTCTCGACTACAGTAAGATAATTACATGAGTCCCGTTATATATGTTAAGGAAAAGTTACTGAATCAGAGGTATTTTTTATTAAAGGGTCACTTTAGACAACCTATTACTATCTCCCAGATGTAAAGATGCTGTCCCAGTGATTAATCTATTTTTATATTGTGTAATTTACTCCTAGTCTATGTTATCTTCAATATTCATCCTTAGGTTGAAAACTGTATTCATAACCATCCAAGAGCACAAATTGTTAGGGAAAAAACATCAAAAACAAACTATGGTTATGTAATAAAGAATAATGTTATTTGTTGTTTTGTTGTTATATATATTTATATATATAAAGCAATAAATTTAAATACTTGAGAATGTTGTTCTAATTAAAAACTTATGTACATCTATTATTTTAGATGGGACTTAAGTCCGGTTCAATTTATGCACCGGACCGACATCTAACCAGTGAAGGCGAGCTGTACAGTGTACATCAGTACACATACAGATTATACCAAGCAAAACGGGACAGTACACCAAAAATTCTCGTCAAAATGAAGTTAGTTTAACTTATTTTCTGCATTCTAAATAATATTAGATTGATTAATGTTGCAATAGACAATCAAAATTTATTCATAATTTTCGAGATCCAAGAAGTGTTCATTTGAGAAAATGTTTATCTATCTGTCTATCTGTCTAGCTATCTGTCTAGCTAACTGTCTAGCTATCTGTCTAGCTAACTGTCTAGCTATCTGTCTAGCTATCTGTCTAGCTATATGTCTAGCTATCTGTCTATCCATCTGTATATCTATCTGCATGTCAGTTTATCTATCTGTTAAAATATCCTATCAGTCTCTCTGTTTATCCATATGTGTATGTGTCTATCTGTTTGTATGTCTATTTCTCTGTCTATCTATCTGTCTGTCTATTTCTCTGTCTATCTATCTGTCTGTCTGTTTATCTATCTATCTATCTGTCTCTTTATCAGATCTGAGAACATCCTCTTAGGTTTCTTCCGTTTATCTGTAAATCTTTTCAGTTTTCATTTTTAGTTTAATATTAACTTTCTTTTAATAGAGTGTGCAACCCCTGTAACACGCTAATTTTAATTATATTATATCCTAAATCTACACTCCACTCTTTCTTATTATAACTTAATTGTTTGTTTGTTAAATGGGCTAATTCACACCGATCTAAACAGTTCTAAAAAATTAGAATCAACGCTCTTTGGTTCTCTGGTTCTCTGGTTCTATGGTTCTCTGGTTATCTGGTTCTCTGGTTTTCTGGTTCTCTAGTTTTCTAGTTCTCTAGTTCTCCATTATCAAGTTCTCTAGTTCTCTGGTTCTCTGATTCTCTGGTTCTCTAGTTCTCTAGTTCTCTAGTTCTCTAGTTCTCTATTATCTAGTTCTCTAGTTCTCTAGTTTTCTAGTTTTCTAGTTCTATGGTACTCTGGTTTCCTAATTTTCTAGTTCTCTATTATCTAGTTCCCTAGTTTTCTAGTTCTCAAGTTCTCTGGTTCTGTAGTTCTCTAGTTTTCTAGTTCTCTAGTTCTCTTGTTCTCTTGTTCTCTTGTTCTCTGTTTCTTTAGTTCTCTAGTTCTCTAGTTCTCTAGTTCTCTAGTTCTCTAGTTCTCTAGTTTTCTAGTTCTCTAGTTCTTTAGTTCTCTAGGTCTTTAGTTCTCTAGTTCTCTAGTTCTCTAGTTTTCTGGTTCTCTAGTTCTCTAGTTCTCTAGTTCTCTAGTTCTAAGTTCTCTTGTTCTCTTGTTCTCTTGTTCTCTTGTTCTCTAGTTCTCAAGTTCTCAAGTTCTCTAGTTCTCCAGCTCTCTAGTGTTTAATAGTAATGTTTAAGTTTTATATCTTTGCAACCTTATGTGGTAAACTTTTGTTATTATAAGCTGTGAATTCTGCCAGTTTAATTGGGCTTCGGTTTCAAAAACCAAAGGTTTTCAGGTTGCAAAGATAAATGGATTTTAAAATTGAGTTTAAGTTGAGTTTCTTCAGTTGATCTTATTTTTTCATTATTTCCGGGTTCTCATCCAAGCATTCAAATACCTACAGTAGTTTTTACTACCAGGAATATAGGTTGTTAGAGGGTACATCATTGGTTGCTGAGGGAAGGGTGGGGGGGGGAAAGGGGTGATGGGGAGGGGGGGAGGTGAGACAGTGATAAATAATATTTTCAAAAATGGTTTTATTTTTCTTAAATGTACGGATTGCAGGGATTTTTTTCGAAAATTGTACTGATTGTACGGATTTTTGAAAAAATGTACGGATTGTACGGATTTTTTTTCGAAAATTGTACGGATTGTACGGATTTTTTTCGAAAATTGTACGGATTGTACGGATTTCTTCTGAAAATGTACGGATTTTTTCAAAAAAGTTTTGGCCACCCTGATTATGGTGTAATATAATCATGATGAATATTCAAAATTGTCCGGGATAAACTTTGAACCAATTTATGCCTAATTCTTAACATATAATTCAAATACTAAATATAATAACTCTAAATATTTAAAATATCTACACAAATTGTTTAAATTATGTCGTTTGTTTAAATAACAAATTATTTTTCGAAATTGTCCCATTTTTCTACTAAATTTAGAGATTTGATCTATGGCTTACTTCGTCAGGAGAATAAGAACTCGCATAAAAAATACAGAGCGTATCGTATTCGATTATCTCCAATCTTTAACACCAAACTGAACCCTTAATACTCGAAAAACTTATCATTTTCCGCAAGAAAATTCTAATATAAGCCTTATATTATTTTTCAAAATGATTCATTCTAATGAAATTTTCTAATTAGCCCCGAAAATCGTAATTTAGACCCGTTCTCGGTCTAATATGATGTGGGACACCCTGTAGGATGAAGGGTTCAAATATGGTCATAGAGATTGGAACTTTTCTATGCTTAAAGATGACAAGAAAATATATAAATATTGGTATACTATACGCCATATTTTAAGCACTGAGAGACAATATTATTTAAGGGAATTTAGACGAGATTTTAAAGTGAATCTATGCATTTATGATTAGACAAAACTTGTACCCTGGTGAATCGGTTATGCCATTATATAAATGCATTTATATAACGTGGAATGACCGATTTACAATTGGGTACTTTTATAAGCCTTGTCTTATTATGAATGGATATACACTTCTTCACATTCACAAACAATATTGAGAAAATTGTCGAAATCAAACACTTTTCAAGCTAAGAAAACGATGATATCTTCCACATTATAGATGTGGTTAGGCTTTAAAGGGTACCGTTGTGAATCTGGCATTCCCTTACAAAAAAAATTAAGGTCACCCAAATATTTTTACCTTAAATCCGTTCGACCCTTTTTCATGATATTTGAGAGCTCAATTAATGCTAAACTTTTCAGGGTCGTATACAGGGCGGGGAATTTCCAAAACCCTGAGAGCAGCCACCCCTCATTCATTCAGCCCCCCCTTCCTGTTAAAAAAAGTTTAAGCCCTCCCCTGTGCAAATTTCTGTATACGCCCCTTAAACTAAATGTCTTTTTTCTAAATATACCGGGTATCCTTCTTCATGAATTCACGTTTCTGATTTATGGGTTTGTTAGTTGTTAAATTAGTCTGAATAAACATCTAATTAATGGCCGGACAGAATATAGGGGACGGTTCTCTTCTAATTAGTTAATCATGAGTATATAATTATAATTATATGCAGATATACTACCCTCCATCTTCCTGGTTGGGTGTGGTTGGTTTATAGAAATACAAATAGTCATGCAGAATGCAGTTTACTTGCATACAGCAGAGGCATGCTGGCCATGTTGAGGGACCACAATGTGCATCCGGGGCATGCTGCTGGATTCTGAAAACCGCATTATTCACAATTGAACCACTTCTGTGGCATACTTTGCCAGGCTTGTTGTGTCAGATCATGCTGGATTTTTAGATCTATTTACTGTGTTTCACCCTGTATTTGAAGCATATAAAGCTAAACTACTTAACCAGCATGACCCGAGGGCATAATTACCAGCAGCTAAATTTTATAGCTGATACCAATTCAGAATGCATATATGTATGTATATTGCATAACAACTGCATATGTGCAGTGTAACATGCATTGGAACCAGTAAAACACAGGGGGTGTAGTAGTGCTCTTGCCCCCCCCCCTTTCCGTCATCCCATTTCCTTTCCATTTTAATTTATCCCCCCCCCCCTCCGCCTAAATAGATAACATAATTATATTTAAAACTATATCTACATATTTTGCATGATGTATAATTTAGAGCTAAAAACTACTTTCAACTTGTTCAGGTTCACTCTTGATATCACAATTATGTACTATGATAAGCAGAGTCAGGATTGAACATTCAATCAACTTAATTCTGACGTGCAACAGAAATTTTAAAATCCTGAACACCCGTTGTATAACACTCAATTTGAACTGCATTTAAATGTTTGATTGCATTTTGTTTAAAAATGTTTAACAACTTATTGAACGATCCATCTCTTCCTGTAAAACTATCTATGATTGACATCTCTATCATCCTGCTACGCCTAAACTCCTCCCTCCTCCAATAGATACAGGGTGAGTTTTTGTCACAAAATCTGATTTTCTAATCACTCTTTGCAACCAAATTTTGAAGACCTTTGTCCTTTGATATTTCAAATTATGAATTCTGTTAGTTTAAATAATATATAAAGCTTGAAATATCAAAGGCTTACACCATCTGGTTACAAATATATAGGAATTAGAAAATTCGAGTTCGAGGGATAGTTATTAAATCCGTGTTTTCTGTATAGCAGGCTTTATATTATCTTGTGCTTTGATACAATAATTCAAATAATTATTTATAGTTGCCAGTTTGATATATCTAATTATAATTAATCTCTGCTTTAATCCCTTCCTAGCTCCTGTAACTCCTTTAACACGACCTAAATCAATTATTATTTTGCTTCTAGAACATGGCTTAAGAAGGAGAACTGGCATACAGAGGGTTACCCTGAGCTGAAAACTTTAGAATGGTGGATATCGGGATTAATGCTTAATCCACTCTTTTTCTTAATCTCGAGATTAAATATTGCTTGTTCTCCTCTCATTTTTAATCTCCAGATTAATTATCCGATCAGGATTAAGGATATCCCATTCAAAAGTTTTCAGCTCAGAAAAAATAAGATATCAACCACGACTTTATAACAGTTTGAATTTGTGGTTCATTGGAGATTTCAGCGGTAAATAATAAATATTTCTGTATTCAGCTTGATATTTATTTTTGTCCAATAATATTATTTCTATCCCTAAAGTTTATTATTCAGCTTGTTATTTATTTTTGTTCCATTAATAT